CCCCATTAGCATGTAAGATGATGGATGCATGGATTAAAGACTCGGCCTCACTACAAACAATATACATTTTGCTGCAAAGTTACGTTTGCCTCTCGGTGAGCCGGCCCATCATAGCACCATGGGGAGGCTCCTCAACCAAATCTGGAACTTCTTCCCACCAGACATCTGAGATATTGACTTTCTTCCTCCCTTTACATCAAGACTTGAGCCCATTTCTCATCCTTTTTTGAGAACATTGTTGGTCAGGTGAAATCCTCAGGTTTCCTTGCTGTTTATATCTCTTCCTGCATAATTAAGTAAAAAGCTTCCTCTTATAATGAGCACTCTGTTCTTCCTATTAAAAAAAACCAATAGTACTACAGATATATGACCCTTTATTTAAAATAAAGGGTCATAAATAAATTAAGAAATTTGGACTTGACCCTTCAGTTTGTTCAACTGTCAGAATAGTCTTTAAGTTTCAGAGCTGTGTTTACAAACAGAATAAAACTGCATCCTGTTTCTTTCCTCTGCCTGCCAGAGGAATAAAGGCATAAAGCAAAGTAAAACAAAAGCTTAACAAAATTAAAATGAGTATATCAACTAAATAAAACCACAATACAAAATTGACATAATTCTTAATAAAGTTTGCACAGGGGCCCAACATTTACAAACAATGGAGGTTTCAGCTCCATTGTTGTTTTATGACTATTACTAGTGATGTCATACAAGATTTTCTGAGACCAAATATAAGTATTTCCATTTAGGTACTTAATGATTCCAAGTACTGTTACAGAGAGTATCTTTTGAAATTAATGTTTAAGCAGGTATTTAACATATTTTTCACCACCAATGTGATATTATAATCTGAAAAGCTTTGTTTTTATCAGCTGTAACCAAGTCATCATTATTACAAATAAAAGCTTTGAAACATCCGTTTTGCGTAATTAAACTATAAATTGTTTGTGAGCCGAGTTACTAAAATATATAAACTTTCATTAATATTCCAACTGATTACTGATGAGTGTAGTTGTAAAACAGACATCAGCGTCATTAGTTTACCGCGCAACAGGACTCCCCACAAAGCTTCAATCAGAAGCCAACTTCAGCGTCCAAACTATGAAAAGAGTTAACCCTTAAAAAATTCATGTTAGTTGCTTGTGTTTCTGTCTTGTTCTTTAACCTTCTCTGTATTCTTTGACCGTAGGAGAATATGCTGATGGGGAGGAAACAGTTGTGCTTCCATGCCGCTATTCAGGTGCTATACCAGAAGTAAACCCCTCAGTTATCTGGAGCCGCAATGATCTCAATCCACAAACTATCCATCTGCGGGGAGAAAAAGACGACGATCTTCGAGGACAAAATCAAGACTTTGTTGGACGAACATCAATGAAATCTGATGCTTTAGACTCTGGTGACTTCAGCCTCACGCTGAGTAAACCTCGTTTCTCTGACCATGGTATTTACACCTGCAGCATCAGTAATGGCAGAGAGAAATTAAGTCTGACAGATGTTCAATTTGAGGTCAAAGGTCAGTAAATAATCTTGCTTTGCAGGCTGCTAGAAATTTGAAGTTGCTCTTAACTTATCCAAAGGCAACAAAACATAGGGAAATATTTTGAAAATAGTTATTCTACTTTGACACAGGAAATCATTCCTGCTGCTAGCCTGAAATTATGCCATGCCCAACTGAGTGTATTTTTTTCCCTGGATTTATTTATAGTGTTATGTCCTCCCCCTCACCTCATTTTGGGGAGAAGACGACAACCACACTAATTTGACAGATTCCAGGTGATTGTGAAAAAATGGGATTTATTTTCCTCAAGAAAAATCCCAAAAAGGCTTATACAAACTGTGAGGGAGAAAGGGACAGTTGGTGCCAAATCAAATAACTTAAAATAAAATAGGGTCTCTACTACCATGTATGCTAAATAATACAATAGAAAAGAAAACATTGGGACCCTAATCTAACAAAAGTTTCACCAAACCTTTACATGGGCAGCACCAACCTACTTAATTAGTGTGTTTAACAAAAAAACACCAATGTGATGGAAATGTACAAGGTACCTCAAACCTACCTAGTCCACAGACTCCCACCACAAAACTTTACAACCCAACGAAGCTGCAATGCACAGACAAGTTGTCAGCCAGGTGGTTATTAGTAGCATTTCCGCACTTTGTGGTATGGAGTGTGATTCATGATGGTATATATATCATTTTTTGGTTTTCAAACCGGTTGTTTCAGCATCTATTGGGGTGGCTGGTCTCAGACGATCTTTGTTGGATGCGGAGGTCCAGGGCGGGTGTGGTTGCACGTGATCTGAGATTGTGAATGTATTGCCAAATTCTCTGAAACGCCTTTGGAGACGCCTCATGGTACAGTAATAAACATTCAATTCATGGGCAGCAGGTCTAATCGAGGTCCCTGAACCCAGCATACTAGTTGGAAGCCCCCTTAAAACTTGTGCCATCTGTGGCATTGTGCTGTGTGATAAAATGGCACATTTCAGAGTGATCTTTCATTGTGGCCAGGCTAGGGTTTACTTGTGCAATAATCATGCTTTCCAATCAGCATCTTGATGTGGAACACCTGCGAGGTGTACCACAAAATGTGATTTTGTATACATAGAAAATGTTTCAGATTTTTGAGTTCAGTTCATGAATAATGGGAACAAAAAGAAAAGTGTTGCCTTTATATTTTGTTCAGTGTAGCTGTAGTTAGCTGTCAGCTATTGCATTGACCTCGTGTTTTCTGACGGTATTACAGGACAACACCACTGCTTCCCCACTGTTGAACTGTAACATTTGCCGCGCCCCTCCTGAGCTGTGATAAGACTCTCTGGGTTAAATATTACAAAAAGATAAAGGGTGTAAACATTTTTTTAAAAAGATGTAACTTTTTTAATTCAATGTACCAATCAAGGTACTGAGGTCCACTGTGCAAAAAGAACTTAAGAGTTGCTTTTACAAATTAAATTTCATATGTATATTGTGTACTTATTTCATTTGTTAAAAATTAAAAACAGACATGTAAACTAGTGTAAAACAAAATGAACAGGATTAATGCTCTTCTTTGGAAACTAGTGCAGGAGGAAAAGAATCCTACCTGCTTGTAAGCTAACATTCATTATTCTTCTGGTATTTCTGTCTATTGTGTATTATGGCTGTTCATCAGCGATAATTTCCCTTTATTAAATGAACTATTCTCTTATTTTCTTATAAACCACATCTGTCTCTAGGCCAGCTGTGGTTTATAACAATTTTTAGGTTTGCAGTGAAAATTGATTCCTATTTACCTGTTTCTTTTATGTTCGGTAGTAGTGTGTCTTTAAGAATAATGTTTACATAGATATTTTAGAGAAATACCTATGTATATTAATACTGGGAGCCAAAACAGAGATTTTGAAGTCATCAATCCTTGAAGATTTTCCTTCAGTAAAAGTCACATAATGGTCAATTTCAAACTCCTCCATTTGCACTGAAAAAAGTTTTCGAATTGCCTAGTTCCCAGAATAAGAACTTCAATATAATTGCTCAACAGCAGCATTTCTAACTAGCAGTATAAGTTATAGACATGTAAAACTGACTTGACATGTTGTCTTCTCAGATCAACAGGAAGAGGTAACAGTGCAGGAGGGAGAAAACTCTGCAGTTCTGCCCTGTAAAACAACAGCTCATTTGAAGGAGGACGACACTGTGGAGTGGACCCACTCTGAACAAGAATTCATGATTATCCATGTGTATCAGAACGGCAGCAACAAAGCTAAAGAACAAGACCAGTTTTCCTGTGACCGTACAAGAATGAATAAAGAGAAAGTAAAAAGTGGAGACCTCAGTCTGACCCTCAAATACCCAACAGAGAGAGATAGTGGAGTTTACTTCTGCACCATCAACAGGAAAAGTGACGTCGTCAGACAGAAAGTGATTCTTTCTGTCAAAGGTCAGTGGTGCAGATACACATCAAACTTATCTTTGCAAGTTTGACACACAGACAGATCCATCAACATAGTTGACTGGTTAAAGAAGTCATTGGAAAGATTTTCTATGAACTGAGAGTTCAGTTATTTTCTTTTATCTTAGATTTTTTTTAACAAGAAATAATAGAAATTATCCAGTCTTTTTATGGCTCCAATATTTATTTAGTTTTACCTTAAGTGAAGACAAACACACAAATTCTTCACTGTGTTTTATTGTTAAAGAACAAGAACAAGAGTAAAAAAAATATTGTGTCAAAAATCAAGTCTTCTCTATGATGCAATCACTTGTAGAATCAGCTAAAGCTGCAATAACTCTGCAGGTGTGGTGAGTTTGCATGGCTGTGGAGGGATTTTGATCCAGAGGCTTATTTTTATTGACCTTCACTAAGGATCCACCAATTCATTTCACTGACTTTAACTTTATTACAATACCTTAATTCTGTTATTGTTATTTTGTGTTTAAATCACTGCTACAGTATGTTTGAGATCATTGTTAAATTAATTACCCAGGATGGTTTTGTGATCTCTTCTTCATCTATGGATGTTTGGACCAACTCATCATCATGGTTTCTTTAGTACGGAGAATGTGTTGAGAATCAGTTTTCACTTTATTATACACTGGGTTGAAGAAGTCTAGACTCAAGTACTATGTCTTAGGATAGAGTCAAACTGGAGTCTCAAATGTTTAAGACAATAGAATTGACTTCCACAACTAAATTTCCTGATTTTGGTGTGCTCTTTGAAAAAGCAGAAGGTTTGTTGCAATGAAATCTTACCTTATGCACAACTGTGTATCCTCACTTGTACCAATATTTCCTCATTTTGTCACTACAACATGCATGATGCATCTTTAGGTGTAATGCATCATAAATGTATGTCTTGCTTTAGTGACTCCATTGAAAATTAGAATAGAAAATTGTATAATCTCTAACTGGTCTTTATTTTTCTATAGAGAAATTTCCTACTTGGATCATAATTTTCCCTGTTCTGCTGATTCTACTTCCTGTTACTGGAGGCCTTTTATTTCCTTTTTGACAGTATTTCATGTCAGGTAAGTTCCTTTTACATCAGTATCAATACCAATGTCTAACAAGCTGAGATTTTCTGAATTTTCCTAAGATATTGTCAACATTTCAGACAATGACCTATGAACTCATACAGAAAGGTGAAGGAAACTTCAAGCTGTCATGGTTGTATTGTAATTTCTAATTATGGGTTCCATTACTTTAAAATATTGAGTTTTCAAAGTTTCTATGGTCAGGAACTGAACCCACATGAACCCAATCCAAATCGCCTTTGTGGGTGAATGCGAATAGTAATAATGTACAAGTAGTAATAAAGTACCACAGTAATCTATCAACACAAAACAAAAAGTTCCATTAAAAGTCCATTAAAAGTGCTAACTTTGCATTGAAGAGTCATGTTATTTTCCAAATAATGTAAAGTTGGTGCTTTTAATGCAACTTTTAAAACAACTTTGCATCAAAAGTGTCATTATTTAACAAATGACACAGTCATAAACATCCATAAAGATGATTTTATGTTAATAATAGGTGATTAGAATAGAATAGAATAGAATTCAACTTTATTGTCATTGCACTGTCACATGTACAAAGCAACGAAATGTAGTTGTCATATTTATGACAGTGTCATACAAATCTTATGCACACCGCTTCAAATAAAATATTACCAAAATATTTATATATGAAAGATGAAAGCATTATAATTACACATGAATATTTTTACAGTTTATTTTTATTTTGTTTACTACGGTATATGAGCTACTATAAACTTTTTCTGTTTCTGGCAAAATAAAGTCAAACATCTGAACAAACACAGCAACTTGGCTACTGACCAACAACCTTTTATATAGTTAAAGTAGTTGAGTGATTTTCATTTGCAAGATTGACTTGATGCAGTACAAAACCTTCAAATGACATAATGATGAAATAATTATGAATTAAAAACTCACATGCCAGACTTTTCTAATGCCCTTTTCTTAGCTGCCTATGAAATTCCCAGATCCAGAGTTATGATGTGGTTCTGTCTGTCCTGCTGAATATTCCTGCTGACTCCTCTGAACATAAATCAAACCCATATTAAAGGACAATGATATGAAAACCATTGAAACTTTTCTCTACTTTAGAGTCATCAAAGTAGAGAACAGTCAACTGTTGTTCTCTTCAGTCAGTAGGAAACAACAGTAATGTAGTTGTTGTGGCTACTCTTGCATTCTAATAAGATCCAAAAATCAAAGATGCCAGAATAGTTTTTTGGAGGAGGTTTTCGACTCACTCAAAACAAAAAGCACTCGCCGAGAGTTTTCTGGTTTCAAAAAGTGTTTTCTTTACTTATAAAATAATAGAAATATTCTCTGAGTTGACTTCATACAAATAATTTAAATATAAACATTAGTAGAAAAGTAGTTTCACCCGTCGCTCCTTCACCAAACAATCAGATCAACCACAGCAGCTGCTTCTGCTTCTTAATCACAGTAGGAGGCCAACTGACAGGGAGGGTCTGAGCAAAAACAGCTCATCTGTTTGTTTCTCAGTCTACAGGGTGGAGGTGGATTCAGGAGTGGAGTCTGTTCTGTTGCCATTTAAAACTGCAGTCTGGCTGCCTGAAGAAGTTGAAATAAAGTGGAGACACAACAGTGGCAGGATAGTCCATGGGTGCTACAGAGATGTCTTCCTGTGGTCTGTGGATTTTGGGAGCTGGTGTGTTCAACATGATCAGTATAAAGACAGAACAGAGATTGAGAAAGAAGGTAAATTTGGAGACTTCAGTTTGATCCTGAAGAATCCAACAGACAGAGACACAGGAACCTACAGCTGCATCGTCTACGAATTTGGGTCAGAAAGAGTCCTGACCAGAAAACAGGTGCTGCTTGATGTCAAAGGTCAGTACAGTAAATATAGATCATATTTCATAGATAATATATTTAATAATGGAGTTTGTCTTTATTCTGAGTTATTAATATGAAGGTTAAAATGAGGAAATATGTTGCAGAAATATAATTATGATAATAAATAAAAAGAAAATTATGAAATAAACAGCAGAAATACTAATTATAATAGAAACTATGAAACAAAATGTTATTTTCTGGGTTTTAAGTAGAATTAATAAATTTTTAGGAGTATGAGTCCATCTATTCATACTCACTTATCCATTCAGATGACATTGAGGTTTTGATTCCAGTAACCAAAACCTCAATAATATTGAGGGGGGATTCAGCATGAACAGCTCACCAATTCATCACAGGACATGTGGACCAGTATAACCTATGTAAAATTTCATCCATCCATTTTCTCGCACTCTTGTCCTGAATGGGGTGACGAGGTTCTGATGCCTCTCCAGCTAAGTTCCGGGCGGCATGCGGGGTCACTCTGGACAGGTCGCCAGTCTGTCACAGCTGTGTAAAATTAAGTTTTAAATTACTGGATTTTAATGTTTCAGTTCAGTTTTCAATTGCAGGATGAAACTAATAAATATAATTGTGTTTATGGTTTTATTACAGAATCAACTTATTGTAAAATCAGTCATAAACTTCTCTTTGTTCAGATTCTAACTTTCTCTTCTCCATCCAGCTGGACCCGACTCTCTCATCATAGCCATAGACTTTGGTTCAGGATTCAGTGGCTACGCCTTCAATGTTAAACCCAGAGAGGAAGGAGGTGAAACCCAGATAAAGAGATGGAGTAATGGACTTGGACTAGACACCCCAAAGACTCCAACCTGCATCCTGTTTGATGAACCTGAAGAATTTATGAAGTTTGGTTATGAAGCCAAAACAGAATTTAATAATATGACAGAAGAAGAAACTGAGAAACATTATTTCTTTGAAGACTTCAAGGAAGATATTCTGAACATAGTAAGTAAAAGTACTTACTTCAAAGAAAGATAGGACTCTTACTTGGATCCTTTCATGTTCTCTATCAACACGTCTTCTCATTTTGAAGTTCTCTCCATCTGAAATAGATAGATTTTAACTGTTTGTGTCTCTATTGCAAACTTAGTTGACATCTCTTTTTATCCCCAGGTTTTATTCTGTTAACAAAAGTGTTTAAAAAAGCAGAACATAAAAGCTGCCAACAAAATCTGACATCAGGCGTAATGTCAGAAATTTCCAAAAAAGAAGAGATTGCTGCAAAGTTAATCACGTCACTGTGAATGATTCATTTTGAAAGTAGTTATTTTTTTCCAGTTGTTTCACATCACATAAACTTCAGATCATGTATACTGATTAATCACAGTCATCTTGTCAATTCATCTGCAGTAAAGCAGTGAACCCTTCGCAGTTGATTTTGATGTAACTTCTGTGATTGGTCAATGTCGTTGGTCCATGCTGTTAGTTCATATTGTTGGTCAGTGTTGCTGTTGCCTGTTCTCTTCGCCATTAAGTGTTGAAGTAGGTCATGTCTGATCTGATCAAAGAGTTTATTAGATATTCCAAAAATATTGGTCTTTCAATATTAGTGTTTTCAAAATGCTTAGATTTCTCCCCTGTATTTTCTTCAGGCATTAATTTACCGCTCCCTCCTCAAGCACTGGGAGGTTCACTTAGGGACTGTCAACAAATGCTCAAATCATACACTCCTGACAAACAAATGTAAACAAATGCCTTATCTGGTGACCAACTGACACAAGACACACTATTCTATATTGATTTTTTCAGCCATATTCAATATTTTAAATCATTTTGATATTTAATAATATCACATTTTCTTCAACAGCTTCCAAGTCATGTGACTTATTGACTCAAAATCAGTGTGAAATTGTTCTACAAATGTGTGTAGATGAAACACACTCATTCTTCCTCCATTGTAACTATTTTCATATTTTTTAGCAATGTTTTTGTCAAAAATGTTTGATATTTTTTAGTAAATATTTGTCAATATTTTCTAAATTTGGACTAAATTTTAACTAAAAAATTGCTCAAAAATATATATATTTACTAAATTATTGACAAAAAATAAATAAAAAGGTCTAAAATGTAGTAAGAATGAGTGTGCCTCACCTACACATTTTAGTAGAACTATCTCACACTGATTTTGAGTCAATGGTGCACATGACTTGGAAGCTGTTGAAGAAGCATTTTGAAAACATTGAAAGACCAATATGGATGGATGGATGGAACAGTTTCAGCTTGGTCTAGTTCTAAGACTACAGTAGTTCACCATCAGCAGAACTGATAAACTAACATTGATATGAATACAAACTAACAGACTGGATCCTGTTCACAGGACTACAGGAGGAGGGAATTGAAGCAGCCAACAAGAAGCAAATGACGGAGCTGAAGGTTTTTACAGAAACTCTGAGATTCCTGAAGGACGATGCTCTGAAAACCATCAGATCTCATACAGTAGGAGGAAGATTCACAGCTGATGATTTCACCTGGGTTCTCACTGTTCCTGAACTCTTGGAAGATTCCACTAAACAGTTCATAATAAAATCTGCAACTCAGGTAACATCATGTCTTTAAAGTCACATCATCTCTGAAATGTTCAGCAGAATCAGACGTTTGGTTTCTCCTCCAGGCTGGTCTGGTAACAGACGACACTAAAGACAAACTGATGTTTGTTTTGGAGTCAGAAGCAGCTTTGACCTGGTGTTTGAACCTTCAACCTGATGGTTTCATCAAACAGAACCACAGCAGAGACTCACAGGATCAACCAGCAGAACCAGCAGAACCTGATACCAGCTGTAACGGTACTGTGTGGATCCATAACGTCTGGCATAAATCTTTAACAAGATTTACCTGTAAAGACATTGATCATTGATCATTGATCATAGAGCAGCTCAGTGAGGTTTATGTGTTTCTACAGATCCAGCAGGAAGTCAGGAGGCTGTAAAGTTTATTGTGGAACCAGAAGAAACCAAAGTTCTGCTGGAGACCCAAAGAGACGGGAAACGGTTCCTTGTTGTCGACTGTGGAGGTAAAAGTTACTCACCGTTATTTAAAGGTTTAGTGAGAGACGAGTTTTAAAAATATTTATGTGTTGAAGTGATTCATGGTGGATCAGCTGGTTTATCTGCTGCCTTGCAGCAAGAAGGTTGTGGGTTTGAATCCCAGTCTGGGGTCTTTCTGCATGGAGTTTCCATGTTCTCCCTGTTCATGTCTGGTTTCTCTCTGGGTACTCCGACTTCCTCTACAGTCCAGAAACATGACTGTTAGGTTAACTGGTCTCTATAAAGGTGTCTGTCCTGTGTGTCTCTGTGTTGTCCTGTGATGGTGACCTGTCCAGGTGAACCCCGTCTCTCGCCCAATGATCACTAGAGAGATAGGCACCAGCCTACTTGTGACCCTGCAGGGATAAACGCATAAATAATGGATGGATTATGTGATCTTTTTAATTATTTGCTAAATGTGAGCTATTATGTGCAGTAAGTCGTTTTCTGAGGTTCGTCATTGAATCTGTTTTATTCTCTTCTTGATTGTCAACAGATAAAAATATTAACTTCACTGTTCATGACGTCCTGAAAGGAGGAGCCATAAAGAAGTTGCAATCTACAAACTACTTCAGGACTGAAAACAATCTCGGACGAAGATATGTGAAGAAAGAATTCAAACAGATCCTACAAAAAATCTTCTCTGATGAAGTCTGGAATGAATATGAACAAAACTTCTCTAATGGGGTTCAGAAGATGATATTTGATTTTACTCGTCTTGAAGAGATGGGTGAAGATGTTCAAATCAGTTGCCCGGATAACCTGGTCATGTTGGCTCAGAAAAACAAAGAGATTGAAACGTTCTTTGATTCAGTGGAAGGAGCTTCCTGGAATAATGGATCCATCAGAATCAACAGAGAGAAACTCAAATCTTTCTATGATGAGAGTCTGCAGGGAATCACCAAGAAACTCAGAGAAATATTAAACAAAAATCTCAACATTGGGTATATTGTGTTAGTGGGAGGCTTTGCTGAGAGCCAGATTCTCCGTCAGCACATCACTGATCAGTTTGGACCTCAGTATAAAGTCCTGTGTCCTCTGAGACCCCAGGAAGTGATTCTGAAAGGAGCCGTAGAGTTGGGGAGAAACCCAAAGCTGGTGGAGTCTCAGAGAAAACGTCCAGCTTGGTTCAAATGTTTGTCATGAGATTTAACTTTCTTCTTTATTTTTTTTTCTTCTCTTTTTTTTTTTTGGAAGGGGAACAAGGGCGGTTTTGTGTGATTGAATAACTTTTTCCATGGTGATTTTATTGATTTTTTTTTTTTTTTGCTATTTTGTACAAGAAACCAAGAAATCATTTCCACAGATTTCAGTTTTTAAACTAAATAAAAGTTAATTTTGATTTAACCTGGTTCTCCTTCCTCCTTTCAGTTTCCTGTTTTGGTTTTTTATTTGAGTCGCTTGATTTTTATTATTATTGCAGTGTTTGCAAAACTAAAGCTTTAGAAAACTGATATTTGCTCTTTGGTTTTAGCTTCAGTTGATTAGTAAACCATCTGAAGAGGTTTAAGATGGTTTATTGTTCATGTCTACGTTTTAAATAGTTGAATATTTATAAAAATGCCCAAGTGATATTTCTGAATAACTAGCTTTCTTATGTGTTTAATATGTATGTAATCTTTGGTCATTAAACATTATTTCAGAAAAAATACAGATGAAACCATATGAACCATGAATAAAAATATTGATTTATTTTTTGATTCTTATTTCACTCATTTCCTGCTGGCAGCAGCTGCAATAATACATTTAATCACTAGATGGCGCACTTGCATCCGAAAAGGCCTTTTTATCTTGATTTAAGTTTCGCCACATTTAATGACGTCAGAGCCGCTAGAAGTTCAGTCTGGACAGAGACCTTCATCATGGCCTGAACTCCTCCTCTTCCTCTGTGACAGACAGAGCAGATCTCAGAGGAGCAGCAGGAGGAGGAGAGTGAGGAAGAGGAGGAGAGTGAGGAAGAGGAGGAGAGTGAGGATGAGGAGGAGAGTGAAGAAGAGGAGGAGTCCTGCTGCTGAATGAACGGCTTGTTGGAGTGAAGAACAGGATCTGCTCAGAGGACTGAAGTTCTGCTGCTGCTGCTGCATCAGGTCAGACCTGCTCACCAACTTTCACCTTTAGCTGCTTTTTACCTCCAACCTCTGAGGTGGGCGGAGTCAGAGCTGCTTCATCTTCATCTTTAATGTCTGAAAACAACCTGCAGGTTATCTCAGTTCTCCAGGTCAAAGGTCAGTCTGATGGACTTTCTGCTGCATGTTCTCCTGATGTTTGGTGATGAAATGAAGAGTCAGGTTCAGTTTTCCTGTTTTCTTCTGGCTGCTGCAGAGAAATGTAGATGAAGGATCATCAGTCAGACTGAACTGCTGCAGCCTGTTCAGAGCTGAGATGTGATTCAGTCTCACATGATGGACAATTATCACCTGGAGACTCTTTAGATGTGTTTGATCACATTAATGTGTCTCATCCAGCTGTTTTCATCAGAACCTGAGCTGATAACCAGAACCAGATCCAAGCTGCTCACTGATCAGAGTGAGATCAGCAGCTGAAGCTGTTTAAAGTCAGACATCATGTATCAAGCAGCAGCAGCAGCTTCATCACCTGATGGTTTCCACCTGATCTCAGACTCTGAAGCTGCTCTCTGGGAATCAAACGTGTCGTTTCTGTGTGAATCTCTGAGGCTGAATGTGGGAACCAGAAACTGAGTCTCTCAGCTGTGAAGGATGTTTGTGAAACGGTCGACTGACAGGAAGGAATCTGCTCTGATGGAAACCTGCAGCATGATGGGAAGTTTTCAGGACAGAAAAGCTTCAAATCAACCTGAGGATGAACTCTCAGTGCAGCTGATGAAGGTTTTGATCTTTAAATAGAGTTGATAATCAATAAATGTCCATCTGGTCAGTCCAGGAGAAAAGAGCTTGAAGAAATTAAAGTTCTTCATTCTAAAACTGCAACAAAAGTTTTAGCTAAATAATTCAATTCATTTTTAAATAATAAATAAAAAACATTTCATTGTCTAATATGCAATAACTGGTTTATAGTAAATTAAATATCTGCCACTAAAACAATACTTTTAACATGAACATATGAGAATCTTTCTGCTTAACTCAACATCAGTAAAGCGTTAAGTATTGATCTGTTGACTATTTTAATTATCGGGCAGCAAAAGGTGTTTATATAGTGATTTATTTTACTGGACTTAACCTAAAACTGCAACTTGATGAGTTCTGTGTTTTCTTAAATGCAAAATGAAAACATGTTTTGTAAAGTTTTACCCTGAATGTGTTGTTCTTTCTGCAAATGTCTGTATTTTCCAGTTAATTAATAATTAATTAACTACTAAATTAGTTGACCAGTTATTGAAATGATTACTGCTTTCATTTAGTTAAATTAATATGCCTCACTCTGCATTTCAAAATGCAAATGAATTAATCTGCTGCGTCTGTAAGGTTGAAATCAGTACCAACATGTCGTCTCTTGGTGGAACCCGAAACAGAATTAAAATCTGTTTAGGATCCCAAAAAGGCTCAGGTCGGGTTGATTTGGATTCATTTAAATGAAACCAGTTTTCCCAGTAAACGTTGAGCTCAGGCTTCCAGTTTCCAGCTGAATGTCTGAATGTTTGTGGGTCAGTGTGAGAATCAGCAGCAAACTGTTTCCGTCCTGATAACAAACTCTGTTAACGACAAACACAGACGGCTGAGCGTTCGCTGACCTCAGTGTCTCTCTCTGGTTCCTGGTTCTGTTGGTTCTGACAGAATCAACAGAACCTGCTGATAACAAACATTCCCATCAGTCAGAGTCACAGTGCCGGGTTTTATCTGTGGCTGAAACTGTTATTGATCTGCTATCAGCTGTTTGTTCGCAGGTCACATGACTTCATTGGAACCGGTACCAACAGAACCGAGAGTTTCTGTGACCTTCAGCTTTTCTGCAGGAATCAGTTTTTATTTTCTGTTTGGATCACATGAAGACCAACAAACTGCTGCTTCCTTCCCCATCAAGTAAAATTGGTGTCAAATGTTTCTGCAGCTGCTGAATAAAAATATTCATAAATGTTTGCAGAGGTCATGAAAGGTCATTTCCAGCACAACTTTGACACCAATTTTGTTTGATTGAAGAAGGTGAGGAGAACAACTTCACTCGGCTCATTCTGTTGAGTTAAAGGGAAACAAAATGTCAATGTTCAGGTAAAAATGCTTCATTCAGAGAAAGTTGATTGTTTTTAGCAAATACTGAAGGTTTAAAATCCTTGTATTGCATCAGCAGAGAGTTTGACCAGCAGGCTGCTGCTGTTTGTTCAGAAAATACAGATAAAATAACCAACCAGCCAAATATCTACGACATCCAGCAGACATGAAGAAAACATTCAGCTAATGATAACCCCGAAAATAACTGAGGAATTGTAAGTTTACTGAGATCACAGAGTCAGACATTTGCAACACAAAGTGGGAGAAGTTCTCTAGCATTGAGGTGGTTTATTATGAGATGCACGTCTGGATATTTTCTAAAGTGTAAGTTGGAGATCCAGGATATTTTAATGTATCAGAACATCTCCTGGGAGCAAATTCACCATGAACTCATCACACAGGATCCAGAATAAACGCCTCAGAAAGTGAAGAAGAAGAAGCTGCAACATGGCTGCATTGACTCTGTGAGACGTTTAGATACTTGAAAAGAGTCTAAATCACTTACACTAGAAAATATCCAGATATGTAAGATTTAACACTTCGATCTCAGAAATGTTTGTCCATGTTTTTTGTTTTTTCTTTGCTTGTTTTTTTGTTTGTTTGTCCTCTGTGGTAATTCTTTATCTATAATGACTTTGGTTCGTCATCATTGTCCTCCAAACTGCAACTCCACAGAAAAGAAAAAAAAAGATGATGGATAAACTTTAAGACTGCAGTCTTAAAATTGTTGGACTGTTGAGCTCAGCTCTGTTCAGTTGAAACCAGCTAACAGCCAGTTAGCATCCAGTCATCCACCTGATATTAATGTGAAAACATCAGAAAGATTTTAATATTGTTTTGGGTTTTTTCCTAATATTCCTTTATGCTTTTCTCCTAATACTGTTTAACTCTAAATTAATCTGTTGGAAAGCAAAAGCCTTGACAGTTTTTGATGGTTAGAGTTGAAAAATATATTAAAAGTTTTAAACTTGTGATGAAAGTTGAAGTTTTCTTCGTTCTCTGCATTTTGCTGAGGTGAAGCTGTTTGTGTTTCATCCCTGATGATAGTCTGTCTGCGTTTCTTCCTGACAGCATGATGAGTGACGTCCGACTGTCTGCGGCTCCGCCTTCCCTCTGTGACGTCACGGCTCCGCCCACAGGATGTGGTTTCCACGGCAACCAGCCTCCAGCTTTCGTCCTGCCGCCTCGAAACGTCAGGATCAGCCTGGGGGGCGACGCCCGGCTGGAGGGCAAGGTGAGGCACTAACTCCAACAAGATCACCAGTTTCTAAATCATTTCTAGTTTTAGTGAAGCTGCAGAGGCTTTAGCAGAAAACCGCTGTGGGTGTGGATCTCGGTTCAAACGACAGGAAGCCGATTGATAAACAGAGCCGCTTGATTCTTCCTCATTTTTGTTTATTATCTCTGAGTTTAGATCAAAACCTCCGAACCAAATGAAGGAAATGACTTTGCAGAATGTAAATAGTTTTACAGTCTCTCTCAACTCAGACTTAACAGTTTCAAACTTATTATTATGATGAGAATGAAGCTGCTCCAGGTTTAATGTGAGGTTTATAACATTCTATCACTAACAAGTGATAGAAAATATTTTTAGTTCATTCACTTAGTAATAAATTTGAATAAGTTCATGTGACAAGTAAAATAAATCATGAATGGAAAAAGAGCAGAAATATTTACAAGCTTATATTTCCCCCATTCACATAGAAAGAGAAAATTTGATATTCAGTTTAGAAAATTAGACATGTTTCAAATATACACAAATAAACCAAAAATACACAATACAGCAGTTTTTTCCATCACATGTTGTTTCATCAAAATTATTCTGAAATTTATTTTAAAGGCAGAAGGAAGTTTAGATAGTTTTAGTTGTTTTATAATAATCCTTTGAATATTTTTTAATTATTTGAGTTATAACAACATTTAATTTTCTTTTGGGTTCATAAAAGTATTTTTGAATTGAATTGAAATGAATCCCAAGATTGTTCCATAAACTTTCAACTGAACACATTGTTCATTATTCTGTATCTAAATGTTTTGAAAATCTAAAGAAGACTTTAGTTATCAGAGAGTTAGAGCAGAAAACGAGGATCATCTCTCGTCTGTTTGCCTCTGAACTCAACAGGAACAAAACTCAGAGCTGCTCTCAGGTCGGATCAGGACTGTCTAGCTGAGAATCAGTCAGCTGACTCAGTCTGCTCTGTTTTTTGTATGAAGGTCCAACGCTCTCAGAAACAGCATTTCTGCTCCGGTGCCTCAGATTTATCTGTAAGAAGAATGTAGGACTAATCCCAGAGCGCCTGAACGCACCGTCAGTCCATAAGCATGATAGATGGAGCCGTAAGCCCTGCTGGCTGCTGAGCTGGAAGTCGTCACACAGTCGCCACATCTGTACTCCACATGCTGCACAAACAAGCCCCGCTTCTGGCTGTTTGGGTTTCTGGTTCTGGTCTTTGTGGGTCAGTCAGAGACCAGAAGCCTCAGTTAACGCTCAGCTTCACTGGTTCAGTGTAGCTGGTTTCAGCTTCTTGTTGGCAGGGAATCCTGACATCTTAAGGAAATAAACTAGTTCAGTAGGAAGTTTTTATTTGTCTCATTTGGAGACATCTAGTGGTGAAGTTGCAGATTGCAGCCAACAGTCATTTGAACAAGTTAGCCCTTGTTCAAAACCTGTTAATTACATGTTTTAATATGAAATTATTCTTAGAAGACGAGATTTTATGTCCGTTCTGGCTATTTCAAGCTCCTTTCAGAATGAGCTGTTTTAGAGCCTCCTGTCACTTTAAATAACGTTCTGCTGGCCACGCCCCCAACTCAGTGTTTACACTCGCACATGAAAATTGCTGCAAACCAATGTGCATGTCTGCAACTGTACACCTTTGAAAAGCAGAAGTCGAGCCTCCTGCACAATCAACAAGAATTCAGCTAGTGGTTCCTGTATGCAAGTCAGTAACTAAACACTTGTCTTTTCCAGCAGCCATTGTACAGCAAATACACAGCAGTAAAACCAGCATGATGGAGATCAGCTCAGGTTGCTAAACGGGTTTGGATGGGTTTGCTAAGTAGCTACGCAGTGCCTGTCAGATGTGACTTTAAAATCTGGAGGTTTTTGAAATGGAAAGTTTTTCTGACACCAAAAAACATTAACTCATTACCATTTGTTGTCTGTTTTTGCTTTTGGTTTTCTAAGCTGTTTTGCTGTTTTTGAGGCAGTTCAGGCTCAAATAGAAAACCAAAACTGTGCAAAATGTGAACTTTGCATGAGTTTTCCGCTTTATTTTCAAAATAAAGCAGTTCCTGCTCAGGCTGTGCTTTCGGTGACATGTTGGAAAGTTGATTCTTGAACTTTTGGCTGGAAAGACTTGAATTAGTTTATGGTGAAGACTTGAAACGGAGAAGTCTGAGTCGAGCTGTTTGGTCTGATCAGTCTCAGGAGTTCTGCAATTTTCTGTAGTTTGTTTTTTGCTCCTTCCCTCAGAACAGGATGTTTTATCCGTAACGCTGTGTGCAGTCACATAAATTACTGAATCTGCCAAGTATGTTGAAGTGTGAGCAAATGCATGCCGGTCATATTTTCTACTGATGTCTGTTCATACTTGTTTTTGAGCATTACTGTCTGAAACTTGAAATTTTGAAACCAGACTTTTGAAACTTAATCAGTATTTTCTCCTATGTTAGGCTGTAATTTATCTCAAATATATACAGTAAATCTCTGTTTTAAGAGATGAAGGTTTATTGTTTAAAGTTCAAGCTGAAAATTCAGGTTGCATGTTTGTTTCTGTTACTAAGATCATCCAGATGAATGCAAAGCAGAGAGGAAGCAAAGCAGAGGGCAGCTTGAAGAAAAATGTCAAGACGTTTTGAAACTTTCTGCCTAATCATTGCACATGTTTTCATCAAGTTAAAAGACAGAAGTTGAAGCTAAAAAAAGAGGATTTGGTTTCAAATATGCAAATTAGACCTTGATGAATATTCAGTCCATCAATTATGCATGTATGTCTGCAACATTTTGGTGATCTGACATACAGAACCAAAAAAACCACAGAGCAGCTTTGTGCTAAATCAGCTATGTTGGAATATGCATATATAACTTTAGATAAAATAAGAACACTGCAAAAACAAAAAATCTTACAAAGTTTTATCTAGTTTCTACTGAAATGTATTAGTACATTTAAAATGAGAATACTGTTTTTATCATTACTAAGGAATTATCAATTAAAAAAATATTTTGTTGAAAAGTTGCTTGTAAGTTAGTTTTGTCTTATTTCAAGTTTACTAAGACATTTAAACTCAAGACTAAAACACTAGATAAGAGTTTGTGTTTTGTGGAAAGAGGCATAAAATGACACGATGAGACGTCAAACATTTCATCACAATTTTTATTACTGAGAAATATATATTTCATAAAACCTGATGTGAACTTGAACACATCTTCTTTCTGGTCATCTAAACTCTAAACCAGAAGTGTCATGCTTCTCTATGCTGGATGAAAACCTGATATTTAGCTTTGTCCGTTGTGTTTCAGGTGAGAGGTCAACCTGAGCCGCAGGTCACATGGTACAGAGACGGGAAGCCTGTGATTGGTGGAGGACGCTGCTCGGTGGAGCGAGGTGGGCGTGGCACATTCAGCCTCCTGGTGGGCGGAGTCACAGAGGAGGATCTGGGCTGTTACACCTGTCAGGCGACCAATGAGGCGGGGAGCCGGCAGGTTACTGTGGAGATCCTGCTGGAAGGTACCAGTCCTTATTTCATTCACACTTCTGAGAGCAAAAATGTAGAAATAACAGAGGATCTGAAGACAGGAGAATAAATTAGAGTCCTGAAACAGCAGAAAGTCCTTCTGTCAGTCGCTGCGATTCAGTTGATATGAAACTTGTGCAAATTGGAAATGAGAAAATAAATTAGTTTAATGGTAATTTTGGACAAACTCATGTCAGGTGGTTTTTCGGCTGTGTCAAAATTAGTGTATTTCACAAAACTGCAATGTAAACACTTTTTGGATCACACAAGTCATGTGATCAACAAGTGGCTGTTTCTATTGGTAGAAGAGATGGAGAAAACGAAGGGAAGTGGTAAAAGGATGATGATACTGCATGTTTTTTTATGACATGGCATGAACAAATTTATTCACCACGAATAAGTTTCATTTTATTTCTCATTTGATGAAAAAACCACAACTGCAAAACTGTGTTTTATCAACAGTAGTGAAATATGGACTCACATTTATTATCAAAATGCAGCTTGTGATGTTCAGATCAGGTCTCAGATGATTTGATTGGTCAGAGTTTGAATTATGTCAGTTAAATCACAATTTGTTGGAAGGTTTCACGTTCATGCAGATTTTGTTCTGAATTAAAAAATAGCAACAACAGAAGCTTTGTGTCCCATCCATCATGTCATTGAAAGAGAGGATGAAATAATCATTTTCTGACCTCCTCTCATTTTTTTCTCTATTTCAAGTTACTACCAACTCACAGGAAACTGTAAATATTTCTTGCAGTCTGGTGGTCTTGAAAACTCAATTGCTTTTTGCCCTGATTGTAAGTTGTATAATCTTGATTCATGCAATAAATTTGTGCAGCTGTTTGAGAAAAACAGAGATAATTGGATGAACAGACTGTTCCACAACTTTGCAGCCATTTGTAGGTGAAAGATTCAGTAAATTATTGGTCCAGTTGGACCTTCCTCTGGTTCCCAGTTTGGAGTTTGGCTCATCTTTATACCCACATGTACTTTCCTCAGAAAGCTCCTGAAGTTTTACTGTTAATCTGACAGAAACTGTATTCATTTTAGAGTCGCATTAAAAAAGGAATTCATAAATTTCTACTTTTTACAGCTGTGGTGATTTGTGTCTTTACTTTTCTAAATACCTGAAGGATTAATTACTCATCAAGGAGCGATTTTCACCTATTTATTGCATCAGGTGGCAAATAAAACACAATACACACAGTTAATAAGTAGAACGAGAAGAAAACAGACTTTATGTTGTACTTTTTGACTGCAGATCCTCAGATAATCCTCAGTGCACCTTATTTACAAAATACAAACAGATTTTTTTTCTTTTATTATAAATAAACAAAATCTATTCATATCTGAATAGATTTTGCAGGAATGTTCCACAATCTTAAGATTTTCATCTAGATGTTTAATACATTCATACTTTTAAGTTGTCTTATTTGTTTTTTGAGAAATTGTTTGCAGTAATATCAGTCGAACTTCTCCTGGATGAATCTAAACTTCCTGAACATCTCTGACCTGTTTTTTGTAATTGCAGAAAGTCAGCTGATCGCTTTAATCTTTTCTCCCTCTTCATGATGAACAGATTCCAGCAGATCACTAATCGTCATCTTTATCAATGTCAAGCAGTTCGCCTGACTGTTTTCTTCTAAATGCATCCATAGCGCTTCACTTAAACATGGACATTTTGGGTCATTTCAGTCAGATTTGCCACTTTGAGCCACTTTAAATACCTGAGTGAAAATGGCCCACTGAGCTCAGTGAAGCGTTTTCTGCTCCGCTGGGCTGCAGAACTGAACTGCTGATCAGCATCCAGCTGAGAAAACATTGTTCAGCAACTGGAAAAGAATTTGTTTCGTTAACATGCAGCATAACTCGCTGTGTTATTATTATTGTAACGATTACGATAGTTTACATAACTTGTTTCAGCAGATGGTTTGTTTCAGCTCATTTTCTGCTTTGTAATCAGAAGAAAATTTTAAACTTTATGCCAGAATATACAAACACATTGCAGCTGAATAGAATGTAAAGGAATCCTGGTTCTGTTGTTAATATGTTGAGTCCAAACAAAGTTTCTACATCTCAATCAGAACCTGAACTTTTTCTCTGATATTCAAATGTTTTTCCACCTGCAGAAAACTACGGGAAGCAATGCATCCTGCCGTCCTGGAAGAGATCAGGGTGAGCTCCTACAGTCTCTGTTGGAGGATCTTCTCCTGCAGACTAACTTCTCCTGCTGAGGCTCCTTTAAATCATGACTGAAGTCCATTAAATGTGTCAGAACCTCCTCTGGAGGCTTCAGGCTCAGAACCTGCAGCCGCATCAGCAGATTTACTGTTACAGCTGCTTCCTCTGCAACATCTCAAACGTTATAAAATCACTGATTATTTACAGCTTTAGCTCACATTAAGCGATATGGGGCGCTGCAGAGAGGTGACTACATCTCCCATGATTCCAGGTCCCGGTCCTCAGCGATGGAGAACCGGACCAGCATCTGGAGCGAGAGTCCACCAAAGTTCATCTCCAAACCCAGCAGAGTGCTGGTCAGACTGGGACAGAGCGGGAAGTTCTCCACCAAAGCCACAGGACGGCCTCAGCCGCAGGTCACATGGTACAAGGTGGGCGGAGCCTAACTGACCCTGAGAGCTGAAACATGTTTGGATTTCATTGCTTGATGAATTTATCTGAAAATATGTTCAGAAATCTGAGAAGAAGTAAAATGATGCATGCATAGCTGCATTTCCTTTGACCATATAATTGAATAATTTCAAAAATAAATTCCCTAAATCGAAACGTGCCAGTTTCTGACAAAACTCTAGAAAACTGGGAGATATGGAAAACTATTCTGCAGAGAGGAATCTGAAAATAAAACTTGAGGAATTACCTTCTAAATTACCTTCTGTTATTTAGTCTTTGCCCTGATCCAATAGTTTCACATATAATCACAACATATTGCAGAATCCAGAATTGTCTTTAATCTGAGGAGGAACTAAAGGACTCTGCACTGAAACATTTATGTTGCTCTTTCTTTCATCAATCATTTCTGAGATTATACATATCCACATTTTTACTCCATAAGAAGTTTTTATGGAAGGAAAATACAGAGAAGTTTAATTATTCTAACATTTAGTTTGACCTGCAAACTGCAAGGAGCCAAAAAAAAACACTCAGAAAGAAATAATTTATGATTATCAATGATGCAAAAATAATTACTGTGTTTGAAATATGTTGTGTCTACATGTGATAGTAATCAGGAATTAAAAACATTGTATTATGGTTTAAATAAAACAAACCGTAGGAACTGGAACCTTCTGCACAGAGGATTTACTCAGAAAACAAAACAGATTTTTATAGACATGTTAGAGAAACATTTGCTGCAGGCTGGAGGAAACAGAAAAGATAAATCAGAAAACTGGAGAGAAGCGAGAACTTCGCACGTCGTTAATCATGGCAGCTGACAACATTACAGGTTGCTCTGTGTTTTTTCTGGAAGAAACGAGAATGATACTGTAAACACACAGAGCAAGGCAAAAACATACTGTACACCAGGAAGCTAAAAATATACAATACAAATACAAAAAATAAATACTGTCAAAAATAAGTACAACTAAAGTAAAGGGCATCATTAGTCAAACATTTTTATAATTATGTGCACAGCTGCATTATGATCAAGACATAAATTTCACTGCATGACTGTCAACTAGCATCTATTTTCTTAATAAATCCACTTCAGGAAACAGAAATTATTATTATGATTTAATTTGTTTTCGAGCAACAAATAGGCTGCAGATTAAATTGCAAAACTCTTTAATGCAAACTGCCCTGGAGAAGAGACCGCCCTGGGCGTCTGCCGTCTTCACCCAAACCAGAACCAGCTGCTGCTGGTTTCTGTTTCTCATCAGGAGGTTTTGATTAATGTTGTTAAGCTGCTTCCTGAAGGTTGTCTATGTGTTTATATGTTTGTCCAGGGGGAGACAGAGCTTCAGTCTTCTGGTCGGATCAGCGTGTTTGAACTTTCTGGTCGTCACTTCCTGGAGATAAAGGAAGTCCAGGTGGAGGATGCAGGAAGTTACACGTGTTCAGTCACCAACAGCGCCGGAGCGGCCACCGCCAGCGCTGAGCTCATAGTTCAGGGTGAGACAACCAATCAGAGCCCAGGATGGTTTAGTGCTCAATACATCTTCACTCCTGCAGGGGTCAAACAGGTCAGAGAAAAGCAGAGAATCAGAGATTAGGATCATGTGAAGCAGGGGCGTCACTAGGCTTTAAGGACAGGGGGGCTTAACCCCCAGGAGATTCACAGGATGTCAGCAAACGTAGAGAACGAACACAACATTTCTCCAACAGCAACAAAAATGGATCAGTTGCTTTTCCAGTTTTTAACTGTTTTCTGTTCAGGGAAACAGAAACCTCTTCTACTAGAAAATATGAGAAAATATGAGTTTTCTGATAAATGTTGCTAAGATATTTATAATTTAAAGAACAATTGTGCAACGTTTCATCCTTGTATCACCTCATGAGCAATTCTTGCCATATTTTAGACCAATCTTCCAAACTATTAACGTAAAGGGAAACTGACAGAATTATGATCATGTTTGAGTTAAAATTGTTAGTTCATATGAATATTTAAACTTATATTCTGGCCACATTTTTTAAAAATTTGTATATAAAAAAACAAAACTAGAAAAACACCTACTGAAAAACCACCAAGTTATTTCTGGAGGCTTCAGCTTTGTGACGCCACTGCTGTGAAATCTGCTGCATGTTGTTCTGATCCAGTAGAGGATCTGCAGCTCAGACTGGTTCTAGTGGAACCGTTGGAGGTCTTGAAACTGGGTGTGGAAAACTCAATGTTGGAGTTTTTATACATAAAAACTAAGATTCAACACTTTTGTTGAGGATTTCTGTGTTTGTTCCACCTTCAGTTTGAATTTCAGTGTGTGAAAGATTCCTTTCTGTCTCCTTCAGGTGTTGCTGAAGCCTCGTCCAGGTGAGGCGTTTCTGTCTCTAACAAGCTTCACTTTCAGCCTGTTGATGTTCAATAAAACTCCTGCAGCTTTCAAAGCCTCTATTACCAACCTGCTGCTTTGCTGAGTCATATTAACACACCGAAGTTCATCTGAAACTATCTGATCAGGATTTAATCTCCATATCAAAGATTTTAGACTTTATATTTTAAGTTAAACGTGTCAAAGATCATATTAGTGAAACACTTCTGCACAATAACCAATAACCACTGCTTGAAAAATACAACAGCTTTGACTGCAAAATGCAAATATTACCAAGTATTTTTGGTCTAGTTGCCACTACAACTATTTTTGTATGCTTTAAATAAAACTAAGTTAACTTACAAGTAACTTTTCAGTAAGATATTGGAGTTTGTTTTAAGTAAATCATTCATAATACAAGTAAATAATATCAGGAAAATGTTTTTTTACAAGTGAAATAAACTGTCAGTGGAACTAGTATTTATTTCCTCAGTATTAATGAATCATTCAGTTACGATAAGCTCCTATATTTGGCTGAAAATTTACTGGTAAGTTCGTGTGCTGAGGTATTTGCACTAAGATTTTGCTGTGTTGAATTTTAGACGTGTTTATAGAGGTTTCTCCTTTTTTGGTAAATAACATCTTGAGTTAGTTTTTTTCATAAAGCTGGCCACTGTTTGAAGACTGAAGCCGTCTTTTTTTCTGCACATTAACACAAAACTAACACTGTCCTGCTGGACGCCACATATTAAAACTTTAAGATGAAACAAAAACATCCCACTGTTGAACAACTGCAGCGTTCATCCACCTGAGGAACCACCAAGCTGGAAACCAGTAGAGGGCAGCATTTCTCCCAGTCCTGGCAGGTCGACTGCAGACCAGCAACAGGCACAAACTGCATGCCGGAGGAGCAAACCCCCCGTAGAGCTCCCTCCCGTGGCTGGAAAGAGTACTGCTGCCTCTCAGGTAACTAAAGGCAACATAAATTAAATGTTTAATCTTTTCCTTTTTAAGCAAGTTCTTTAACTGTGTCATCATTAAACTGAACCAATCTGATTATGCAAGTTTCAGACGTGAACATTATGATTATAATCGCGCTTAATCATAATGCGATTAAGCACGATTATAATCATAATCAAGAGTTGGTTGATTTCACAACTGCAAGGTTCTGGACAATAGAGCCCCCTGTTGGCCACCAGTGAAACTACATTTCAGGTAAAATAAAAACCTTTGATTCATCAAATATTTGATTAAATTTAGTATTGATGGTGAGTCTCGATCCAGTTTTAGGATGTTCTAATTAGACAAAACAAAAATAATAATATGATATTAAAGTGATTAAATAACTTTAATTTTAAGATACAACATATTAAATTGAACCCAAATTGTGTTTGTTTAATTTGGGTGAAATTTTAATTTTGTCTGATTTTGAATTTTTATATTTTGATTTATAATATAAATTATGATATGAACACCATCCACATTACTGGTTTGCAAAATGCTCACCTGGTGGCGCCATTGTCTGAGTGACGTCACTGCGAAAATGACGTGTTGCCAATTAAGACTGTGTTGGAATGGCCCGCTGGTTTTGGACTTTTTCTTTTCACTTTCTATCAGTTTTTAAGAACATCTGAACTAAACCCTTTAATCTGCTACAAGCTGCATTACAATGTTAAAATGTGGAGCTTTCTGTTTATCATGTAGATGCTGTTTCTGCAGATTCAGTCCAGTCGAGCTGATCCGGTTCAAACAGTCAAGGAGGCGCCGACTGCATCCAGCTGCAGCAGGTCAGAGCCACTGATACAATTATTGTCGGTTATTTTATGTTACAGTTTAGAGTTTTGATGTAAATAATCCTTTAATGCAGCTGCAGACTTTGTGAAATTAGGTGCATAGTTTCTATCCCAGCTCTATTATATATTTATTTTATTAGCTGTCAAACAGAGCCGCTGTTTGCTTTCAGAGCTTTGAGGAGATCCGCATCAGGTTCTGGTCTGCGGTTTGAAGCTGTTCCTCTGGACCAGGAGGCCACAGAAGGAGCCCAGGTCACATTCACCTGCCAAGGTACATCCAGGGAGAGAACAAACATGCAGTTTATTGGGCCAATCTGATGTTCAAATGCTGTCATTTATGCAACCAAAGGTTATTAATGTTAACCTTTTCATGCATTGTAACAGAAAAGTAATAAAGTAAAATTGTTGTCTCTTTGTAATTTTCTTATTTCCTCTCCCAGCTTCTTTGCTTTACCTAAACATCCCTGAATCCTGCACTGTGATTATTACAGTCACATTCCCAAAGAAATATCACAAAAACAAACAGCAACAACATGGAAATAAACTATTTTTATGTGACTGATGTGGTAAAAACATACCTAACATTTGATGCTGATATTCTGGCATCTGTTTAAAATCATCGACTCTGATCTGATTCCTCTGCCTTCAGTCTCGTCTGTTGCTGACGCCACGGTGACTTGGCTCAGGGACGGAAACCCAGTGAGGACGGGTCCAGGACATCAGCAGAGACGGGACGGGACTCGTCTGAGTCTCACCATGGACAGAGTGACGCAGCTGGACAACGGGACGTACGGCTGTCGGCTCAACGCTCCCGATGGGCTCGATGTTGCCTCTGCAACATGGAGGCTGCGCGTCAATCGTACGAACGCCACGCCAGCGTTTCTCTGTCCCTCCATTTGTCCATACAAAACAAAGTGTCTCGTTTTCTCCCCTCAGGTGCGTCCAGGTGTCCGGTGTTCCTGAGTGAGCTGCAGGACTGCAGCGTGTCGGAGGGTCAGTCCGTCAGCCTGCAGGTCCGTGTGGAGGGAAAACCTGATCCCAACATCAGCTGGAAGCTCAACGGTCAGTTTTACAGGAAAAATCTCTGCAGGGGTCTGTTGTCTACGACGGAGTGTTACGGCCATTTTCAGTACCATGTTCAACAGAAAAAACGTCAACTTCAGCCAGAAATCTCGGAAATTTTTGAGTATAAAAGCCAAAAATGTTCAACTTTTTAAACTCAGAAATTTACCAGGTTTTTTCCTATAAAATTCTGAGTTTCTTGCAAAATTGTGACTTTGGAAATCAGAAATGTCCAAGTTTTTTTCTTGCAAATTTTCATCTCAGAGATCAGGAATTTTCAGGGTTTTTTCCCAGAACATTTTTTAGATTAATTTCAAAATTTCCGTTTTTTACTCTTGCAAATTTCCAACTTTTGAAACTCATAGTTGCAAGTTTTTTCTAGAAAATGCATGTTTCCCTCCTTTGCAGTGCATTGACTTCACTCAGCAACAGTAGAAACGTTTCAGCAGAATGAACTGCAGGACGCTGAAGTGTCCAGCAGAGGGCAGCAGACATGCAGGAACACAGAAGAAAATATTTCTTCTCATATTTCTTAATCTATTTATTGAGCTCTATCTGAAAATATATTGTGTTGTCATGTTTTGGATCCCAGCAACTTTTTGCTTTGCTAAACAGAGTTTGTGCCGAGCAACGGGACAGAATGCAGGTTGGCTGAGCACAGAAAGAAAAACATAAATCCTGATAATAAGCAGCAGAGTGGAAACCTGCTGAGAAAAAACATTAAATCAGGAAAGAGATTCTGTTTTTAGGCTTTATTTTTAGAAAACTGGAGTTGATTAAAAAAAACTGAATGGAAAAATGGAAAGATCAGAGAGACGCATCAAATCAACACTGTAAAACATCACAAATATGTCCAGTAAATTATATTTAAAAAACGTGTTTCTCTTTCTATCTAGATCCCAAACCTTGCAGATCAGCTTTTTAAAATTCAGAAATATTAAAGACAAAAAAGGATTATAGTAAAAGGATGTTCAATTAAAAGATGGAAACCCATCCCTGTCTACAATTACCATTGAGTCATTTTGAATTAATAAGTTTCAACAACATTAAATTTTCTTTTGGGGTCAATAAAGTCAAATTCAAATTTGGTGTCAAATTTGAATTTGACACCAATGAAAACTGGAAAATGTACATTTTGGGAGTAAAAGTAGCTATTTATAATCTCCGATGAAATAAAAGTACCTTCTTTAAAATGTTTCTAAGTAAATTGTGGCCTAAACATAGCTTGATTATCTTATGTTATACTATAAAACACCAGGCATGCTTTGGAGGACAGATTAGGTCTTTGTTTAATTTCCAAAATGTTTCTCTTGTATTTTCCTAAAGTTCACAAATTAAAGAGAGAGATTTTCAGAGCTGGGACAACCAGCCGTGTTTTACAGAGAGCTTCTCGTTTGACGGTTGAACAGCTTCAGGACAAGAGCTGGAAGCCATATAAAGACAAAACATGCTGCTGCAGGGAGCGCACACACGGGAACACACTGAGAGCGTTTGGCCGACCCAACAAGGACATGCACAGCGAGTTCACCGTGTTTCAGAGCTGCACTCCATCATGCTGTGGGACTCCTGCTCTCTGCCAATCCGGTCACTCCTCCACCTGGAGTCCAGAGTTACTCCACAGTTTGAGGGCCTGAAATAAATCTGCTCACACAGCAGCTGCTTTAAACCTCACATGTAAAGGGTGAATCCTCCTGCTGCGGCTAAAATAACTAAAACAAAGCAACTTTCTGCGCATATCAATACTGTAACCTTGTCTTTCTTATGGTTTAGAATGTAATGATGAGAACAAACCGTTTATCAGCCACATATTTAGTCAAAACCTACTCCCACATAAAACAACAAAATAAGTCTGGATGATATAAGAGTTTTATGTCAGTTGATATTTATGATTATTGTTTTTTTTCTCTCTCTCTTTTTCGTTCCATAGCAGCTGTACAATGAAAAATTAACATTTTGCATGTTTTCGTACTTCCAGTTGGGTTTCTACTCCTTATAAAAACAGCCTCAGTGCTTAAAAACCCACTCCACTGTATACAGGCATTAAGTTTATAGTTTTTGGTGTCTGGAAAATGACCTGTTTCAAACCATCCAGAAACCACTTTCTGCATTCTTGCTGGTTGTGCAGGAGGCTCCACTTCTGCTTTTCAAAGAAGCATATTTGTATAATTGTGCATCTGTTTGCAGCCATTTTAACACGCGAGTGTAAACGTTGAGTTGGGGCTGCGACCAGCAGTTTAAAGTGACGGGAGGCAGATAAGATGATAAGCAACAGATAAATTTGTGATTTTCTAATAAACTGTTAGCTTGACTTTTCCTGGTTTAGCCATGTTGTTGCTAGGTAGCCAAAGAGTACCACCAACCTTGATATTCAGGCCACTAAAGAGTAACTAAAATCTTTCCTCTGCTTACATCTCCCAGAATGCTTTGCGGTTCTGAGTCGTAGTTCGGTGAATATTCGATACATTCTATCAGACGTATCGTCTGTTGATATTGATCACTTGTGTTTTTCCCAATATAAATGTATTTATTTATTGTGTGCATTATGACTGCAGTTTATTCTTTCTCAGATTTTAACATTGTTATCATGACAATTCTGCAGTTGTGATATAATTGATACATATCATTGTGATTATAATATCGGTTGATGTCATGATATCTGCTGCTTGTTTCTGCTCTGTTGGGATGATGAAGTTTCTTCTTCCTCCTTCAGGTCGTCCTCTTCCTCCCAGGACTCGCTCCTCGCATGTTGGGGGCGTGGCCAAGCTGATGGTGCAGAACGCATCGCGCCATGATGACGGCGTCTACGTGTGCGTGGCGGAGAACGTCCACGGTCGAGCAGAGAGCAGTGCCCGGGTCCAGGTCAAAGGTCAGAAGATTCACTACTAGTGATGAGGAAAGAAACTTTAATCCATCAAATTAAATGCAAAAAAAAAGTTTATAATTTTTCTTTCCTTTTTTTATTTTTGCCTGCTCAATCATAATTTTTTATTTATTTTTTTTTTTAGAACTATAAATCTCAAATTCACCCAATATTCTGTTTTATTCTATTGTATTTAAATATATTATGACTGGCAGGTTATGTCGCGGCATAAAAAAGTTGTTTTTATAACATAAGTGTTAATGACTTGTAATAAATTAGCTACTGAATAAAAGTAATTGAAGAGTTTGTTAGAGAAGCTGCAGCATTTTCTCATTAAATTGAATATAAACATTTATTTTTATCACATTTACTAGTCTGGCTTTCTCTCTTATATGAAGCAGTGGCATTAGTTTTATTGTTGCACATTAAGTTAATGACTTATTTCTCTTGTCTGAACAGAGCTGGGTTTATAAAGTCTGATTTGTTGTGCATGATGAACCAAAATGTATTTCAGTTGGCCAATCATTCATCAGCATGTAGAACAGAGGCCCTCATCACAACTTTATAAGGAAAATCAGAGAAAGGGAGGAAAATTTGACAGAAGCAGGAAATCCCCAGCTACACAAATCCAGTGAAATATCAGCAGATTCCCACAAACTGACCCACTCAGCCCACTGAGTCCTCCTGATGTCCATGTGTGGACATTAAAACCTGATCTGAGACCAAAACAAATCTCTGTCTTACAGCTGTGGATTTAATCAACTTTTTATTTTCGATTCAGCTTCTTCTCCAAACAATTTAAGTGACATAATGGCTCTTATCAGTCCTTTAGTCACTTTGCACTTCCTCTTTTTTTTTTTTTCTCGATGCAAAAACGGAGAATTAACCTGAAAATCTGTTAATAACAAATCTGTGTTTTCAGCCCCTCATAATGATCTCACAGTAAACGGCTCGGCCATTTTGTTTGATACAACTTCCTGCCTTAATGATGAAACCCATTCAGTCAAGCTTCTCTTTTCCCAAAAACAGACAAATTTATGCAGATCAACTGTGTTCGTTGTGCAAATCTTTTCTTACTCTATTAAAGACAAAATATTGTTTTGCTTTCTGTTAAGAAAATACAATTATGTAGAACCTGAAAAATTATGTTGGTATAAAAACTACATGAGTTTATTTTGCACTTAAAGTTGGAAAACATGAGGTGATTTATTATAGATTATGAGTATTGCTGATAATCAGCAGTGTGACCAACACAGTTTAATCATCAAACAGTGGTGGATTAACAAAAAGAAGAACAGAACCAGGACTTTAGAGAACTTTCAATAATATTTAAAGTTCATCAATCTACAGAGAAAGATATTATTTACAAATGGAAAATAATGCAGATGTCAGAGCTCGCAATATTCAGAAAAAGTAGAAAAACATTTTTTTCTTTCTTCCAGGTTTTCTGTCTTTCTTTCTGTCATTTGTTCTGTTATTTGTCTCTTTCTTTTCCTTTTTTGTTCTTTCCATTTTTGTCAGTCGTTCTTTTGTCATTCTCTTTCCTTTTTTCATTTCTCCATTTCTTTCCATCATTCTTTTTCCATCTGTCTGAGCTTTTCTTTGTATATTTGTCTTTATTTCTATTATTCTGTTGTTGTTTTTCCTTTGTAATTTTGTCTTTAACTTTCTGTCTTTCTTTCTATTTTTGTTTCTTTCTCTCGTTCTCCCTCTTTCTCTTTCTTTCACACCGTGTCCTCTCTGGTATGTCTGATATGTACACAGAATTTAAGAAACCTCTTGAGTACAAAAGTTCAGCCTTTCACGTGCGCACACAGATATTCTTGTATGTTCACACACACTCAGCAAACAGGCCGTCAGGCTTGTGTGCCAGATGCAGGGAGGAAAAGGAAATCCTTTCTCCTTATAAGGAAACGGCTGAGTGAGGAACACGGTGATGCTTTCCGTCGCTGACTCTCCTCCTCCGGTCTGACAACATTCCCAGTTTAACAGAGTCTGGAAGCTGCAGGAGGAGACCAGAGATCTGATCTGGAATCAGATCCAACCCTGATTGGATCTGATTCCACATCAGATCCAGTCAGTGTTGGATTGGATCTGTAGCTGTTTGTAGCTTCCTCTATCAGATGGAGACTGGAAACCTCCATTCACATATCTGGATATCTGATCAGTGATCAAATGATGGAGGAAACTATTGCTGCAGTGATGTTAGAAAACCTTTTAATTACAAGGCGCTCGATTCTCTCCGACCTTCAGCATGATTGCACTGCAAAAACACAAAATCTTACCAAGTATTTTTGGTCGAGTTTCGAGTGCATATGTTTTAGTTCACTTGAAATAAGACAAACCTAACAAATAACTTTTCAGAAAGATTATAGGAGCTTGTTTTGAGTCATTAATTCCTTAATACTGATGAAAAATACTTTTCTTTCTTTCCTTCATTTAACCAGGAAAAATCCTCTTGAGATCCTGATCTTATTTTCAAGAGAGACCTGGGCAGAAAATTGCGGCACAAAGCAACTTGGTTACATAAAAGTAAAAAATTAAAACATCTGCAATTTTTTAGTTTCTTTGGCAGATAATTTCACTTATAGCAAAATTTCTTATTAAAGCTTCAATGATCTGCCAGTGGAACAAATATTAAGGAACGATTGACTTAAAACAAAATCATCTATGATGCTGAAAAGTTACTTGTACGTTAGTTTGATCTTTTTTTTCAGTGCACTGAGATCTTTTGGGTTTTCCAGTGAAGTTGTCAATCTAACAGAGCAGCTCATTGTCATGTTGAACAATATCTTCGGTTGTTTCTGTGCTGCAGGTATGGTGCCGTCTCAGAGGTCGGAGGTCGCAACAGCAGGTCGGGCTCCTCGCTTCATTCGCCGACTAAGCGATTTGAAAGTGATGGATGGCAGCAGAGTCTCCATGACGGTGGAGCTGAGCGGTACGCCCTCGCTGTGTGTGTGTGTGTGTGTGTGTGTGTGTGTGTGTGTGTGTGTGTGTGTGTGTGTGTGTGTGGTGTGTGTGTGTGTGTGTGTGTGTGTGTGTGTGTGTGCGCTGTGGTATTTCCTGTCTGATCTCCAGGGATACGGTGCAGATGAGATGAAGACAGATTGACTGTAGTCCTGCCTCTTCATTTCCTCTGTTTGTGTTTGTCTTGTTGTTGGGACAAATATCTGGACTGTCCTCAGAAAACCAGTAAATACATCCTGGAGTTTCGGTAAAGTTCAGGTTACTGAGCAGAAAGCTGGATGGTAGCAAAATGACTCAGAATCATCATCTGTGGCATCAAATCTAAAAAGCTTTTAAACGCTGCATAAACACAAACTCTTACCAAGTATTTTAGTTCTAGTTTCAAGTTCAGATATCTTAATTCACTTAAAATATCTTACAAGACACTTTTCAGCATGAAATAGAAGTTTGTTTTCAGTAAATAATTCCTAAGTATTGATTTGATTTGATTTTATGGACTGGCACAGTATTCTACTTGTCACAAGACATATTTCCCCTGTTATAAGTGAAATAATCTGCCAAAGGAACTAGTATTTTCACTTTAATATGAAGGAGTGATTGACATAAAACAATATCTTGAAGAAAAGTAAATTTGATCTAATTTGAAGTTTACTAAGAACCAGGACAGAAATACTTCAACATTGTATGTTTTTGCAGTGATTGTGTGTTTTTTCTCTGCAGTCTGAAGCTCCATCCCTCTTATCACACATGTGTGTGTGTGTGTGGGTGTGTGTGTGTGTGTGTGTGTGTGTGCACTTGCGTTTGCGCGTGCATGTCTGTGTGTGTTATGCAATGAGTTTCCACAGAGACTTGTCTCCATATAAGCTGTTTGCAGATTGCTCTGCATGTCTTTTCTATCGCTGGTTTCTGAAGCGATCTGATAACAAATCTATCTGGGACGATAAATTGTTATTGTGATAAAATATGGCATTGTTGTTTTGTTACCATTTTCCATTAATATAATGATAATAACTTAATAATGTAAGAACACATTCTCAAATATTAATCAATTTTAAATTCTGATAAACACTGGAACTGGAAGACATCTTAAATATCCAACATAAATAAACTAATGAGACGGATTATGACGCCTCTGTAAACAAAGTTGTCTTTCAAAAAAATATCTAGTTGAGACCAAAACACCAAACAGAAAACTTGTGTCGTCCAGTTTTTGGTAGAAATAGAGAAAAAAATATATTCAAATGGAAATTATTGAGCTTGTTTGAATTTATCATGTGACTAATTGACAAGACAAAGAAAATGTACAAATTGATAAACATTTAAATTCCAGTCAATGGCAAAAATTTATTATACTTTCACTATTTTATACATACACCATTATCAAAACCAAAATATTCCTGTTGATCTTATTAAAACAAAATTTTAGTTTTTACTGTTTGGGATAAGATTTGAATATTATATTTTATTTTAAACCTAAATTCTGCATCCAGTTTTTCTTGATTTGGGTTGATAATTCACTCCTAGAGGTATTTCTTTTTTAAAAATATGAAGAATTCAGTGATTGATCGACTGCAGAGAGGAGGACTCTGACTGAGGTGACCTTTGACCTGCAGGTGAGCCTCCTCCTCTGGTGATGTGGCTCCATGACGGACAGGAGGTCTCGGAGTCGGAGGACTTCCACCTCCTCAAGGAGGAGAACCGCTACACTCTGCTGATCCAGGAGGTTTTCCCAGAAGACACTGGGGCCTACAGCTGCCGGGCCTGGAACCAGTACGGGGAGGACCAGACCCAGGCCCGGCTCACTGTGGAAGGTTACACAAAACACCTCAAACAATTCAATCACTTTATTGATCCCTGAGGAAAACTAAATGTTGTCGTAACTCGTTTAATTTAAGATTTATTGTAGATAGTGATTAAAAATGTTTCCTGTAGCAGTCAGTGTTACAACACATTTAAAGAACATCGATTGGGGATGAATAAAAATGTGTCTGTAAATGTGAAAGGTTAATTAAATTTGAAATAAAGCCAATCATAGCTAGATATGCAAAATTGATATGTGTAATGTTCCTGATACTGGAAAAAAAAAATCTAGATCAGGTATTAATAAAAATGTCAAGATTTGCTTAAGACATAAAGATAAGCCTAAATAGCTTATTATCAAATAAAGTTGATTTGGGGATTAGTTTCACTTAAAAATAAATAATTATTTTACCTGTTTGAAGAGAGTTATTTGTTTCCACTGTCGCCATATGCTCACACAGCAGGAAGCATTGCTCCAAAGCAATAAAACTCTATTTCTCTACATTTTCACCACATGACATTTATTAAACTCAGGAAAACATCCAATGTGTGCATTGAATTTTAACAATTTAACTGTTTGATCTGTTTGTCTTGTGAAACATCTTGAGGTAAAAACTTGTTGCGAATGGGCGCTATGTAAACAAACTGATTCAAATTAAACATCTGCAGTTTAGGCAAAAACAGCCACAAAACCATCTGAGAAATTCTCAAAGGAAAAATCAGCTTAAACTGTGACATTAAGATGCGTCAGTAATGACACATTTCATCTGTAGGAGTGGAGAGTTGAGGAGAGACTGCTGACGGCGTTAGGAAAGCATCTCTGCTTCGCTTGCATAACAAATGAAACATTTTTTATTCTCCTAAGGAGTGAGGGTTTAGTTTATCAGATCTTCATGTCTTCCCTTTTTTTTGACATTTTTTCCCTGGATTTTCTGTTGTACAAAATAAATGCTGACATGTCTGACAGATTCAATCGGCTGCAGATTTTAGGAGTTTTGTTGTTGTTTTTTTGGCAGAACCTCAGGACGGCGTCCAGCCCTGGTTCATCACAAAACCCAAAGCGGTGAGCGCCGTCACGGGTCAACACGTCCTGCTGTCCTGTGCCATCGCCGGAGACCCGTTCCCCCAGTACACATGGACCAGAGCGGACCAGAACAGAGCGCTGAGCTCTGGAGGAGACTACGAACTGCTGCAGAAGGAGGACGTCGTCTCGCTGCTCATCAGGTCCGAAAGTTTAACACCTGCAGCCTGAAACATTTCTGAAAGAACATGGAGAACAAACTGTCTGTGCTTCTGTTTCAGACGGGTCAGAAAGCATCACGCAGGAGACTTCCTGATCACCCTGAGGTGACGCACTAACACTCTGCAAGCAGGAAATAAACCAGAAACTGAGCAAACATGAAAGAATAATCCTGTATGATCTGCGGTTCAGATTGGAGGATTAAAGTCGAAACTCCCCCCGCCTGAATCTGTCCATATATCCATAATCTGTCAACCCCAATCACACACTCCAGATTGTCCGCCGTCATCTCATTTAGTCATGAGAAAATGTGCCAAATATAACACATACAAACGTGTTTAGATCCTAAAATATCTGAAACCTCATGTTGGTCGACGGCAAAACATAAAGCATCAGCTGAAGGTCAACCTGAGGCAGAAATTGTTGCTAACGCACATAAACTGGTTCATAAACAAGTTCAGATTTTAGTGGCATTTTCCAGTTTTTTACTGATTTATCAATTCTGTCCTATTCCAGTTTCTCTTTCAGAACTGCAGTGATGTCAAAAAGTGTTTGCTCCTTCATAATTTCTGATTTTAAAATTAGAAAAAGCAAGTAAACTCAGAATGCAGTTTTTAAATTAAGGTGTTTATTATTAAAGGAGAAAAATTCTAATCTACATGACCTTGTGTAAAAAAAGTGAAGTGACTTAAAACATTTAAAAAAGAGCAAATCAGGAAGTGGGCAGAAAGTTTTTTACACCATGTATGATAGTTATTTATAATAAAAAGTAACTGAGGTTGTGTTTGTGTGTCAGGAATAAAGTGGGAGAGTGCAGCGCTGTGGCTCAACTGTCCGTCACCGAAGAAGAACCTGAAGAAGGAGAAAGAAGGTGAGAGGAAAAATACATTTTATTTAAAAGACTTAAATGACCTGAATGATATTTATACTTTGGTTATTGATTTTATTGGAGGAAAAGAGTGAATACAACATGATGAAATTATAATTATCTGACTTTAAATCAGACCTCTGACACGATAAATATGATATGCAGGTGGAGTAAAGAGAAGGTTTTATTTATATAAGCGAAAACCTCCACAATTATAATCTTAGATGGTGCATCATCTCCTAATGTATTTTAACATAAATGTATCTTTTCACCATTTTTGCAATTAAGAAATCAATTCAAAATCATGAGAAAATGTGCCAAATATATTTCTGCTTTTCAGTAAAAACCTGTCACATTGTAAAGACTTTAGCAGCTTTGTATGGCTGATGCTGCTTGAAGAGGTTTAGCACCTTTTCATACTTTGCTTCTCTGATGACTGAAAGAAAATCTGTCTCCATCACCGTCAGTTTCTTGCTGATGTAGCAGAAAAATCCCAACGGAGGAAACACAACAACACATGGATGCTACTGGAAAAACTCAACCCAGGGGTCACAGCCATGCTGCAGTCATGTTTGTTTAGTATTCAGAAGACTCAGTCACTGTTGGTATTTTTACAATTACAGACAATAAATATGTTAAAATTGCTGCCAATGTTGGTGAGAAATTGAACCGACCTATTGCTGATTTAAAAAAACAAGGGTGAAAATGTGGCGGTAAGACATGTGGGAGTTTGGTTAGGAAGAGAAGTGATGATCAGTCAGTAGCAGTGATGCTTCATGCTGAGGGAGCAAATCTCTAAGTTGCTGATGGAGAAGGTTAAGGAAGGTCAGACAGTTTCTCTGTAAAGGACAGCGACACAGTGGTGAGGTCAAAATCAAAGAAGGTGTCATTAGGCATTCGCTGTACAGTTCATGCAGTTTGCAGTGGTGTTGGACAGTTTTATAGAGGAAGTCATGCTGGAGTCTCCATGGACTCCGATTCCCACTGGAACGAGTGAAAAGGAGAAAACGACAGATGTTTAATGGATGAAGGATTTCTGTAGGGTAACTGTGACAGAGCAGGATGAAATATAAGAAGTTTATTAATTCACTTTTAGGTCAGTTTTTTATTTCCATTTAGGTCTCAGCTACTCAAATAAACAGCTTAGAAAAACTTGCTGGAAAACACAAGTGTTTTGTTGTTGACTTGCACTGCAAAAACACAAACTCTGACAAAATATTTTTGTTGTACGTTCTACTGCAAATATCTTAGTTCCCTTGAAAGGAGACAAAATTGACTTAAAGTAACTTTTGAGCACGATATAGTTCCACCGGCAGATTTTTTTTTGCTTACAAGATATTTTTCTTAAGTGAAATAATCTGCCAGTGAAACCAGTACATTTTATAGACAAGAATTTGTGAATTAAAACAAACTCCTATATAATGCTGAAAAGTTACTTGCAAATCAATTTTGCCTCATTTCAACCGTGCTGAGATATTTCCACTAGAATTTAGTTAAAAATACTTTGTAAGATTTTGTGATCTTGTTCAGAAAACACATGTTGCTTGTTGGTTGTGCAGGAGGCTCCATGTCTGCTTTTCAAAGCAATTTAGCATCTGTTTGCTGCAGATTCTTATGTGAGTGTAAACGTTGAGTTGGGGGTTCGTGGCCAGCAGCATCTAATTCTCAAAGGAGCTCAAAATAGGAACTAAAATCTTATTAAATGAAAATAATCTTGTGCAAAAACTGTAATTGAAATGTTTTAAACAGCCCAGACTTCTCCTAACCTGTTAAACGAATCCTGATAGGTCACCTTTAATAAAGTTGTCATGTGTTTTACTGTATCCAGCATGATCTGAACTGTCAGACATGATTCTCCTCAGTCGGTTCTTTACATTCACATTTCTGTTTTCATTCACCCGTCCCACTCCCAGCCCTCCCTCTGTTCCCATCAATCCGCCTGTTTCATATCCAACAATTCCCAAAGCTTCTCTAATCTGTGCGTATCAGCCCAACCAATCAGAGCCAGCATTTCCTCCACATGGATCCTCTGATCTCTGCAAGCAACCAGCTGCAGCTCCAACACAAGGACAGAGCAGAACGAGGTGAAGAGGAGTCCCAGTCATGAAATGGGCCCAGTGAAGATCAGTTCATTCATGCCCTTAAAAGGAAAGCTGAGTCACCTGTGATGTAACAAGCAGTCTGAGTTGAACTCCTCATCCTCCTTTTTCCTGACTCCAAAGTGGGCGGAGCTTCGGCGTTGTTTATTCTCTCTACTTCACTCCATCTCTCTTTGCGCTTGTTTCTGCAGGACCGCAGCTGCCAGAGGAAGACCAGGAGGAGGAGGAGAAGGCAGGAGGGTCAGTCTGCAGAGGCAGGAGGCTGGTGAGGAGGAGAAGAAGAAGGAGGAGGATCCCCGAGGACTCCTCAAGCGCAGCGTGGAAACGAGGGAGCGCGGTGAAGAGGAGCTGCGACAGAGGGAGGCGCAGCAGCTGGACTTTCGCTCGCTGCTGGGACGCCGAGCTTTCGCCCGCGACGGTGACACCGACACCCAGAAGATGGATTTTAAGGCCAACCTCCGGGGCGTCAAAGGCAAGGCGGAGGAGAAGGCGAACTCCCCGCAGCAGGTGGACTTCCGGAGCGTCCTGGGGAAGAAGGGCGCCGCCGGCAGCAAGCCGGCCGAGACGCCGCCAAAGAACGCTGGAGACTTCCGCTCCGTCCTCGCCAACAAGAAGAAGACGACGCCGGCGGCGACCCCCGAGAAGAACGGAGAGAAGGTGAACAACTGCGTGGATGGAGGGATTCACGACCAGAAGAGCGAGGGTGGTGGAGGAGGTGGAGGAGGTGGAGGAGATGGAGGGACGGCGCCAGAGTTCGTGGAGAAGCTGAAGGATGTGACGGTGCTGGACGGTCAGCGGCTCCGGCTGGAGTGTCGCCTCGCCTCCGCCGCAGCTGCTGATGTCACCGTCGCCTGGACGCTGGACGGGAAAACCGTCAAACCGTCCAAGTTCATCATCCTCGCCAACGAAGGTCAGAGTTCACACACATACACACTTTCTGAAATCGAGGCGGTGACGGAGAGCTGGTTTGCTAGAAGTTTGGTGTGAGCCGTGCTGATGGAGGAGGAAGAGGAGCAAGAGCAGCTGCCGATGAAGCTCAAAGGATTCAGACTCTATTAATAGATCGCAGATGTGAAACAAAAGAGCGTAGAGATGCAGGATGTGATGTGAGACCACCGAGTATTGTGGCTATTTCAGATGGGAAAGATCACTTTACACACGCAGCATTAACTGTACTCCAGGCCTCCACAGTCGTCATTCCTGCAGGTTGCAGCAGCTTGTTTGCATCCAGTCTGACCCCTGACACGCGGCGTAGGTTCAACCTGTAGCTCCACATCCCAAAAGACAACATGACTTCAACTTTTTCATTAATGAACTCTAAACATAGAGCTGGTTTATATGATTCCAGCAACAGCACCGTTTTTTTTTTTTTTTTCTGGACTAATTTAAATGAAAAAAATATTTTGTAGTTCAGCAAAGTCAGTTTGTGCTAGATTATGCTGGAATCTAGATTATACTTGAATCTGGATTATACTGGAATCTAGATTATGCTGCCACTGAAAAACAAAAAAGAAAAGTTTTTTCTCAGAACTCAATTTTTGATTTTAGCAGATTAGTCAGAATTTAGATTAAAATCAGAATTTCTCCTTTTTTAATTTTTTTTGTTATCCTCCTCCGTATATTCCAGCTTTGTGCGATAACCATCTCTTATTTTCTAAATCAACTTCTACATTAATGCTCCACAGCGCCATCTATCCTCTCCTCTTGGTACTGATCTATTTTTCGTCATCCTCAGTCAGGAAGAAATGTGACAGATTCCTGTTTTTCCAACACTGCCATCAGGAGAGTATTAGCTTTTGTTCAGCCAGCTGATCAGCAGTGTGCACTCTGTGCTCCAAGCAGCTGATAAATAAAACTAATCTAGTTACTTTGGTGCTTTTCTAGCATCTCATAAAAATTACTTTAAAATGAAGAAATTATATGACAGAAATTTTGATCAGTTTTGAAACAACAGCTTTTTAAAAGCTTCATATGCAATGACATGCTGAGTGGCCATGCACTAAGCACGAAATAAATAAACTATTTACCCAGAATGCCCTTCTCTGTAGTAATTGGAGTGATCTCTGGTCCGCTGGTGTTCACATATGCTTTCAAACTGCACCAGAGCTCAATTCAACCGAACCGAGACCGAGGTTTGTAGGTGAACCAGAGTTCCCTTTCGCGGTTCATATCGGAGTTCGATTCCACTTTCACGCCTTCCCAAATGAACCGGAGATTATAGACGAATGAGCTGGAGTTTCATTACAGCAAAGTAAACGGAGCTGGCGTGACTCAGATCACTTTAGCTTTTCACTGAACGTTTAACGCAGAAACCAGGAAAACTTTAAAAACCTGCCAAGAACAAATGGACCCAAATCAAATAAAGTTCCCAAATGGCTGAAATCTGGAGACTAATTGGATTTTAATTGGTCCAGATGTCGATCAGATGACTCAACGTGCCTAAATAAAAAGTTGAACCAAGTCACTGTTACTGCAGATATCAAGCATCACATTTATTTTTATGGCACATTTAAAACATTTGTTGACCAAATTGCATCTCAGCTACATCCACAATCATAAAATAAGTCGCCACACTGAGCTAGCTTCTGCTAGAACTTTCATTGTGTTTAATTGAATTGTTCATTTCTACTGTCACCACATGCTTTCTCTGCGCGACACAGTAAATGATTAAATTCAATTAGATAAGCTTCCTGATCATTTAGCAGTTCACTTAAATGATCAGTTCATTATCTCCATCAATAAGTTTGATCAAAATGTGACAAAATGATTACGTTCAATTGCTATAAACTAAGTTGACTTTATATATTTGCTCTTAATTGAATCGATTTGTATCAATTTAAAAATAAAATCCTCTAATAATCTTCACACAGATATAAACTGAGCAGAATTTCTCACATGGACACAAACATTGCTGCTGGATCTGCTTGAACATGTGTGTGTTTACGAACGCCTGGGACTCCCGGTGTTTGTGTGTGTGTGTGTGTGTGTGTGTGTGTGTGTGTGTGTGTGTGTGTGTGTGTGTGTGTGTGTGTGTGTGTGTGTGTGTGTGTGTGTGTGTGTGTGTGTGTGTGTGTGTGTGTGTGTGTGCAGTAATCCTTCAGCATGTTATTTTATCCTTCAGGACAGCCTCTGTTCCAGCTCTGCACATTGAGGTGGTCCATGTTTAAGGTCAGAGGTCACAGCAGCCTCAACACACAGTGATGTTGTTGCTTTTATTTCCAGCAGGAAACTAACATCAACATCTCCAGAATAACTGAACATTCTGGTTTTAAACCAGAGACAAATTCACTCCATCGTTCACTTTGCTGCTGCGCTTTAAACACAAGTATCAGTTCTCAATATCAACCTCAGATTATTGTCAGAAATCTCTTATTTCATCTGTGGCTGAGAACATTTATGGACTTTATGATTTGCTGAGACCACTTTGCAGTTATGCATAGATTAATGCATAACCACAACTCTAAGAATAAAAAGTTCTAATCTGGTACAAATTCTGAAAACAATTCTGCATAGAAAAAGATGCTGCTTGACTTGTGCAGATTCCAAAGTGACATCAACACCTGATATTATTGACACGTAAATACTGAGTCTGAGATCTCTCACTTCATCAGTAAATAAATCTGAATCCCTCTAAGCCACATGCCATTCCTCAGCTACCTTCTTTTGTAACACATTCGCATTTGCACCTGTTTGACTCTGATTTATTGCTCTTGATTGACACATATAATTCATCAGCTGTCACAATCAGAACACCAACAGTTACAGTAATATAAATTCATTGGCAATGACTGTACATGCATGTCATGTCGCAGCTGCTGTGTCTTGTTTATTCTGTGATGTTACACCTTTAATTTGGTATTTCAGTTCTTGAACATGAGAAGTTGTGTCCAAAGAGCGCTCAGTTGTGTTAAAACACCAATAACTTGCTTATAAAATGGGTTTGTTGTTTTTTCACTAATAAGATATTTGCACCAGAAACTCGACCGAGATTACTTGGTAAGATTTTGTTTTTGCAGTGAAAAAGGTGAACTCTGCTCCACCATGTAGATAGGAAACCATTCCAAAAGCAGGATGCAAACTACAGCACAAGGCATTCTGGGTAAATGCAATCAAATCAAACAGGCGAGTCTGACGCTTGTGGGAGAAATGACTCCTGGTCTTTTAGCACAGACAAAAGAGAAATGCTACAACCACTAAAATTTTATGCTACTCCATTTTTGTTTTCATTTCGTGAAGAAGAAAGTTGAACTCGGTGTCGTTTTTACATCATTTCCTTCAGTGGTTCTCGTTTCGGGCGGAACGGGTCGCTCAAAGGGTTTGGTTTGTTTGACTCAGTGCAGAGTGAAAGTGAAGCACAGCAGCTCAAAATTGAGCTGCATGAGCTCAGAGACGAGTGATGCGAGTTTTAGGCCACCCCCGATTTGGTTCTGCAACTCCAGCTGCATGATCTGAAGTCTCAGACGGTTCATGATCTCAACAGATCATCTTGCATGGTGTGAAAGGACAAGTAGTAGTTAATGGAGTGTTTGTGTGATTATGGTGAAATCTGATCTGAAAACTGACTTATCTCTCTGCCATCCTCAGTTGTGTTTCCCATTTGTCCTTCTACTCCTTTAAGTTTATCAGTCAGACGATGGCATCCATGAAATTAAGACATTTTAACGCAGATGACCTGAAACCTCTTGACCAAACTGAGGGAAAGTCGAGTTGAGACGTCACTCCTTAAAGCAGAACCGTCAGATCTCTGGGTCAGAAACTCTGGTCAGGCTGCTTAGCTTCACTGTTAGAATAACGGCTCATCTCTCCTGCTGAACATGATTCATGCATGAGAGTTTTCCTGATTGATGCCAGGCAAGTGAATCAATACAGCATTTAGAAACTTCTTGCAATTTTGTTGCATTTTGGTAAAGATTGGTACACAAATTCATACTGTGTAACGATTTAAGAAGACTGAGCTGGAATAAAGCTGGACGAATTAAATTCAGTATATCAGTCGGGCTTTGAAGTATGTAAAAAAATATTCATACTTTTTTATTTTATCTTTATAGATTCCCAAGGAAGAAGAATTTATATATTGTCACAAAAATGCCAATTTCATTACTTGAGAAGAAAATTGTGATAAATAAAACAACTGCTTACAATGATTGGAATGAAAAACAAGAGAATGCAAAAGGGAAAAAAATAAATAAAATGTACACAAACTAAAATAACTACAATGTGAGTCAATTATAAGATTTTAGTATGTAAGATTAGACTGAGGGCTCCAAACTGTTCCTATAATTTATTTGTAAATTAGACGCAACTGATTAAATTGTTTTTTTAAATGTTAATGTGCTTAGTAATCCGAATCAGGAAGTGGATTTGCTGTTGTAATAGTGTAAACTGTGTCATCATGGGCAGCCCGCAGTATGAATGACTCTCAGATGCTGGGCGGTGAAACATCAAATCATTCATTTGTTCTGCATCATAAAATGCTTGAGGTTTGAATTTTCCTGCTGGTTTAGTGGTTTGTTTCTGTTGGGAGGACAGTCAGACTCAGTAGCAGAAAAATGAATATTATTTCCACACATAAAACATTTTTCCTGTTTTAAGTAGAAAAGTGTAACTAATATGTATTTGCATTTATGCTCAAGTGTTAATGATCTAAAACATGCTTATTTACTTTGCTGAAACATGACTTTTAGGTTCTGTTATCTTAATTCAAGTGGACTAAAAAATTTTTATTAAAAATTAGACAAAAATTCTTGGTAAGGTTTTGTTTTTTTATGACTTTCTGGATTTGCTTTATTTACAAACTGACCCAAAAGCAATAGGAGAACTAATTGGATTTTCTTCCTCAAAATAAAAAGTATCTGCAGCAACTGGAATGTGAAGAAATAATTTTTTATTTTATTGTAAATTTAACTTAAAAATTTACACCCAGTTTATTATTTGCTCTTTTATAACAATCTGTCCCCTTTATCTTCCACAGTCTGAAAATGAATAAATGGTAACTTTGATTTATTAAAGCAAATCCTTTCATGATCTAGAATCCAATCCGGTTGGGGATTTATCCCTTTACTGTTGGCAAAAGTCTAAAAATATCTCCGTGTGACTTTTATTTTTGAATGCATGAACATGGCAGCAGGTTGATGCTGTCATGAACACAAAATGTTGTTGTTTTTCCTCAAAACAAGTAAATTGTAAATCTGGAGAATAAATTAAACCGCATATGGATCACCTGGGAGCTGATTATCTGCTCAATGCTGAGTTCATGTTTAAGTTTTATTGCTGTATTTATTGGTCAAATGAAAAACTCTGAAAGTTCTCCAGGAAATCTGGAAGTTGATCAAGACCACTGGAATCGAATAAAGGCTGTAAATCCAGCTGGTTAGTTAATCCTCTGGGTGATGAATGTTTTCTGCTGTGTTTTCCAGGCGGCCTCTGCTCTCTGACCATCGACAAAGCTTTGCCGGAGGACGAAGGCCAGTACAAATGCAGAGCTGAGAACTCGGCCGGCAGAGCGGAGTGTTCCTGTATGGTTCTAGTCGATGGTAAGAACCTCATCGTCTCTCAGACCTTCAGTTATTAGTGAGACCCGAGACTTAAAATGGATAAACTGGTTTTAGTGGTCTAAAGGGAATTGTTCAGACACAGAAAAAGCCCCTTAGGCGAAGTCCACACAGCAGGTAAATGATCCAAATCCACATTTTCTTCTTCACAATTCTGCTCTTTTCACTAAAAAAAGTTTGATCTTTCACCATCCATATGTGGGTTTAAATTGGATTTGTATCCAAAGCCGTCATGTCAACATTTATCTGACTTTTACATCATTGCTGTCAGACATGAGTCTCACCTGAAAATGCCAGACAAAGTAAATCAGGATGCAAATAATGGTTTGAAATTATAATTATTAACTTATGAAAGAAGTCGCGTCACAATCCCACCACTTTTGGCCCTGACTATATATCCAAAACTCTCTACAGAAGTAGAGATGCAATTCTTATTACTGTTTATTTAGTAGCATGCAAAAAAGATCTTATTTCAGCAGAAAATCAGAATGAAGCACCGAGACCTGCTGTGTGAACGCAGCCGTAGATATGGGTTTTCATTCCTCCATTGAGGTTAAAGTTGCTGTGAAGGAGTTTTATTTCTATGCCTGGTTTTCTTATAATTCAGTTCAACAAACTCAGATGGCAGAAAATCATTGGTTTCATTTAGTTTTCTTTCCTGTAGGAATCATTTTGTGTTTCTACTCCACCGCAGGCTGAGCAGAGAACAGGATTTAGTGAAAGACCTTTAAGAAGTTGCATTTTCCAGCATCCACTTAAAGTGAAAACCAAGACTAATCTGCAATAATTAGCATTTTTTGCTACAATTGAGAAATGAATTTAAACATCTGAGTCTGCAGTGTGTGAGGAGCTGCAGGTCTGACCTTAAAGCAGCTGCAGGTTTGGAGACAGATCAGGTCAGGAGCAACAGGTCTCCTCCCTGCTCCTCCTGATTCCTCAGGAGCCTCCGCCTGTTTGCAGCTTCCTGTAATTAAAACAAACGAACACAAACAAACAGCATTTATCTCAAACGGTTACTGGGAAGAAGGAAACTGCTGACTGGAAATCAGCTGCTTCTTCATTCCATGAAGAGTTTGACATTAGCAGTTTGGTTTACTGGAGAAGAAGTAAATAAAAAGCCAACTAACTGGATCCTCTTCTCTGTCTTTTGTAACAGAATCATCAGGATGACATTTACCAGTCAACAAATTGGCTCAAATGGAAAAAAAACACAATTTTGCAATTGCAGCATTTCCATTAAATAAGAAATGCAATCAAAACCACACATGTTGCAGTAAATAATGCAACTCAAGATAAATGCATGGATGAGTTTCTCTAGATCTTGCTGTGACATTAGTCCTTTAATGTTGGACATGTTCTTCAAGTGATAGAAGGCCGACTTTCTAACTGTCTTTTTGTGGCTCTTAAGGTTCAGGTCTGAGTCCATCAGCTCTGCTTCAGTTGATTTGAATCTTTTGGTTTTGAAAATGACTCTCACTTCTTATACTAACTGTTGATTTTAGCCTCTGCAGCTGTTATTGCCTCATTCTAGAGATTTCCAACCAAAACTCCTAGAATGTAAACTGTGACCCTGAGTGAAACTGTTTGTCCTGCGTTTAAAGTCTCCTCTGCGTGTGCGTCCTCCTGCAGATCCACCAGAAAACTCTACGACAGACAAGAAGTCTAAGAAGGCAGCTCCGACCTCAGAGAGTGAGTTTCCAAAATATGCAGCCGCACCAGCTTCTTTCCTTTTGTCCCAATAAGGAGCTACAGACTGGGATTACTGGTTCCCACACACACACACTCATGCACGCAGACACACACACACACACACACACACAGTGGGAGGTTTCTATTTTAAAGTGACTCTGTGTATCGTTGGAAACATCAGTTCGTAAATCACTGTCAGATTATTGTTCGGAGCTCTGTTGCAGTAAACGGTGGACGTCCTCTGAATATTGGAACGTCTCTCTTCACACTGCAAAACACAACAAGTCTTACAAAGTATCTTAGTCCAGTTTCTAGAAACATCTGGGTGTACTTGAAATAAGACAAAACTAACTTACAGGTAATGTTTTAGTGAGGCAACCCAAAAAAGTACGAGTCTCACTTATAACAAGACTTTTTCCCCAAAAGTAAAATAATCTGCCAGTGAAACTAGAACTTTTCATCAATGTTAATAAATTATTGACTAAAAACAAGCTCTTATATCTCACTGAAAAATTACTTGTGTAAGTTAGTTTTGCCTTTTCACAAGTGTATTAAGATATTTGCACTAGAAACTCGATAAAAATACTAATTCTAGTAAGATTTTCTGTTTTTACAGTGTAGGTGAAGAGTCGGACGCTTTAAAGGTAACGGAGAAATATATAAGTACTGCTTTTTTTCTCCTCACAGGGTCTGCATTCAACATTTCTCTAACATTATGTCACAACATTTTCATTAGTTAAGCTAATTTATCTAGGTAAAGATCCAAAATATTTGCAACATTTTGGGTATTATTATTTTGTATATTGTCAGCGGAACATTTAAATGTATTTTCTTTTTAAATATACAATCTTAACATTAAAAAGCATAATTCTCCTTAATCTAAGATATTTAATCTTACCTAGATTTAGGTTTTTGCAGTGTTGTTTTCTAACCCATTGGTTTACGGGTTAGGAAACAATAATGAAAACAATAATAATAATAATGATAATACAGACCTTTGGGCACTTAAATAACTTATAAACATCATAATATGTAGGAGAAAACATAAAATACAGAAGAAAACAAATGTGACTCAGTGAGAAGTGAACATGTGATGAAAATCTTTCTATTTTAAACTAACAGCTCCGATTTTTCCTGTTTGAAGCTGCATGGAGTCAGTTTCTCCATCACACAGTTAAACATGTGTTGCACAAGCGTTTTATGACTGGAGACGACGTTTTCTGTTTTCTGTCTGCAGCCTCAGTGGAAAATCTGCTCTTATCTTTACGATCCGACTCTAAATCCTTCTGCTTGATGTGCATCTGAGCACGTGTGCATTCCTCAGTGTCCGATTTGCCGCAGCAGCTGGATCAAATAACCAGATGATAAAACGCAACATCGTTCTCTTTTGTTCCACAGAACGGCAATCGATACATAAAATCTGTCTCTGTGGTGTTATGGCATTAAATCCTGAGTCAGTTAGCAGAGTTTCTCTCATCAAAGCGACATCCAGACATCAACACTCTGCAGGATCTGATCCGATGATACGGTCCGTTTGGAAAACACGGAGAGAGAAAAACTGAAACTGAACCCAGAAAAGATTAAATTACTGCAGATTCTTAAAACATTAAAGTCAGAAGAACATAGTATTATGACTATTTTCAAAATATTTTAATTTTATTCTCATATTATTTCAACTTTATTCTTGTGCAACTTTATTCTTGTAGTATTATGACTTTCTTCTCATAATTACAACTTTCTGCTCATTATTTGAACTTTACTTTTGTGTAATTTTATGCATGTAATACTGAAACCTTCTTATCTTAATTTTTCTTCTTCACATGGCCCTAATACTCTGTCGTAGATATGAGACGCGTCTTTAAAGTTTCATAAAGTTTAATTTGTGTACAAGTTTTTCTAAAATAGTTGAGATCATGGATCAGTCGCTGCCAGCTTATTTCAGTGTGTTTAAGTAACTCCTGCTCTATTTGATTCATTTTAAATTGGCCTAATTCCCTATAAAACTGATGCTATTTACAGATTTTCCAGCTCTAGATGGTGGGAACCAGTATTGGACTGAAATACAATCCTGGTGTTCCCATCTGAGGAATCCCTGATTTGGTCTCCGCAGGTTAGCGGATGGAACCGTCATTATGTAAACCAAAGGAAACGCTCCTGCTGTTGTTTCAGCTGGGCTCTAATGTGGAGAGAAAAGTTACAAGTGACAGATTGTATGAAACTGCAGCGTTTTATCAGGAATCTCTTCCTACCTGCTGCAGAATCCTGCAAAGTTGGAACAAAAAATTATAAGTTTTTTCATTTGCAACATGAGCTTGAATTGAAGGAGATGAATTCATATTAGAAATCAATACAATCAATACATAAATGTACAATATTGTAAAAAATATTAGCCTCAGACATTTTTGTTGTTGTTTGTGATTTTTCATTTATTTATTTTTTCCTTTTTCCATGTTCAAGATAATCAAACAGTTTTAATTTAATAAAAGACAACCAGCAGTTTTTGGATGAGGAATTTATTTATTGGCCGAAAAAAAAATCTTCCATTTGGGTTTCTTCTGTTTCTAAAATTATCCCAAGCACTTAAAAAAAAATAACACCCAGCCAATAAGTAAATATTTTTTGGTGTCTGGAAAATGACCCATTTCAAAAACCTCCAGGATGTGACATCATTGTGCTGTTACCTAGCAATCAAAGCTGAGCTCCAGCTCAGGTCCGCTAGTTTTAACCATTGTGTACAATGGCTGCTGGAAAAGACGAGAGTTTTGTTGTTGACACATCATCCAGAAACCACTTGTTGCATCATTGTTGGTTATGCAGGAGGCTCTACTAATGCTTTTCAAAGATGCACGCTTTTATAATTGCGCATATGTTTGCAGCCATTTACACATGCAAGGGTTGACGTTGAGTTTGGGGGCGTGGCCACAAGCAGATTATTTGGATATAAAGGCACAGAGTCCCTAAAACTGGAGCCCAAAATAGGCAGAACTGAGCAGACGAAAACCTCATTATCTAAGAATGATTTTGTGCAAAAAAATGTTGATGAACATGTTTTCTATTTATACTAATATGTCCAAAGAAGGCCACTATTAACCACCTGCATTTATTCTTAGTTTTCAAATTGAATCTGGCTTCTGAAGTTGTTGCATCACTTCCATAATTAGTGTTATGTTTCTCCCTGCAGTGCTTGTAAAATGACTGATTGTGTTAGATTCTTGTGTGCCTTCAGAGCTGAACTCTTCTTCTGCAGTCCTTTTATGGCTGTGATATGTCTGTTTACAACGCCCTGCTGAAATTGTTTGCTCTCAGTAAATACAAATATAACAGTCTGAACAATTTAGAGACATCAAACCATCACTTTTCATAAATCGTTTTTATTCCTGCAACTCCAAGAACATCTGGCAAGAACAGTTTGATTTATGTGAAGTTCACTTATGAACTGAATGGAGGATAAGTGAAATATTTTCAGAGTATTTTTATCCTGGACACCTCTCTGATGGTCTGAGTTTGTCGGAGCTGCGGAGACTCTCATTCCTCTGCAGAGTTTTCCCCTCAGAGGAAGGATGGCGGCGTTGGACGGGGATGAAGATGGAGGCTGGGAGATCCTCTCCCTCGTTTCCATTTAAGGCCTGCTCTCTCTGCCTCTGCTTCACTCGCATGTCGTTTTACTTCGCAGCACAGATGAAAAGCATGAAAGTGAAGCAGCTTTCCTTTTAAGAAGTTCATCTTCTTGAACCTGCTGGTTCCAAATTTGGGTCTAAATACTTAGCAGACTGGAAATAAGTGATTTCTCATGCAGAAACTTCCATTTCCTGTTGTTTTTAAACAAGTGCATCTCTGCAGCTTGAGCTTCACATCAGAAAGTTATTGGAAGTTTGGATCATTCAGTCGGTTTCAAGTATTTTTATCCAGTCTCTAGTGAAACATCTCAGTACTACTTGAAATAAGACAAACTTAACTTAAGAGTAACTTTTGAGCTCGCTATAGAAGCTTGTTTTAAGACAGTAATTCCTTAATATTGATGAAAAACATCTACTTCCTCTGGCAGATTATTTCACGTATAACAAGACATTTTTCTAACTAGAACTCTTGTTGGTTGCGTGACTCATGTGATGCAAATAAAGTCAAACTCATTTTCATTTTGTTCCACGTTAATATCATGAATGTCTTCAAAGGGTCGGGTGTTGCAGAAGGTATTGATCATGTATTGATCTTGTTAATCTTTTTCTTTATATTCATATTGTTTCTAACATGGAACATTTTTTTGTGTGTGAACCTTTCTGTCTGTTGCGGCTGCTACGCTTGAATTTCCCCCCTGCAGAGCAATTAGACTTGTTTCTATTTTATTGAATTATTCATAAATAGTTGTATTTGTATTGAATCAGTTATTCCCATATTGAACATCTTTTCATAGAGATGTAATTTGGCAGAATATATCTTAAAATGGTTTTGATTTGATACATATTCAAGCACACAGCTGTTATTTGGAAGGTTTTGTTTAAGTGAGGGCCACATAAAAAGTTATGGCGGGCCGGGTTTGGCCCCCGGGCCTTTAGTTTGACACATTCATTTTAGTTGTTTGACACTTTGAAAGCCCTTAGTCAACAGTGGATGCAATTAACTTGATCTAAAGTTCCTCACTTTAAATCACTCTGTTCTTTAAAAGTCTAAAAACAATTTGTTGCTTATTTAAGAAACTTTACGGGTTCAGTAAATAAAACTAAGGTTGTTAATGAGAAGAAAAGCCCGAAATGCGTTTCAGTGACATTGAACTGATTTCTTTAAGATTTTTAAAGGATCAACCAGGTGGTCTTGAAGAAATGTTTGGTTCTCTGTGTCCTGGTTCTGTTTGTTTTGCAAAGGAGATCATATTTTTCTGATCTGAGATTTTTATGACCTTATTTATAGATAATAGCTTTGAATTGTTCTGTTTGTTCTGTAGAAAGATAATTAGAAAAACCATAGCTCAGTTTTTCTCTTGTCAGTGATCCTGTATCCAGCAGGGGGCGATGTGCTCACATTTACATGAATTTGCCTCATTAAAGACGAGAGATAATAATGTGTAATATGTAGTTTTTATTTATTCACTCATTAATTCTGCTTTAGTTATATTAGATTTAACAGTGAAATAATCTGCAACTGAAGCCAGAACTTTTTATCAATATTCAAGAATTATTGCTCTAAACATGCTCCTAAATCTTTGTGAGAAGTTAGTTAGTTTTGTCATATTTCAGGTGTATAACGATTTTTCCACTAGAAACTAGACCAGAAATACTTTGTAGGAGTTGGTGTTTTGCAGTGTGTTGTTTCTTAAAGTTTATTTTCTCTGACTAAAGACTTTTAGAGAAATAAATCCTCCTACTTGTGAAGCACTTTAAGGTTTTTTTATGCTGCTTGGATTTAAACACTGAAACATTAACACCACCATCTGGGCCAGAAGGAATTGTAGTTTTCTTTGATTTATTCTCCTCCCTGTTTCATCTTTTGTTCCTTCAGGCAGTAAATAAAGTTTTGTTAACCATATTAAGGTGTTTGCTGAGCCTCTGTCACATGTCGGGTTTTATTAACAGTGAAATGCCTGCAGGGTTTGTAAAAGAGTTGAGTTAGTGAGTGTGTGTGAAGTGGAAAAAGTCTCGTGCTTCTGTTTTAGAACCAGATGCTCTCCTGATTGTGGAGTTTATGGGAACCTAAAGCGACGGCGGTCTTCTCTGAAATGATAAATCAGAAACGATACGGAGAAAGAAGGCAGCCCTTCACCTCCAACATCATAAGATGATGGCCTTTTATTCATCTGGAGAATAAATAACAAACTCCATCAGCTACTTCCTGCTCAGGAGGAACTATTATTAGGTTGCCCTTATATGGTCGTCAGAGACGCTCCTCTCGTCTCACATTCTTGTTCTGCTGCTTTTCTCTGATGGAGTCGGACTTTCTGTTCCAAGACTGTCACTCCTGCACACATGAAGAACCTCTCTCACAAAGAGCAAACCAAACTTTAATTTATGCTGCAAGTTGTAAAACATTTGATGGAAAACTTGAATAAACTACCAGAGTGAAACAGGAGCAGAGTTTGAATGTTTACAGGGTTAATTGTGATGGATGCAACTTTGTCTTCTGTGTTTATGAATCTATTTATTGGCCTGAATTGATTTTGTATTTTCCACACAAGCAGGTTATTCCATAATCCTCCCGTAACGGCATAATTTAACAAATAAAAACTAGCAAGCTCACTCTAAAAACTGATTAAAACTAACTGAATTAAACAAGTAAAACATCACAACAATAGCTGCCTGACGGCTCTGTTTGCTTCCTTCAGGTGAAGCCAGAATAAAGAAGCCAACTGCAAAGACTCCTCCCAAACAAGGTGAAAAACACCAACTGATAACCAGAAACACACATGGATCTGAACTGAATGTTATCGGCTGGTTTTTATTAATTATTTTGGGGATTTGTGCAGCTTTGCCTCCTCAGATCCTCCAGTTCCCAGAAGATATGAAAATCCTGGCAGGAGAAAAGGTGGAGATCCTCTGCAAATACTCTGGAGCTCCACCCATCACCTGCACCTGGCTGAAGTTCAGGAAACCAGTGAGTCTCTCATTCACACACACTGGTTCAGCCTGAAACCTTCTGACTGGGAGTGCTGCTGTATTTGTGTGGGTCAGATCCAGGAAGGATCCTCGGACGTGTCCATAGAGAGCACAGACAGCAGCAGTAAGCTGACCATCAGCAGCGGGCAGCAGGAGCACTGCGGCTGCTACACCGTGGAGCTGAGGAACAGCTACGGCCTCCGGCAGGCCGCACTCAACCTCACCATCGTTGGTAAAGAAATGCGTCAGCTGAGAGGCTGAAACCAGCTAATTATAAAACACTCGCTGAACTCCAGCATGTTTGGTCAGCTGGTTTTGCTGCAGAATGCGCTCGACAACGGCTGCTGGAAAAGACGAGTGTTTTATTGTTGACCTACCATCCGGAAACCACTTGCTGCATTGTTGCTGGTTGTGCAGCAGGCTCCACTTCTGCATTTCAAAGACATACAGTTGTACAATTGCACATCTGTTTGCAGTTGTTTTCATGTGTGAGTGGAAACATTGAGTTGGAGGCTGTAAACAAGAGCAGCTTATTTGGATTTAAAGTGGTAAGAGGCTCTAAAACTGCCAAAAATCTTAGCCAAGAATGATTTTGTGCAAAAAGTGTAAAGAATATTTTTATGTTATTTTTGAAACAAACTTATTTTTCCTGTTGAAAAGACGTGCAGACATTTCTTTTGTTTCAAGAGCACCAAGATATTTACACTAGAGACTAGACACTTTTTCCAGTGATAATATTCAAATTGTAAATCCTCCTTAGACAAACCCGACCCCCCAGCAAAGGTCCCTGCGACCTCTGACATCCGGCGCTCCAGCCTGACCCTGTCGTGGTACGGGCCGACCTACGACGGCGGCAGCGCCGTGCAGACCTACCACCTGGAGATCTGGGACTCTGTGGACCAGCAGTGGAAGCAGCTGGTGTCCTGCAACAGCACCTCCTACAACATCCAGGTGGGCTCTCAGCTCCTGACCCAACACAGGAACCGTTCAGGTCAGAGGTTAAACAGAGGGTCTGTGCTTCCAGAACCTTCTTCCAGATCGACAGTACAAGTTTCGAATTCGAGCTCAGAACATTTACGGCATCGGAGAGCCGAGCGCCGAGTCTGAAGCAGTAACAATGGGACTGGTGGACGACGGTGAGAAACTAAACTTTCTGTAGATGTTCTGACAGAAATCCATGCAACAAGGTTTCTGATTGATGAAGGTCCAGTTTCTGTTTATCGCCATAAACGAGTAATGTACAGGTAACGTTTCAGTTAGATATAGGAGCTTGTTTTAAGGCAATAATTCCTGAATATTGATGAAAAATTTCTAGTTCCAGAGGCAGATTTTTTATGATCTTTTGGTACTACAAGTAGTTTTATTATCAATGTTTTAGTTTGTCCTAAAACAAACTTCTATATTTTGCTGAGAAGTTACTTTAGTTTTCTCTTATTTCAAATGAACTAAAACATTTGAACTACAAAGATTGTTTTTACAGTGTGGCAAAACAATGCTAAAACATATTTTTAGAAATTAATAAACTTTAATTTCTCATTACATTTAACTGGACAACATTTTAAATATCCAAAATAAACAAACAGCAAATAAAATTAACTTTTAATTCAAATAACGGAGGTAGTTGAGACCAAAGCACCAGACTGAAGACTTTTCTTACCCAGTTTTTGGTAGAAAGAGAGAAAAACAATATTCAGAATGAGATTGAGCTCATTTTAATTTATCTGTGATTAATTGATTAATTGATTTACCCAACTCTAATCTGAATCCATCTGCTACTAAACCAGAACCATTTCTGACTAACTGGGCTTTAACAGGTCAGCTGAATTACAGAGGCTGAACTAAAACGACTAACTGGACTAACGCGGCTGCTGCTTTAATTCCTCTAACAGATAACCAAGATGATGCTGAGGCAGAGGAGGAGGATGAAGGTATGAACCTCCATCTGCACATAAACAAACTAACCACAATGTTTATCAGCCCTGAGAACCACAACAACCTGCTTCCTGTTTGTGTTCAGACTCGGAAAAAGAGCCAGAGTACCGAGACGTGACCATCAAAACCGATGCGAAGGTGAAGGAGTTTTACGACGTGGAGGAGCGGCTGGGAACGTAAGGCTCCGCCCACCGTCACCTCGCAACCACGACGGCGCGAGCGCAGCGTAAAGCGTGTCGTTTCTGTCTCAGGGGGAAGTTCGGTCAGGTCTTCAAACTGGTGGAGAAATCCACGAAGAAGGTTTGGGCCGGGAAGTTTATCAAGGCGTATTCGGCCAAAGACAAGGAGAACGTCCGACAGGAAATCAGCATCATGAACTCCCTGCATCACCCCAAACTGGTCCAGTGTGTCGACGCCTTTGAGGGCAAATCCGACATCGTCATGGTGCTGGAGATGTAGGTGCTCCCTCTGCAGGGTTTCACTTTGCTTCTACCTCACAGACCATTTGAGACGTTTTTATCTCTAATCCGGGCAAAATTACTCCAGACAAATTAAAATATCACATCAGAAGATCTGAGCTACAATGGATTCAGTATCCAGCACCCAGGTCAGCTTTCACTGCAAAAACATAAAATCTTACAAGTATTCTTGTGTACACTTAAACAAGACTAAACTAACTTATAATTAACTTTATTGCAAGATTTAGAAGCTTCCTTTAAATCAATAAATCTTAAGTATAGATTTAAAAATGACTAGTTCCACTAGTGGATTATTTCGTTTATAAAAAGACATTCTTCCCATAAGTGAACAAATCTGCCAGTGGAGAAAAACTTTTTAATCAAAAATAAGGAATTATTGACTTTAAATGAGCAAAAGTTGTCATTTCAAGTTGAGGAAATTATTTTAACTAGATAAAAATACAAGATTTTGTGTTTTTGCCATGTTTTGTATTTTCTTGTGATGCACCCAGATTTTCTTTTAATTTAGGTTTTTTTTAAATAAATTAAATTTTAAATTAAAATTTAAAGTGACTTATTGCTCACAATTGACAAAAAGAAACTTGCTTTACTTTAGATCCCCTTAAAAGTTTCCAAAGTGGATTTCTTTCTTTTGATGAGGCAAACCTGCAAAAATAATTTTTACATTTTGGATGTGCAATAATTTACAGATCTGAATGCTTTACTGGTTTGATTAAAGTTTTACAGCTGGCTTATTATTGAGTAGGTGAAACAAAATCACATTTGTTTTTCATTTTTATCCCTTATGTGAACCTGCAGCAGAATATCACAGATCAAATCTCTGAGCTGTTTTTTCTTCAAGTACAAAATGTTTTTTTTTTTTCAGCAGAAAACACTGGAAAACAATTTCCTCCTCGGCTATGAGAGGAATTCAGGAGCAAACATTTCCTGTCTGCTAATTTTAGAGCCGAAGTTCGACCTCATCTCACCCTAAAACATCATTTCTTCTTTAGTCATTCCTACTTTTCAGCTGAACTTTCAGCTGATTTCCATTCAGAAGAAATTCTCATGTCAAACAGGAACATCCAGCTTTCAATTTTAACTCTGATAAATAAACATTAGAACGGAAGCAACAAATAAGTGCTGATACGATGAAAATCAGGAATACAAACAGGAAGAAATGTGTTTATAGTCGGATTATCTGACTGCAGCATTTCAGTCTGCAGCTTCACTCTGGAGACGGCTGCAGACGTCACAATGAAGGAACAAACAAGTTTCACCAGAGAATAAAATTTAAGTTTTTATTTTGGGAAAATCCTCCATGTGGTCATGTCTTGTTAGACTGGCAGATTATTTCACTTATTATTATTTCTTTTTCATCAGTATCATTTTTGTCGAATTTGTGCTGGTCGATTACAAAAACTCAAACATAGGAGCCATTTAGGATGTGAAGTAACTAAATAGAGTAATGACTCAGTTTGAGTTTTTATCTCTGTCTGCAGGATTTCTGGCGGCGAACTGTTTGAGCGGATCATCGACGAGGACTTTGAGCTGACGGAGAGGGAGGTGATCAAATACATGCTGCAGATCATCGACGGCGTCAACTTCATCCACAAACAGGGGATCGTCCACCTCGACCTCAAACCGGAAAACATCATGTGTGTCAACAAAACCGGCAGCAAGATCAAACTCATCGACTTCGGCCTCGCCCGGCGGCTCGGTAACCAGACCCACATTAATATAACCAGCTGCGTTTCCATTAGGAATGTTTGCAGAACTTTGGCTAAATGCTGCCAATGTTGACCCAAAAAAAACAATTTAGCAGTTTCCATTGAAATAAGAAACGCAATTGTAGCCAGATATAAATAAGTTTGGTCGAGCAATAAGTCATTAAAAAACATGCTTCCTGTTGTCTTCATCTTTTCTGCCAGTTGTTGGTCATGTGACTCGTATGATGCAAAAAAAGTGTTTTCATTGCAGTTTTGTGCAGAATACATTATTTATACATCCGCCTCATCCTAGCACAAAAACTTACCAAAAAACTTCTTTATTTTTTCCAGAATTAGCAGGTTTCCATTAAGCAAAATTATGTTTGCAATTGCAAACGTTTTGATTGTCCTTTATGATGTTCTGAGCAGAACCAGATCCTCTTTGGACTGCAAAGGAATTGGACTCTTATAGAAAGGAATTGATTTGGAATTGACTAAAACGCCTTGTGAACGTCTCTGATGGAAACAGACGCAGCTACTGACACAAACTGTTAACAACTACTGGCCCAAATTCTGGCAGTATTTCTTAATATTTCTTCTTTTTCTAATAGTGATTATTTAACTTTTGTCCCCCTACAGCAAATGCTGGAACTTTGAAGGTTTTGTTTGGGACTCCAGAGTTTGTGGCTCCTGAAGTGATCAATTACGAAGCCATCAGTTACCCCACAGACATGTGGAGTATAGGAGTCATCTGTTACATCCTGTGAGGAAACAACTCTCTGTTAACTCCAGCTAGCTAAACGTCAGCTGAGGTTTTCTTTCTGTTTATTCCCTCAGGTTGAGCGGTCTCTCTCCCTTCATGGGCGACAACGACAACGAGACTCTGGCCAATGTCACCTCTGCGACCTGGGACTTTGAGGACGAGGCCTTTGATGAAATCTCTGAAAACGCCAAAGACTTCATCACCAACCTGCTGAAAAAAGACATGAAGTAACCCTGATGTTTTTACAGAGCAAAAGCCAAATATCTGCCATCACTCTGAGTGTTCACAGTGTGACATGCGACTCCTCAGGGCTCGGCTGTCCTGCCCTCAGTGTTTTGAACACCCCTGGCTGAAACAGGACACCAACACCATGAAGACCACCAAGCTGTCCAAGGAGAGGATGAAGAAGTACATCCTGAGGAGAAAGTGGCAGGTAAATATGAGGATCCGTCATGTTTGACAGCAAAACTCTCCAAGCAGGACTGGGACACTCAGTTTCACTTTGGCCCATTTTTATCAAGATCATGAATGTTTTCAAGGGCTGATTGTACCAGAATGTATTTGTAAAACTCATTAGCAAACTGTTCAACTATCAATAAATGGCTGCCTCTGTATTGATTAAGCACTAATACTCAACATCTTTTCACATTGATCAGTTCCTCCAGGATTTCACAATTGTTTTTGTGATTGTTTGCAAACAAAGTGACGTTTTTTTTTTTTGCTTATTTAAAAATATTTCTTACAAATTTACCAATATTTGCACTTATGTATGACAATAGATCTGAGTTTTTGTTACTATAACCTTACATAAAGGCTGATGCAGCATTGTAGTAGAAGAAATACTGCCACCTGCAGGTGTGAGATAGCATCACTCCAACTCACTGTTTTTGACCATTTTTGCAGAAAATGTGCAGTAAACTCAAAATGACGTATTATCTCAAAAAATGCAGAGATTTGTTGACTATGTGTGAAGTTTCAGAATTGCAAAATGACAAAAAACTGGAGGGACTGACTGATGTAATTTGGATGTGAACAGATAAAAAATCATTTGATTTGATTGATGAAATATTTGAGTCACAGCTGTTACCTTGAAGTTTCTGTTTTTTTGTGTCCCATATAAAAAGCTGCAGCTTGCCAATCTTTAAGTTCCACACATTCTTTACAGAAATCATCATCTATCATGTTTGAATGTGAATGTTTTTTCTTCTGTGACAGAAAACGGGTCACGCTGTTCGAGCGATTGGCAGACTCTCCTCCATGGCCATGATGGCTGGAGTCAGTGCAAAGAAAGGCTCGCCCACTGAAGGTACCGAACCCAATTGAGTCATTTTTCCACATTCAATCCTAATTACCAAACACTAGGACTCATATTCAGCTGACCACCTAATTTCAGATGGTAAAAAGTATCTAAGGATTGCAGAAGAAACAAGAAACAACTACATTTTAACAGGAACAAACTGTCAGCAGAACTGGGCTCACTATGGACAACACACTGCAAATCAATTACAAAAATCTTTGTACATTTCACATAAAACTAATTTACAAGTAACTTTTTAAGCAAGATTTAGGAACTTATTTTAAGTAAATGATTACTTAATATTATTTTTTTAAATATTGTAATCGCAGATGTTTTTTAACTTAGAAAAAGACATTTTTCCATTTCATTAGTAAAAATATCTGCCAGTAAAATTAGTGTTTAATCTATATTAAGGAATAATTTACTTAAAACAAGGTTTTATATCTTACTTAAGATATACAAGTAAATATTACTTGAAAATTAGGGTTTTTTTCAATTTTATTTCAATGTAATATTTGCACTAAAAACTAGACAAAATATTTGGCAGAATTTTGTTTTTGCAGTGCAAAATTTGGAGATCAGAAGCTCAAAATGACTGAATGTTGGCAAAATTACAACAGACAGAAAACAACAAACACTGATATAAAACAAGACGAATCGTCTCTAAGGCACTGAATGCATCTTGTTTGTTTTCAGAGGACAATCAGTTCCTGGAGTGTTTGGAGTACGAACAGAAGACGGAAAGTAAACCCACTTTCAGTTCAGTCATTAAAGACGTGGAGGTGGTGGAAGGCAGCGCCGCTCGCTTTGACTGCAAAATAGAAGGTACAGTCGATCAATATACACATTGATCTGCTGATAATTATAAACCTGGCTGACATAACTGATATATGTTCTGAATTAACATTATTCAGGATGATTATTAGTGGAAAATGTGAAACTTTAAAAGGAGATAAGACGCTATTGACGATTTACAGTAAATTTTTGAAGCATATTAAGTGATTTTATACAAATAAAACTGGATTTTAACTCTATAAACCTTCTTCTTTAGGATATCCTGACCCTGAGGTGGTTTGGTACAAAGACGAGCAGCCAATCAAAGAGACCCGACATTTCCAGATCGACTACGATGAAGAAGGAAACTGCAGTTTGATCATTTCAGAGGTCAGAGTTCATCTGGTGCTGCATCGCTTCTTTTACATTGAACGACCTAAAAACTGAAGCTGTTGTGTCTGTCAGAATCACTGCCTCAACTTTTCTGCAACTTAAAGTTTTGTTTTTCTTCCGTCTTGCAGTTTTGTTGTTCTTTGTGTTGCTGCATCACAGAAAATCCACCTAAAATATCATGAATTATGTGGTTGTAACATGGCACAACGATGTTTCTGAACATAATGTTGCTATATTGAAATTAATTATATTTATTAATTGAAAAAACACAACATCTTACCTAGTATTTTTCACCTAGTTTCTAATGCTAATGTATTGGTTCATTTTAAATGTTTTAAATCAATAATTACTTCATATTGATTTTATAAAGTTTTAGTTCCACTGGCAGATTTTTTCACTGTGAAGACATTTTACCAAGTTATAAGTGGAAATAGTAATGTTTCCTCAATATTAAATAATTATTGACTAAAGGTGACCTGCAATAGCTTTCTGAAAAGTTACTTTTAAGTTAGTTTTGTCTTATTTGAAGTGTATTAAGATATTTTCATTAAAATTTAACCAAAAATAATTGCTAAGATTGTACATTTTTGCAGTGCTTCATTGTTTTCTGGTGTTAACTTGCAGGTTTCAGGTGACGACGATGCCAAGTACATGGTGAAGGCCGTCAACAGTCTCGGCGAGGCGACGTGCACGGCAGATCTGCTGGTGGAGGTGATGGCTGGAGAGGAGGAGGAGGAGGAGGAAGAGGAGGAAGAATAAAGATTCCTGTTGGACGTTTAGGAGGCCTGCTGCTCCTCAGTCTGTCAGAAAATTCACTCACAGTAACAGGGGAGGTATGGGTGGGCGGAGTTTCTCATTGTTTCATTTTCAGGCGGTGCAGTTCACTATGTCAAATGAACCAAAACAATTTTTAAAGTTGTTCCCCTCCCAGCCTGTGGGGGCGCTGCAACAAGAACTACTGAAAGAAACGGCACAAAAAGACAAGAGTGCAACTTCCTTCTTCAGGAAATGTAAACAATAGAATAGAATAGAATAGAATAGCATTTATTGTCATTGAACAGGATTCAACAAAATTTCTATTGCAACTCCCGTGATTTTAATGATTGTAGGATTTCTCTTTAGTCTTCAACAAAAGACCACAAGCCAATTCTCCCAGTAGCAGTCGACTCTTGCCTTTGTTCTGTTTGTATTTACCCAGAATTCCCTGCGTTGTAGTCTGCTTCCTGCTTATGTTTCGGTCTCCAGTAAGTTTGGCCTTCAGATATACATTCGAACTGCACTAGTTTACTTCAGAACCAAACTGAGACTGAAGTTTGTAGACAGACCAGTGCTTGTTTTTTAGTTTGCATCAGTTTGATTCACATTCACATCTCCCCGAACAAACCAGACTTTCTAGACAAATGAACTAGAGTTTTATTGAAGTGGACTAAACAGGATTGGTGTGAATGCAGCAAACAGTTCATCCCTGCAGCTTGGACTGTGTTAGACTCCGCCCACCTGATGCCCCGCCCACCATCCAATCTCTTGATGTCACATCAGTTGGACTGACTTCCTGTGAGCAACTGCTCCTCCAAAATAACCACACAGACACTTCCTGCCGTTTCACATGAAGATCAACCATAACCAGTTCCTGATTTTACAAGATTCTCAATTTCAAAACATCAAATATCTTTCTCACATGGACTCTGGAGGTTCCTCCAACAGGCTCCTTCCTGCGTCAGCAGCTTGAACCTGTACATGTTTCATTCATAATGCCTCACTTTGTCCCTGTTTGATTTGAAAACAAAGTTCCAAAGCATGAGGAAAAGCGTGTTTGCCAACACTTTAAGTTTAACCTTTTTGTCTGATCCAAGTGCAGGAGGGGACAGAGAGAAGATGGCCGACCCGCCTTCTTTAAATTAAGCATCATTAGAGTCAAACGTTTGTGCAGCAAACATTTTCATGTGCCACTTTGATTTTAAAGATATCAATAAATGTTTTCAAAGGTCATCGAAGGTCAAGCAGTACTCCCATATTTACAGTATCACATTAAATATGGTGTCAATCAAATGTGCTGTTTATGTTAGTTTGTGGACAAACTAACAAACTACTTTATGCTCAAACATCACTAAGCAAAAAAAGGTTACTTGAGATATTTGTGCTGCAAAAAGTTTCTTTTGTCCTGCTATACTTTTCAAGATTTAAAAAGTTACCAGAGATCACTCTGCCCTCACACCCCCACATTAACAAAATTATCATTTTGTTTGTGCTGCTACAATTTTTAAGATTTAAAGACAAAAGTTTCCAGAGGCCACCAGAAATCAACTTATCCTTCCACTCTCACATTAACAAAATGGATATAAATTATTTCTCTAGTTTGTGCAGCTATTGACACCAAATTTTCTTTACTTTGTAAACGTGGACTTGCTGATTGACCTTTGACCTCTGGATGCATTTAAATATAATCCTTCCTTTACACAGGACAAATCTCTTGAAACTCTTTATCTCATTTACAAGAGGCGCCTGCAACATACTTTACAACAATATAAAAGCAGTGATACGATCTACCAAATAATTCTAGAAGTCAGTACTATATATTGACAATTATTAATATCTTTAAAATGACACCAGCACAAATGAAAAACGTTTGACTTTAATCTGAAGAAGGTGTGGCGGCCATCTTTACTCAGGTCAGGAGAACTTCACTGTGTCTGTGCCTTAAAGCTGCGCTGAGCCCAGTCTGAGCTCCAGGTTCTGCGGTGATCACATTTGTTCTTTATCTTCTGCGACCGAGCTTCTCCTGTTGATATCCGACAATCCAGCTTCACTCTTTATCTTCATTTTGCGTTTCAGCTGCAGGTTTACGAAGCTTCAGTCACGTTTGGCCTCCTGCTGTGAGCCTTAAAGCGACACCCTGAGTCACACTCAGAGTTTCTCCGTCACGCTGTGGGACAATTTCCTTCCTCTGTGGCCTTAAAAAAAAACTGTTAATGAATCAGGAAAATCTAAAACCTCAGCAAGAATTTCCCAGTTTCTGACTCCAAGCATCACAAAGGAGCAGATAAAATGTTTTATTGGATTGCTGTGAAGTCTCTCTGTGTGGCGACAGAAACTCTGGGTGAAAGTCACATTCCAGCTGTTTGTGTTTGAACCTTTTCATGAAATCTGATTCCTCTTAAAAATCAGACACCAAAGATGTTTTTGTTTTTCCTGCTAACTCACAGGTGTGTTTGTGTGCGTGCGTATGCGTGTGTGAGTGTTTCCTCTGCAGTTTTCAACCATGCGGTTTGTGTGTTTGGAGTCTGTTTTTTGTTATTTAATGCACAGATTTTTAATTATATGATAATTCTTCCAGAAGGTGTTGCAGCACTTCATGTCCCCGCCTATTAAAGCAGAGGTGGACTCACTCTTTGTTTTGTTTTTGTATTAGATGTATGTAGATTTAATTACTTTAATTTTTATAAAAAATATACCAGTTTGATGAACTGTATGAGAACACTACGACTGTAGTTACAGAAAACAAATAAATTTTTATCACTAAACAAATGTAGTCTCTTGTATGTTTCAAAATCAGGTTCATGGATGACATTTTCTGTTTATCAGAGTATTTTTTCTTTAACGGCCCATCGGAGCCTCTTCTTGTGTAATCCATTCATTTATGAAGCAAAAAGGTTATTTTTAAACCTGTAATTTTACTATTTGACTCATATCTCTTATCAAGAATGAACAGTTGAACAAAAATGAAAAAATCTGCCTGCGCCATCTTGGAATGCACTGTGAGCGTACACATGCTAATGCCAGTTAGCGTGTGTACGCTAACTGTATCTGCTGTCGACTGTCTTTAAATTCACCGTGAGAGTACACATGCTAACAGCGGTTTTGCACATCTGGATCACCTTGAGACTGCAGTTTCCAAACTTCTCACAAAGCAGCTCCTTCAGACTAGCCAGCAGCAATTAGATATCGGGACAAAGTTTTCACTGACATTTCAGAATTACTCTCATTCACACTCCAAAATATTTTATCATGGGTGGTACAGGAGGAAGGCCATGTGTATTCTATATTTGGACATTTTGTTCGCTATTTTCAGATGTTATGTGCCATTTTTCTTTCTCAATTAATTTTGCACATCTTCCACATTTCGCTAAAATATTGGTGTGTTTAATGTTGTCACTCTTTTCATTTAATTTTGTGTGCTAAGCATTAATTTGTCTCAAAGAATTGTGTTTTACTGAACATTTTAAAGTGCAGAATTGCAATTTACCACAATGACTTGGCTATTTACTGTGCAGATATTTGAAAGTAATGTTGTCAAACCAACAAGAATTTTCCAGTTAAAACAAAGGATTTGGTTAGTATATAGTTTAAAAAACTTAACTAGCTGTCTTGTTGTACTGTCCCCGTTAGTTAATGTGTGTTTTTTGCCACTGAAGGGTGTGATTCAATGCGAGAGAACAATAAATCCCTCAATCAGCCTCTGAAAATTCTGTCTCCCTCTCTTCTGAGATAATGGTTACATCCTTGACCCTGAGGTACTCCAAAGATGATTAAACACTGATTTAAAAGTTTATTTATGGCTTTTATCTTTGCAAGACAGAAGAGATCTACCTCTAAGAATTCAGATCATCAGAATAGACACAAGCTATCAATGAACAAAACTGGTACAAATACAGCTGAGTTTATTTTAATAACCTTGTTGATCTCATGAAAAGCGGCAGTGTGTGTGTTGAGGGACAGCACCTGGTCAGTTTGTATCGGCTCTAATGAGCTCACCTGAGAGCCGCTCATTAATGTCTCTGTTTGGACCAGCAGCTCGTTAATCCGTCCTGTTGCATCATTCTTATTAGTTGACTCTTGGGTTTTTTCCATTAATGTTCCTCTGAGGATCGAAACACAAAACAAACTGTACTTTATGATTCTTGACGATTTTATTTTTGCTTTGTCTCTTTTGTTTTTCGTTTGTGTTATTTGTGTTCTCTTTCAACCCTAAACGAGAAAGAAAGTCATTTTGATTGACAGAAACCTGTGGGGGTGATCTCCTTAGTTTACAGCACCAAACGGTGCAAATAAGATCTGGACCAGTGGTGAAGTGTGGGCCAAACATGGATTACAGCATCACAAAATATCTGCAGGCAGCAGCTGTCTGATCACCGAAACCACATTTCTGGGTCCAGTCAATACTGTTGTTTTCGTTAGCATCTGTAGAAATTAAGCTGCCATGTGGAGAAAATGGTTGTAAAATTACCTTTTCCTAAAAACACCAAGCAATAAATTTGACACAAACTGAAGCTCATTCGATAATAAATCTCTGCAGAAATGCCTTGTCCCAAAAGTGTAAGACCAATAATCAACATGAGTGTTTTCTTGGGTTTAAAATATATATTTTTTTTACATATTTGTTAAAACTGTCCCTATGTCATAACAGTATGAGACAAATAATCTGAAAAAAAAAACAACCTCCTCCAACTTCTCCCAGTGCTAACTAGAAACAAGCAATCAGAGCAAGGAGGCGGGTCTTAGTGCTGTCAATCACCTTACATGCACGACATTGCAGCTTCTTCTTGACATGTTGGGCTAGTTTTCCTGAAACAGTAAATTGTTTCTTCCCCTTTAGCACATTTAGCAGCTCGTTCATGAGGTTGGTTGACAGCACTAAGATCCTCTTCCTGGCTCTGATTGGTTGTTTTTGGTTGGGAACAGTGTATTTGTTCAGAGAGCCATAGCTCAGGGAGAAGGTGGAAACAATCGATCAGATTATCTGTCTCATATTTCACTGTCACTATGTTGTGACAGTTTTAATATTTTTATAAAAGTTGCTTGTTTCAGCTTTAAGGTCAAAGGCTATGTGGAGTAATTATGGTGGTTTTAGGGATATCCTCATCCTGCACAACATTTTGAAGTGCTTCTACTGCTATTAAAATCTGTTGTAGTTTTCTGCTGATAGTAAGAATATTCATATCTTGATGAATGTAAAACCAGACTGATTGTTTATGGTCAAGGTGAGTGAATATGATTTAGCTGCCCCTTTTCCTGTTAAAAACAAAACCAACATAGTTTCCATTCACATTTAGTGGAATCTTAGAGAAGGTGGAAAGTTTTAAAGTGTAATTCACCCCAAATCAACATGTTTTTTGCTGATAAATTGTCTAAATTGGTTCTTAAGAGAGCTATTTTTATGTTTCTTTTCCAATTTTGACATTTTTGTGCACGTTTATGGAGTTTTGCAATATTTTTTCTAAAACCATCTCAGTGGTGGCCTCCTCATTTTAAATTACAGGTGATAAAAATGATTAAATCTAATCTAGGATTCTTCTAATCAAATGATTTCCATGTTGAGTTTGTTTAATTTCCACTTTCTGTGCTTCATTCTTGCACACAGACTTTCATAGTTTAAAAGACTTTAAACAGTCCTTTAAACAGACTTAATGTGTTTGTTTCATACTCTCAGGTCATTAAAAAAAATCTGTCACTAATTAGCTCCACAGAGAGCAGAGACCCATAAAGTAACTCATAGTTCATCGGGCCAGAAGTTCTTCAGGTTCTGACTCTGTTATGGTCGGCTGGTCGACACATCATGTGTTATGTCTTAGATGTGAAAATTAAGTTGCTTCGGATTTAAATGTCATATTAATTAAATGATGGTTGGATGTTTGGAAATCACTTTAAATGTTTTCTGCTCAGATGATCCAGTTTCTCAATATCGTTGATCAGATGTTTGATTGTTTGCAATTACATGTTGTTGATCAAATGTGTGTGTGGTCTACAGCTGTCAGGTGAACTTCATCTGTCCTCCGTCTTGTTCGGTTTCCTTTCTGTTCTTCTGATGTCCGCGGTGTCTTTGAACGTCTCGCTGCTCGTCGCGCAGACGTCGCTGACGCTTCACGGCCTGCAGCAGCTGTCTGACCACCGGCTGCTCTTCTTCTTCCTCTTCCTCTCAAACTTCCTGTTCGCGCTGTGCAGCGACGGCCTCATACTGGTAGTGATCTTAACGCACCACAGCCTCCATAAACCCATGTACGTGTTCGTGGCCGCGCTGCTGCTGAACTCGCTGCTGTGCGGCTGCGCGATCTACCCGCGGCTGCTGTGGGAGCTGCTGTGGGAGAGCGGCTCTGTCCTGCTGACAGTGTCTGCGTGTGCGGGTCAGGCGTGGGTTATATACGCTGCGGGCGGTTCGGCCTTCATGTTGCTGGCGGCCATGGCCTTCGACCGTTACGTCGCCATCTGTCGCCCGATGCGCTACGCCGCGGTGGTGTCGCCGCGCGCGGTGGCCGCTCTGCTCCTGTTCTGTTGGCTGCTGCCTGCCGCTTTGGTTGGAAGCATCGTGCTTCTTGCCGCGCGCCAGCCGCTCTGCCACTCTAACATCAGCCGGATCTACTGTGACGTTTACAGCTTAAACAAACTCAGCTGCAGCGGAAAGGCGATGCAGATGACAGAGGTTCTCGCCCTGTTCATATCTGTTGTCATCGTCGTTCTGCCCGCTGCTTTCGTACTTTTCTCCTACAGCAGCATCCTTTATGTCTGCCTGTGCCGCATACGCGGCTCAAGCGGAAAAGCGTTGCGCACCTGCCTGCCGCACCTGCTGGTCTTCCTAAACTACAGCGCTTGCACCGCGGTGGAGCTGCTGCAGCGCCGCCTGCAGGCCGCAGACCAGCCTGCATCCTCTGTTCTCACTTCGGTTGTGATCATTGTGGCTCAGTCCGTGTTAAACCCTGTAGTGTACGGCCTGAATATGAGCGCCATCACCGGATACATCAGGCGGCTGCTGGGCAGCAGGAAAACCGAATGATTCAAAACGAGTCAGGGAAAGTGTAAAATGTTAAGATTGTTTCTGGATCTGTATATTTCAGGATAAGATTTATAGCTTAAAGAAAATCACCCCGTCTTGTTCCACTGATGTATACCTAACATTTCTGATGCAATTCTGTTTTGCACTTTCCATGCATTTTTTCCTTGTTTTAAAGACACATTTATGTATGTAAACTGCTACCTTGTGAAATATTTCTGCATTCTTCTAGCTTGAAATTTTACATATGTGTAGATTTTGTTACGTTTTTATTTGTTATTCAAAATAAACTCAGAACTAAGAATGACCTCTTAAATATCCATCTTCCTGATCTGTACAGCAGTAAACATAATTAACAGCTGAAGTTGATCAGAAACATTGTCATATGTGAAGTAAGAAAACTGAGCTAAATTGCAATAATAAATAAAAAATGTAGAAATAATTTTGATCTTAAAGATTTAAATTGAAGTTTTGAATCACCATTGCTTTATTTCTTGCTGCAAAAACATTCCTGGACAAATGTAATGGCAAATATCTCCTTTTATGACTTAGTTTTAAGAAAGAGGTCTAGTTGAAGTTTTTTTCTTTGTATATATGTGTGATTTGTCAGCCAATAAACAATAGAAGACATGTACAATTTTATGGATTTCTGAAACCAGCCTGCAGCTTCCATGCTCACTTTGGTGCTGGTCTTTCTGATTCAGACTGTGTTCAACCCAGTAGTGTACAGCCTGAATATGACCGCCATCACTGAATACATCAGACAGCTCCATGGACAGCAAGAAATCTGATTGAATTAAAGTTTTTTATATATTTGAGGATAAAAGAAAATGGAATTCAATCTCCATAATAGTTGTGCTTTTAGGCCCTATTTCTTCATTTTGAGCCTTCCTGGTTTGCAAAAAAAAATTTATGTAAAATCAAATTGAAACAAAAAGAATTACTGTTACTGATGCATCTTTTGATTGTCTGATAGAAATCAAATATTGAACTAATTTGAAAAAGTAATATGACATGTGTATTCCTTTCTTGGAATTTAAGTTACAAAGCCAGCACAAGAAAGCATGAACCGTAGTTTAAGAAACTTGTTTTAAGTCTGAGAAACTTTAAAATTCAAAACAAATTTGAAAAACTTAAAAGGAGCTTTTTCTGTTAATTTTCTGTTGACCCTCCGCGCCTGTAGGTGGCGCTAATCCACGTTTTACGCTGACGTCTGTGGTGGTTCCGCACCAGCAGAGGGCGCTGTCTGCTCATCCAGCGAGCGGAAAAGTCCTGAGCCTGGTGTTAGCGGAGTGGCTCGGACCTGTTAGTTTGTTTTTATTTAGTTGTTTTTGTTTACGCTTTGTGTTCTGTAAACAAGATGGCCGGCACCGCGTTGAAGAGGCTCATGGCTGAATACAAACGTGAGTAACTGAAGCTCCAGCTGGTGAGGAAAAGCGAGGTGGAAGTTCTGTTGAACCAAACTTCCATAGACATTCCACAGGTTTAACATCTTTTCTTCTCAAGGTTTTAAATTCGACACAGTTAGATGAAAAATATATTAAGATTCAAATGAAACTGACAATTTTGATCAATTCGGCATCAATTTTTTAACTTAAATGTCTCCAGAATGACACATTTAGCGATTTTATCATAATCTGTTGGTGCGACTGTTCAGCTTCATCCAGAACCTTCTTCCCTGACTGTTTATGTAACTGAGACTCAAACTGAGGTGAGATTAGAAGTGCTACAAACATTAGAAACTATAAATCTAGCCAGTAACTTAAAAAAGCTGTTAACTCTCCGATGATCTCCATGTTTGCATGAATCAAGCTTGGATCTGATGGACTCATTAATACAAGAACTGTTAAAGTCTGACTGGCAGCTGGTCACAGTCTGGCTTATTAACATCCGTTTTTTATTTATTAATACTTCCTTTCTTAATAAATTTGCCACCATGGCCTTTTTACTAAAACAATGTTTAGGAATTTATAGATTTTTTTTTGGGCCAAAATGAAGTTTATAGTTGATAATAAAGCAAGAAAGTGTATTAATTACAAAGCAAACTGTTTAAAATGTAGCATAAAAGGAAGGATTAAAAACTGTCATATTGAATAAGAGAGACACAGTTACATTTATTTCCACCTTTGGTAAAGATACTGTAAAATAAGATATGTTGGACTTTCGCTAACTTATCTTAAAATAATGATAATTTTATTTTGAAAAAGTTTTTCCAAACAGGTGCCAATTGTCTCTGGTTTTACTCTGTGAAATTCTTGGATTCATCAGTAATGTTTGCTTTTCAGAGTTGACCCTGAACCCACCTGAAGGCATCGTCGCAGGTAAGACTCTGTCTTTACATCTGAACACGTGAGCGGTTAAAAGCTTAGTTCAAGCCCTTGTGATCTGACCTTTGACCCAGAACCAAACAGGTTCTGTTCGGGTTACATTAGAACAGAACATCAGGATGAGACAATGATTGTTTTCTCCCTCTGTGTGCTCTGTAGGTCCGGCCAACGAGGAGAACTTCTTCGAATGGGAGGCGCTGATCATGTGAGTACGGGCTGGAGCCTTTTTGACCCATACATGACGGGTCGTCTCCATGGAAACCAACTGCCCTTCTTCATTTGTGTTAATCTGATTCTCACTGAGAATAATTTGACCTGAGATACTCGATGCTCATAGAACCCAAACCGATTTTATCCAACCTGTCAAACTCACCTGTTTCCAGGTGCAATGCGTCACTCTGACCAGCAGGTGGCACTGCTGATTCAGACAGCAGCTCAAAGTTGAGTCAGACGTGTTTACATTTGGATTTTATCCGATAAATCAACACAAAGTGGTGCTTGGTTGTCAAATACAGGTATTTTCTTGCCTTGAGGTTGTAATCTGTCTTTTTTTAAATTTCTTACATCATCTTCCAAGAAGAAAGAAAAAAATATATTATTTCTTTCTATTTTAAATTCTAAAAGCAGAAATAAAATGGCAGTTGTTTAAAAATATAAATATATCTCCTATGTAAATTATAATGGGTCCTTTTTCAAAAAAATCACGTGACATTTACCAACTATTTTTGCTTATTTTTTTAGTGCAAATATCTTAGTACACTGGAAATAAGACAAACCTAACATACAAAATAGGAACTTGTTATGAGACAATTTTTTAATATTCATGAAAATGTAATAGTTCTGGCTGACTATTTCACTAATAAGAAAAGAATATTTTTATCAGTGAAGTAATCTACTAGGGTCCCTTTTTATAAAAATTTAATCATTATTGATTTAAAACAAGCTCCGATATGTTGCTGAAAAGTTACTTGTTTTGTCTTATTTTCAGTGTACTAAGATATATGCAACAAAAATAAGACAAAGATACCTGGTAAGATTCTGTGTCTTTATAGTGATGACCCTTAGTTAGAATAAATCCTCTGCAGATTGATGCATCGCTGACCGGAGACTCTGCAGAGTCCGTAATGTCATTGAAAGCACCATCATTAGACATTACTCCTCCATGCTGGCGTGACAGCAGCTTCAGTCTGCCCTTCAATTTACCCCGCTGCTCATTTAAAGTCCAAGTCTACATACCGATTCAGTCTGCAGAGTGACATCACTGAGACAGCACACCTGTCATTATACCCAAGTCCTCTGTCCTTCATTGTTCTGTCTTCATTTTCTTTCTCCTACATAGAGAGGAGGTGAAGCGCTCTGCACTGCAAAAACACAAAATCTTACCAAGTGTTTTTGATCTAGTTTTTAGTGCAGATATCTTAGTACATTTGAAGTTAGAGAAACCTAACTTGTTAGTCTTATAGTTGATGAAAATGGTTTGTGTTTTTCACCACTGAGTTTTAATAGTTGTGTCTTAAAGTGAGAAATTTCAAATTGTAAATATTATATATTTATTGGTTTATTTTTTGTTCACCTTTTCAGTCTTACCAGCATCTGTATTTTATTTTATTTTATCTGTTTTAATTGACGAGTTTTGTGCTTTTAACCTCCATTAGTTGAAACTGTGAAATTTAGTACAATCCACCCTAGTTTTATATTAATTGTTGGTGTATTGTTTTTATTGTGACTTTATTAATGCTTAAATAAATATCTGAATCGGAGTTATGAGTGAAATAATTCGCCATTGGGACTAAAACTTTTTCATCAGTATTAAGGAGTTATTAACTCTAAACAAGCATCTTTTTTGCAGAAAAAGTTACAAATAGGTTGGTAATGTCATATTTCAGGTGTACTATGATATTTGCTTTGGAAACTTGACAAAAATCCCTGGTAATACTTTGTGATTTTGCAGTGTGAAGATTTGTTGCACCCAACTACTGTCCTGATAAACAGAGGATATCTGGTCAGAGATCAGTTGATGCTTTAAATAACTTCAGGGAAGTTATTTCTGAGATCAGATATTCAAACTTCAGTCCTGATTATGACTCATCATGTCATGATCAGAAACTGAAACTGAGTTCATTTAACTAAGAGCTTCTGTTTCCTGCCGCAGCGTCGCCACGTTCTCAGTGATTTTCTCTGTTTGTGTCTCAGGGGTCCAGAGGACACGTGTTTCGAAGGCGGAGTCTTCCCCGCCGTCCTCAGCTTCCCCTCAGATTATCCTCTCAGCCCTCCGAAGATGAGGTTCACCTGCGACATGTTTCACCCCAACAGTAAGTCTCGCCCAGGCTCCGCCCCCAACGGCAGGTTTTGATGCTCAGAACGACGAGTCGTGGATGAAACCAGCCGGTGTCTGGACCCTGTTATTGGACCCGTCACAACATGCCTCGTTAGCCTGCTGTCGTTAACGCCAAGATTAGTGGGCAGGAGCCATGCTGTCATGGTTCTGATTAGAGGACAGAGCGCTCGGTTCTGACCCGTCATCATGTTCTCCGCCATCATCATTATCATAATCACCATGGCCCCGAGTTGAACTGTATCTTCTGGTCCTGCATCAACATCATGAACACATGAAGAAGAAAGCTGGACCAATCAGAACCTGCAGTTTGTTCATTAGATATGATGGAATATATCGGAATGTTCATTTACCATTCATTTATTCAATCAGAACAAAAAAAAATATGACATTAAACACTCTTCATGTTTTAACTAGGGCTGAATCGATTAATTGGATTGATTGTGATTATTCGGTAAACTGTAAAATAAACTCAAAAAAGGCCATTTGCTGGAAAAAAAAACACATTCGGAGCAGTAATTATGCTAAATCGATGGAATAAAGGATTTCTAATACAATTGTTCTGCTGCTTCATCTCCTCCTCAGTCTACCCAGACGGCCGGGTGTGTATCTCCATCCTTCACGCTCCGGGTGACGACCCGATGGGATACGAGAGCAGCGCAGAGCGGTGGAGTCCGGTCCAGAGTGTGGAGAAGATCCTGCTGTCTGTGGTCAGCATGCTGGCAGGTAGAGCAGCTCACATGATCAATCAAACCGCACCACCATGTGTTTATTACTCACCTGTCACATGATTACACACATGTTAATAATTTATTTTAAAAAATCTCTAACAGGTTACGTTCACAACAGCAAGTTGATACACACCTGTCATCGAAAACACAGATAAAAACTGAAAATAATCTCACTTCTCATCTGTCACAGGATGACAAATTATCCCAGAAGTTATTGCAACAAACAATATTATTGTTGCTTTAAAATCATTTTTAAGTTGTATAATAACGTGTGAGCACATTCTCAAAGATTGATAAACTTTGTGAAAGGAAACTTTGAGAAACTCCTTCAGCTTGATAAACTAAACTAATGAACAAATAACTCCAAATATCCAAAATAAATCAACAAAAAGCAATAGAAACAACAAATACAAAACATTTGACTCAATTAAATAATCAAATGAAATTTGAGAAAGTTATATAAGAAAACTTTCTGATTTTAAAAGAAACTTGAAGGTAAATAAAATGTTCAGAAATATTAATTGTGATATTTTCTCCACTATTTCTTCCAATGTAATATCAGTAAATTTGAAAATATGGTTAAATGCAGTTACTAAGTTTGTGCAGGTTAGTGATATTTTTAAGCATGTGGATCCTGAAGAATCCTGTTTTTCAAGAACAATGTTCATTGTGATGCTGTGATAAATGAAGCCACAGTTACCTGGAAAATAATCTTTGTCTTCATCGCAATAAAACCACTAAAATATTGCAATGAGATTCTCAGTCCACGTCACACGTCTGCCATGAGGCATCGTATAGAATAAATGACTTTTCTTCCTTCTTCTTCTCCTCAGAGCCGAATGATGAGAGCGGCGCGAACGTCGATGCGTCTAAAATGTGGCGCGAGGACAGAGACCAGTTCTACAAACTAGCTCAGAAGATCGTTCGCAAGTCGCTGGGCCTGTAGAGATGACGTCATCGCGCCGCTCTGCGTGTGTGTGGCGGCGCGTCGCTCGATTACAGACTGTGGAGCATCAACACTGTTACCATGGAAACCTTCAACGCACACACACGCAGAGCTACAGTTTGATACTTCAATGAACTGACAGATCAGAGGCTGATCGGATACAGTGACATCACCAGGAGACCCAGCAGCAGCCCGTCATGGCCTCACTTCCTGTTTCCTCCCCTGCTGTTGGCTCAGATTGAAGTTTCTCAGCGGGTAGTTTGCACTTTATCTCCTCCTGGTGGTCACCGTGGTGGACTTCAGTTTGTTGGTTTTTGGTTTTTTTACGGCTGAGCTGAAGGAGTTTCTCAAAGTTTCCTTTCACAAATAGTTGATTGAAAACTAGAATTTTGAGCTCTTTGTTTCCCTGATTTCTTATTAATTTCTTTGTTGAGAAACTAAGAGCTTCTTTTTGTTTCTGTTTCTAGTGTCAAATTGATTTTAAAGCATGTTGACCTAAACTTAATAAAGCAGCGTTTCTGTTTCAGGATCTTTGGTTTATTGATCTCTGGTCACATGACAGAGGTAGAAAATATTAATTTGCAGTAATAATCATCACCTCCAGTTTTAGTTGCAGTTCAAATCCTCAAAGCATTATAACATTTTAGCTAATTAAATGTTTTTCTTTAATTGGCTAAAATTAAAGGAAAAAATATTTAATTAAAGAACTTATCAATTAGTTCATTAATTAGTTTATTAAGGAATTTAATAATCTAAATCAAAACAATGAATTTAATAAATTTGCATTTTTAATGTTTCTAATGTATAAAAATTGCTTATGTTGTTGACTTAAAAATGCAGAATGAACCACATTTTACCCGATTAATCGTCAGAATAATCGATTACTAAAATAATGGTAGACATGACCTCGGTGCGGTCACGTGACTCGGAAAGTCTCTGAGTCCAGTCGTGTCTCTGCCTGCCGGACTGGATCCACCTCCATGTTTAAACTGGGATTACTGGGATTGAAAGCTCTCAGATCCCAGTTGCTCCGTCCTGATACCCAGTTGGAACTTCACAGCTCCACATCTGAGAACACACGCTGTCATACTGGAAGACATCACACACCTGAGACAGGTGAGGGGGCGGAGCTACAGATCAGCTGCAGCTCGGCTGTTTTCCAGAGATCCTGCTGCTGCTGCTGCTTCATCTCTGAGGTTCATTTATCATCCCAGAAGGTGTGGATGTGTTACAGCTCTCACTGGAGTGACATGAAGTGAGTTGAAAACAAGGCCTCAGGGCCTCCGACCAACATGTATGAACAGGAATCGGCTCTCATATTTGCAAAATGACGCCAAAACTCCCAAACCTGCAGTCTGTCCGACAGCCAGCAGAGAGCAGTAATTCAAACCATTTTAGTTCAGTTTTCTTCTTTGGTGTATTACAGTGGATACATCTGTCTTCTGGAGTGCCACAGAGATGCCTACTATAACCACTGCTATTTGGTTCATAATGAATAAAGAATAGGATCAAGGAAGGAAAAATCTGAATCCTGATTTTAATCTCAGAATTCTGACTTTAATAATTCAGATTTTGATCTTAAAATTCTGACTTTGGTCATAAAATTCTTACTTTTTTCAGAATTGTAACTTCTGACTTTTTTCCTCAAAATTCTGATGGAAAATATTAGAAATCTGAAAAAAACAATTTTTTTTTTCCAGTCGAACTTTCTTCGGTTTAATTTAAAACATTTAGAGCTTGAACCTGGTTTCATCCTCAGATCAATCTGCTTCAAACCATTTGGATGCATCGCAATCATCATCATCTGAATCTTCCTCCTCAGGTGTGTCCAGGCAGGTGGATCACTGATCTGACATGTTTGTTCCCCAGGTGTGTTCAGGTGTTCAGCCCCCTGCAGCTCCTCCCTCTCTTTTATATTTAAATGTGGGTCGTGCGAGCTCGTCCCGCTGCAGGTGAAGCCTCTCTCTCTCCTCAGTGGGACTCCACCTGAAGATCAGCTGCAGACAGCAGCCGTCACCTGGACAGGTGGATCTCCTCAACTCTGCACAGGAATTTTAAAAATGGATCATCATCATCATCATCATCGTTCTGATTTTAGGATTTAAGGTTGAAACTGCTTTGTTTTTAAATTTTAACAGATCAGAAACATTTTAAAGATCAAAATGAAACATTTTTGTGATTGTTTTTAGATTCTCTTAAATCTGACGGGTTGACACCAGATTATTTCACCTGGACCGTTTATGACAAGGATTTACTCTTCACATCAGAAGGTCCAGAACCAGAACCACAACTGGACTTCAGGCATCATTTTTCAACCAGGTTTGACTTCATGTTACTGAAAAGTTCCAGAATCTGCTGATCTAAAGAAAGAAGGAGATAAAAACTTGTTTCAGAGCTGCTGACTTTCAGTTCTTCTCTTTCACCTTTAAGCAGATGAAAAAGTTTTACATTTCAAATATTTCCAGAGTTAACCAAAGAATCGTTTGCTTCAGTTTCATTTGATTTGCTTCAGTTTGTTTGACTCTTATGGAATTTAGAGCTTTTAAATTATTGCCTAAAAAATATAAAATCAAAAGAATTTTCTCAATAAATTCTGAACTCAACCACAAAGATGTGTTTTGTCTTCTGGTTTAGATTAAAAGAAAATATTATTTATTTTCATTACTTTTTTTTTTTAAAATTGTGAGGTTTTTTTATGTTTTATCATTATATTTTTTTTACTTCACAGTAAAAATGTGGAATATTTTGAGTAATCAGACATTAACTGGATTATTGTGTGCTAAAAGATTTTTTCACTGTAGCATTTGGCGTTTATGAGACTTTCATTCAACTTTATAGAGCGCAATAAATGAGTCAATCAATCTAGATCATGAAATATTTAATACATTTTTATAGCTCTTAAATTACAGCTGATTGTCTATCTTATTAAAATTATTATTGAATTTGTTTTGTTGGGAGACTGGAAGTTTCCTAACAAAAACTTAATTTATGCTTAATTTATTCAGAATCATCTCTGTAAACACGTAATAGGTGAAAGGTTCTCTCAGATTATTGGAAGTAAATTTCTTGCAGCTACTTCTAATTTGGCTCTTTTGTTTATTAAATACTCTACAGTTTATTTAATGGCAATAGAAGAAGATTTATTCATCTGAAACCAGAACATCTGAGCAGAATTGATTCAAAGATCTAAAAAGATGCAGCTAAACCTTTGCGTATTTTACAAACATTATGCAGTATTTGGTGAGCATTTGCTGAAAAAGACAACATACTGAGAGCCAAAATTAAGGTACAACTGCACAAAATAAATTACTAAAGGATTGCTGTGTTTTTGTATTTTAGGGAGTAAAATGTTTATTTTGCTAAAGTAATTAATTACTTGTTGGGTTTTTTTTGCATCTTTTAAAATATTTGTAAAATTGTATAAATATAGCTTAAAAGGTCAAATGAAAATCTTGTAAAATGTGACTTTTTTTATCCGATTATAGAATAATCAATGGAAAAATTGATTAAGATAATCGGAAGTTGCAAACCTGATTTTTTTTTTTTACGTTTAAATCCATCAACCTGCCTTTTTTCTTTGTGATGTTTCTCCTCTCTGAAGAAAATCCTCTCTTCATCCTCATTCATCTCTGATCCTCATCAGCATCATGACTCTGGATGATGCTGCGCTGAGTTAACCGCTAAAGAAGGCGCGATGTTGGCGTGTCGCCCCCTGCTGGTCACCTGGGCTCTGCTGGCCTCCTCAGTCCGATGCCAGAGCTGGAGGCCGTGCACAGGTAGCTTCCCAAGACACCCAGGTATCAGTGGATATTAAAGCCACTGAAGACCACAGATGGGTAGAGTTTTCTCAAATATTGTACTCAAGTAAGATTATAACTACTTCAACATATTTTTACTCAAGTGCAAGTGTCAACTGTCCAAGACTCAAGTAAGAGTAAAAAGTATTTGGAAAAAAGGCTAGTTTAGTCCTGAGTTATCAAAACATCAATCATTTGATGTTTAAAAATATTTAGAAATCAAACAGACCAAAATATAAAGTTATAAATAAATAAACACATTTATTTGTATTACCCTTTAATTTTTGAGAAAAAACACAGAAATTTTCAAAAGTTGAAAATTTTCTAGAAAAAACTCAGAAATGCTTAGTTTAATCTGAAGTTAGAGAAAAAACTTGGACTTTAGACTTTTACAAGAGTTTAGACTTTTGGACTCAAAATTTTTTGACTTCCAAAATTTCTTAGATTATTGTAAAAATGTCTGGGGTTTTGTTTCACTCACATTTTCAACTTCTGGAGCTCAGAAGTTTCTGTTTTTTTGTATAAAAAATATTTAGATTAATCTCAAAATTTCTGAAGTTTTTGGCAGAAATTTTCTACTTTTTTTTCTATCTACAATGGCCTTTAACACCAGAGTCGGCCATTTTGTTCGGCTCGTCATCTCTCTCTTTGCACTGGAGCAGGGGCGGAGCGTCGGAGGGCGCGGCCCCCCGGCAGGGCCTAGAGGGAGCCGGATGGGAGACAGAATATGACTTTTACTCTTACATTCAACTTTATGACACACAAAATTACAAGTGGATCATTCATATTGTCTCCAAGTGTATTCTGGGTAAAGCTTGTCACCAGCCATTCGTCATCATTATCATTTGGCAACAGATTTCAAACAGCTAGAGCGTTTCTACAGACTAAGTTAACATGAGTGGAGCTCCATGGAGCGGCAAAGTGAAAAGAATGGTAAAATAGAACAACAGGTAGCAACTCTGACATTATTTACTAAGTGTGAGTTAACTGTAGACTGTAAACTATATCAGCCCAGCTTAGCTAACGTCCCTTGTCTCTCTGTCGGTGGTACAGAGGTGATGTCAGAGACTGAAGGCTGAGTTGTAGTCGCTTCCAACAGTTCAGGTTGAGCGTTTTTCAGTCAAGACAGCAGTATGGCGTTTATAGTCAAGGTTTACATTGCAGCCGCCTGGAAGAGCATCTTCCAGATCGTCCAGTTTGTGTGAACGCCGTTGCGTGTGCGATCCGCGCCGAGTTCCAAAGATCCACGTTGTTTCATCATCAGTAACCTGATGTTTCTCTTGTTCTCTTGGTTTGTTGTACTTCATGTCAGTTAAATTATCATGAGTTTTATTATTTGGGTGTAGGACCCGGGCGTTAGCCCCGCCCCCGGCCCGATGTCGACTCGTTCCTCTAGTGCACTGGAGGATGATTGTTTACAGCGCAGGCAATTTCTGGCAAGCTTCATAGCATCAAACTGGTGAAAACGTTATTGACTGGATAAAGTTTAAAACTTGAGCTTTGAGTAATCAGTCCAGACCCTCTGTACGAAGCAAATATTGTAGAACGAGAGGCTGTTTTTTTTATCAGGCTAATTAAAACCTCGAATCTATAATTCAAACTACTGAAGACTAAAAATCATGAACCAAATGTTCTCTAAGGTGGATCGTCCTCTGCCTTTTTTTCATGTAGCTCAGACGTTTCTGGTGCTTTGCCTCTTTGAAATGTGAGCTGTGTTTCTGAACTTGTCGTCCCCTCCCTTCATTCATCCTGCATTGATCTGGTGCTGCACCAAAACACACAGACGGCCTCAGAGGAGCTTAAAGGGGAATTCCAGCTGAAACTGATGTTGGATAAAACAAGATTTATCCTCCCTCGGCCTCCTTTACATCTACTGCTGTTTAAGACGGAGATAAACCGGCAACGCCGGTTCATCTCACTCTGCAATAGTTATGTAATCATAGAGTCTTTAATTAAAATATCAACCTGCAGTGAATTTACTGACTTATTGTCAAGAATCAATATTTATGTACTCCTGGTTTGCCTTTTGCCATTTTTCTGTGCATTTCTCTAAACTTTTCCGCTTTATAAATTGTTACCTTTTCTCTGTTTGTCCTGATTTTCTCTCAGCACAAAGAGCCATGAATAAATGCTGCAGCAGCAAACATTGCAGTGATTTATCATTGTGATGTTTATCTGTGGGGACAGGAAGTTGAAACTCTGTTTCTGTTTTTAGATCCTGCAGCATCAAACAGAGGAACTCATCTACCTCTGAGCTGATAAAACAAATTAAATCTGATGTCAATGATACGGATCAATCTGAGAGAAGGCCGACTCGTTTAGCATTTATCAGCCTCTGTTGGAGGAAACTGATCTGGACCTGGTTTTAGTTTCCTGTAGCTGCTGGTTTCACTTCACCTCTATGAAAATCAGCTTCCAGGGATCTGAAATGACCAGCAGCAGATAATCTGTCCACATCTAATCAGGATTTATTTTTGGCTCTAACAGTTTCCAAAACACCAATGATTCTAATCAACAACAACCTGAAAACCAGGAAGCTGCTGCCTCCCAGGCTTGGACACATTGGAGTGAGGAGGTTGAAAACTAAGTGGGAAAACGTCACTGAAATATTCCAGTTTTATCTATGTGAACCAGAGATTATGCAGCAATTATAAATTGATCTGAAAATATGGTTTACCAATACTGTATAAAGCTTGAAGGATCCTTTCTAGGAAAAACTTCTTACCTTTCTAAAGTCTATTAGTTCTTTGCTCCAACTTGACTTCATCTGGCTGTGCCTTGGCTGCGGAAATTATGATTCACCATTTGAAAAGTTACACAATCGAAGATTAGCAGCAACAATGTCAGTTATTTAGCCTGTAATAAATGTAATTAGCAAGATAAATATTTAGTTAACAAGCTAAATATTTAGTTGGAAGCTACATATTTGGTGTGCTAATGAAAAATGACAAAAACATTTAACTTGAATATCAATGTTTAGTTAGCTTTCTAAGTATTAACTCCAAAATAAAACTAAATATTAAATTGAATCTGAATGTTTATTTAGCAAACTAAATATTTATCTTCAAACTAAGTATTTAGCTTGCAAGTGAAATATTTAGCTTCACACTTAAATATTTAGCATCTGAAAAATCTAGTTATCAAGATAAATATTCTAATTAAATATTTAGTTTGAAACTATGACATTTATAAATGAATAAATAACATTGTGTTAAGCAACTCAAATTATTGCTGTAATGAGAAATGTTTTGTTTTAATCAGCAGTAAAGCTGGTTTACTGCTGGTTTCTGTTTTTCGGAGTGAATCTCAGCTCCAGATCCGACTAACGCCGTGTTTTCCCCTCAGATCTGCGCCCTATTGACCTCCTGTCCAAAGCCCTGCCACGCCCTGGACAAGCCACGCCCACTCAGGTAGGAAGCCAGACGAAACGGAGCTTAAACACATTTATATGACCAATGTTCTGTGCCAACAGGTGCAGATGGTTCAGTCCAGAGGGTCCAGAGGAATCAGGCTAACCGGCACCGAACCGACTGCTCTGAGTTTTACTGCCTCACAGATATTCACCAACTGTGACTATTTTCCTTCTGAGTTCTCGTTGGTGGCCACCATGAAGATACAGAGACTGAGGAAGAAGGTAAACATCACAGAATCTGGACTGATCCGATCCTCTCTAGTCCATCTCAGAACCTAACCTGCTTTCTTTCTCTCCTTTTTTAGACGAATCAGTACATCTTCTCTGTGATGAAGGAGGGATCCGAGTCGTTGCTGCTGGGGCTTCGTGTCTCTGAGAACCGTCTCCACCTTCTGACTTCTCCCCCTGGTGGTGGAGGACGGAGAAGGATCAGCTTCAAAAACGTCAGATTGGACGACAACAGATGGCACACTGTGGTTCTGGCTGTGACCGGTCCTTACGCCACGCTGACTGTTGACTGTGGACCACCTGTGGAAATGTGAGTCTCTGGTTGGTTTTAATTGTTCAGGGTGGTTAGAACCAGTGCAAACCAGTTCAGATCTGTTTAAATAAGTTTAGGTTGGTTCAACCCATAGACTAGTACCGTTGAACACAAAGATTTCTTTAAAAATTCAACTCATTTTACAAAACTTGCCATTAGTAAACCAGATCCAAGCTCTGTCAGCCTTATGAACTGGTTTCCTGTCTCTCAGTAAACAGGTCCAGACCTTCCCCAGTACTCTGAGCACCAGAGGATCCAGGTTCATCATCGGTAGCAGGGGCCACTGGAGGGGCCGCTTCTCTGTGAGTCTATGATCAGAATCAGAACCAGATCGTTTCCCCTGTAGAATCACACCGGTTCTTTTGTGTTTAGGGTCTACTTCGTCAGCTGGTTCTTCTTCCAGGCTCAGATGCGACACCCAGACTTTGTCCCAACTCTGAACCCAGTCTGGCAGAGCTCTCTGTCCCGCAGGTCCTCAAAACCTCCCCGCTCCAAACGGACCAGCAGGGCTCAGTTTATCCATACGGTAAGAAGAAAAACCAGCAGCGCATACAGATCTTTATTAAATCAGCACAGTTGATCTCACGACAGAAGAAACCTTGATACAGTTTAAAGTTTTGACCCTCAATTACAGCATCAACTATGGTGGCCATGATCCAACATTACTTCATCTAATGCTTTGTCTACTCTGATGAAGATTCTCTCTTCTCAGCATGCTGAATGCTTGAAACTGACAGGTTCTCCTTGTTTCTGATTAATTATGCTGATAACTTTCAGTCTATTTCAAAGCACCGATTGAGATTTAAAGTGTAGCTAAAGATGTACTCTTGCTAAATTAACAACTTTTTTCACTATACTTGAGGACTCTTCAGTCTCCTCTAGTGACTGAAATAGTGATTAGTGACACTATGAGCTGTTGGAGACATTGGTGACAACATGTGAGGCACCAATTGCTCTGTAGCTTCTGTCCTGAGTGAGGCGCATTGAGACAGCTTTAGGCAGAATGTTGCAGAGTTAAACAAATTTACACAAAAATATTACAAAAAAACATAAGTGGCATTCGAAAGAACCAGTTTCAACTTGAATTGGGGTTTAATTACTTTTACAGTCAGTTAAACTTCCAGTCAGTTAAAAATAATAATAAAAAAAGAAATATTCAGACTCAGAATAATAGAGCGACTTTCACATAATTTATCCTAATAAACATGCACTATTCATCTAAGAGCACACACAGTCAACTAATTAAAACAATCACCAGACTTGATGTTATACATCAATTCCTTAATTTCTTTGCATTTACATCCACCAAACACAAGTTGCCATAAGCTAGCATAAAACAGGACTACAGAAACCTGCCATAAGCTAGCATAAAACAGGACTACAGAAACCTTGACAGCATCTTTAAAAACTCTTCCATCAAATTTTTATTTTGATTCAATGCTGGAAAAACTGATGCCTGCAGATTCAGGAGGAACCGAACTCACCTGTCTCACCTGTTAGACTGAGAAGCTGAATATTTGTCCTCAGTGTTTCCGTACTTTCACTGTTTGCAGTTTAAACTTGGAGCTGTGATGCCATCAGTGATTCAGTAACCTGAGCTCCAGGCTGACAGCAGAAGAACAGTTTGTTCATCAGCTTCAGGCTCTGCTGGCTTCTGCTGGGATTTGTAGTTCTGCTGAAGCTGGGTGTCTGCTCAGGATTCCTAGATGAACTTCAAGTTCAGGAATGTTTTGGGGCAGACATTTTGGTTTAGTAAAGCTTAATATGAATTGAAGGTTTGTCCCTCTGTTTGATGTGAGTTTCTGTGGCGACAGGCAGGTGAGGACAAGTACAGGTGCCTTGGTCAGGACGTCTGCTGAGGAGCAGGCTCACCTTTTCCTTTCTTTTCTTTATTTTAATCTGTCTGATCTCAGCTCTGTTGTGTCTCAGTTGATGAATCTCCTTGATTGATTAGTCAATAACGATCACAGACATATTTCAGACATCTTCCTGGGTTTTTCTTCCAGGCTCACGATGACAGAGTTAATAAAGTTCAGCTGATTGAAGTTCAGCACCGATCCTGTCAGACTCATCATGACTCATGGTTTACATAAAGCCGCCCGAAGTGCGTCTTAATTTATGTACCTGCCTGCAGCTGAGCGAGCCGTTCAAGCTGCAATCGCCTGAACTTGACCTTAGATTTCTAAAGGGAACGCCACCAGAGATCACGTTTTTATGATCCATGAAAGAGTTTAATCTACCCTCAGCTTTACAACCAAAAACACACCCAATCCTAGAAAAACCTCAACCCACAGAGAGTTGGAACGCACCGCTGTAAGGTTTTTTTATTTCACTAGAGGCAGCAGGACAATGCAGTCCTGCATTTCAGGTTTGGAAATATTTGGGAAAACATTGCGATTGGGAAAAATTAGCGTAAATAATGCAGTCTAAAAATGTTGCTGTGACTAACAATTTCTTGAGTCACAGAGATGTTCAGAGGTCCTCCAGCTAATAAATCAAGTTACTCAAAGAAAGACTGGAGGTGGGTTGCATTTTTCTTATTCTCCAGAAACATTCAAGGAATATAAAGGAACTTTTGAGAGGAGACTGCAGAAACCTTACTGTGCAGAAAATAAGCCTGATGTTAATCTTGTCCAGAAGCATTGTCCTTTTCTCTTCATTTTGGGACATAATAATCCTCAATGATAGAACCGTTTTTAGATGTTCAGAGAAAACATGGGAACCTTGAAAAATGGGAAAACTGCACAGCGTCATAGCTTCAATGGGAAGTTATTAGAGATTTATGTTCCTTGGGTTTAGTTCTGCACCAGATTGAACCTCTTGTTTTGTTTCCCTTGCAGAGGCTGAGGCCAGAGTGACAGCAGGCGATCGTCCTCCATGTTCAGGCCCAGAGAAAGGTCAGCTGTGGTTCAACGTTCGGAAGAAAGGTCTGTTCATCTGTGACGGGATGATGTGGCGGACGCTCATGCAGGGTGAGTCTGACTGGATCACACTTCACAGAACCTCACACTGGCTTTGTTTCCATTGACCTTACCTTTAATTTGCACAAATTGGAATTATAAAAATAGTTCATACTTAAAAACTGTGGTTTTTATGAAAATAATTACAATTTGTCGTCCATTGCTGCTGTTGGAGTATGTCAGTTGTGCGTTAGATTTATGGACGCACAGCTTTGTATTCACGCTGAAAACGCGTGAAAACAAAGGTTCCGGCCTAAACCTATTTAAATATTTTTTAATTTAAAATGCTTAATTAAGTCCCAACCCTAGTTATTTCACACGTCATAAATTATTGTTTGCTTAATGATTCGTTTATGAGGTTCGCTAATTTAATAATAACGTAAAACAAGTAAATTGGTTTTCTTTGCAGATAAAGAGCGTCTGGACTATGTGGAGGACTACCAGGACCTCTACACCCGCTCAGAAACCTTGGATGTGGAGCTTTTCTCCATCCCGTCTGAAGGCCTGTTCATGGCTGCAGCCAACAGGTATCGAAACCAGAACCAGAACCAGAACCCCTCGACAACAGGTCTGAAGAAACTGAAGGTCTTTAGTCTTCACGGTAACAGTTTTGTGTGTTCTTCCAGGGATTCCCGACCCGGTTCTGGTATTTACAAATGGATTAATGGGTCATTCCAGCTATATCAGAACATCAGCACTCAGGAAGCTCAAGCCTGGAAATATTTCACCATCGATGACAAGGTGGGAGTCACTTAAACACAACAAATGTCCGCGGTAACGTCAAGTTCGAGAAGAGTGCTGTCGTAGAAACTTTACCTGGTCCCAGAAAGAGTTCAGTGCTTATTTGGGTGACCTGTGATCATGTGACCTGTGAAGGTGTGTCCAGGCCTCCTGTGTTCTCATTGTGTTGGCGTGTTTGCTCTTAGAGGAGCACAGGTGTTAACACAAAGCTCTGCAGGTATTCACAGCAGCTGTGCACCAGCAGACCTGGACTGAAAGTAAAGATCCTAGAGAGGAAAGATCTTTAATTCAAAGAACCACAGATCCATGTTTGTCCCGGAGTTCTTTAGTCAATTCAAATCCATTGGATGGATCCACGTCTCTTTGCGTGAATCTGATTTTTTTGTGTTTTATAATCCCTAAGCTGCTCTGATGGTTTTGTTTTTCTTTTTAGTCCTTTGCGGGGTTTTTACCTACATTTTTCATGTCTCAGGGGGAATCTTGGCTGTTTAATTACCTCCCACCAAAGGCTTAATCTTTTCCCAAGATTAAGTCGAGTTCCTAGAAGGTTTTTTTAGCTGTGGATGTGGTGACCAAACTATAAAATGCCTACAGGCATCTTCTCCATCATCCATTGTCAATTTACAAATGTACACAAACAACCATTGCCTGGTTGTGTAGACCCACTAAAAGACCCACTAAAAGTCCTTCAGCATGTCCTCTACAAAGTCCTCTAGATAATCAGGCATTGTATTAAATAATTGCTGTGCAATAGATCGTGTTTTGCTTCTTCCACCCTTCAGGTTTTCCTGGTGGTGGCGGACATGCAGAAGGCAGAACCTGAGCTGTCGACCATCTACCGGTGGAATCGTCGGCAGAAACGTTTCCTTCGCTATCAGACTCTGGAGACTCACTCTGCTCGGGACTGGGAGGCCTTTCAGATCCACAACAGCAGCTTCCTGGTGGTGGCCAATCACATGCGAGGTGAGCTGGAGCAAAACATCCAAAAGTAAGGTGTCCCTCATGTGAGACAGTTTGATGAAGTTTTGAAGCAATAATGGCTTTTGTCTTCACTTTGGATGTAACTACCCACTTCTAACACAAGAAGACAATGATTTTAGCGACATTCATCAGTCTGTTAATAGAAGAATTTCTGCATCTTTATCGCTGTACGACTGTACTGACATGAAGCACATTTTATTTCTTCATCAGAGCGTTTTCTGAAACATGTTATATCCCTGAGCCCTCTGTAATCAGACGTGTTAAATAACAAGCTGCAGTGTGGTCAGGTTCCTGTGTCTCTGCTGGTGAACTGTAACAGGATCAGAGATGCAGATCGTTCTGCGGCAAGATCGTTCGTTAAGAGCTTCAAAACATGACTATTTGATGTGAGGAAAGTCGTGGTTTTTCAGCTGATAAAACACTTTGGAGTTCAGAGAGTGCTGCTATCTCCTGGCTTGTGGACCTGCAGCCACTTCAAACACACCTCCATCTGCACGCTCAAATGTTTCCTGTGGAGATAAAAACAAACTCACTGCCCCAACAGATTGTTTGTGATCTGAGAGGAAAGAATGCAGGTGAACTGGGATCAGATCATAAACTGTAGAACACCGTCTGAGACTCATCCGCACACAGTCTGAGAAAGCTTCAGTTCAACTAGAACTCCAGAAAGAGTCCCAGTACTACCAGTTAGGATACCAACCATCATTGTAAGATAGTTTTGGTAACACAGAACCACAAACTAGTCAATGTTCCATCCAGAAGGTTCATGAGAAGTACAGGGAAGACACAACTCCTATTTGTTCCTCTTAGCAGTGAACGTTTTATGTTGATTTTTGATGATGGACTGATAAACCATGACAATTGATAGAATAATCATAGTTTTTTTTTTTTTTTATCTCAACCCCTCGTGTGTGGATGTTAAAGAGGCAAGATAAAATACAGATTTTAATCATCAGTACATCTGCATATGTGAGATATGATGAAACCATGTGAACTGATAACCAGACCAGAGCATGACTCTGCAAAGATAAGGGGACCAAGTACTCAACCTTGGAGTACGCCCTATCAGAGATGGCAACTCGAATTGCACTCAGATCACAAAACCAAGACTTCAGATTTGACTTAAAATGACCAAGTCCAGAAAACACCAAAGGGCTTCCCACTACATTCAGTCATTCACCCATTCATGCACATATTCACACGCTGATGGTGGCAAGTTACCGGATAGTAGCCACAGCTGCCCAGGAGCAGTCAAATTAAACTGACTGCCTTAAGGACTTAGAACTTGACTTGAACTTGCCCCCCCAAAACTGAGACATGACATGGACTTGCACCAGAAAAGAACTGGGATTTGACTTGGACCTGAAACATTTGAATACCTTGTACCAGGATTTGCTCATAAAAGTCTTAGGAATTTGAATTTGCTCCTTAAAGATTTAAGTCTTAACTTGCCCCTCAAAAACTGAGACTTGACTTGGATTTCCCTTTTAAAGTAGTGAGACTTCACTTACACTTTCCCCTCAAAGACTTGGAAACAATGATTTGTGAACATTTCTGCTTTCTATGCTCAGATGGGATGTTAATGTTTATTTTTAACCACTTTTTTATAACATCAACTTGTACATCAATAGATCATAACAGAAAAAAACAATATTTTAAAGTTTTAAGGACAGACTTTTACCATTATTAACCACCAGAGGGCGAAATGTTTGTCTTCAGTTGTTAATATGAGGATCTATGCCTATCTGTGTCCTCAGCCAAAGACTCCAACCATAACATCCACAGTGTGATCTACAGGTGGAACCCTGACACAAAGGTGAGATTCTGGCCTAATGTCAATATGAGAAGATGTCCAACACTCTGTATTCATGATATTTGTCTTTTTGTCCTGCTGTCCTCCAGCTGTTTGAGGTGAACCAGACTCTGTCCACGTCTGGAGCCTATGACTGGGAGTTCTTCACCATCGGCCCGTATTATTTTCTAGTGGTGGCGAACACCTTCAACGGTCAGAACACCACCATCAGCTCCACCATCTACGTCTGGTTGGACGGGTGTTTCCGGAGCTTCCAGAACATCACGGTCAGTGTTGAGACGTGGCTTTGGATCAGAGCTGCAGTCATTTCATTCCACGTCAGATGAAACTGACTTTTTACCTTTAGCACCCTCTAGTGGTGACGTTTAGACATGAACGGTTGAGATTCTTGTGGCAGAGATAATGCGATTACACAAAAATACTGAGTGACACACTTCAGCTTTATTCTTGTGTTCAGACTCTCAGGCACTTCCTGTTGTTCAACCCTCCAGAAATCTGATTTTGATCCAGTTTATATATGAATCAAGTTACAACGGAAAGGTTTATGTCCAGATCTGAACTTCAGTCAAGAGATACAAATAAAAAAATCAGGTTCCATTAAGAACCCGTTTTACTCTGGAGCACCTTGAAGAACCACCTGCTGGTCTGATGGGTCTTCACTCCAGCAGCAGATGCCTGTTTTTCCTTCACCCCGTCTATAATAAACCTCCTCAAGCCGCAGTAAAACGTTTTAATGCGATGACAGAAGTCAGAACATGAAACAGAAACATAAAAATGAGCAGCAGATTTTATAGAAATACATTTTAATCTGTGCCTGCTGATGATGATGAAAAGGAAAGTTCAGGAAACCAGGAGTGAGTAATTAATGAGAGAGGGAGAGGGGATTTTCCAGCTGAAGACTGAAGAGAGACTTTTACTGCTTTTTTTAAAACCACAAAAACACATTAAATCCTCCTGCTGTGTAATTTAACCTCTTCCAGTAGCACACAGGTGACACATGATTACCAAAAAACACATCTCACTCTGCAACTAATTTTTCTGAACAGATTAGTTATCATTTCATTGCTACACAAGAAATTCAAGCGTCAGCATTTTTTAAAAAGTTAAGAAAATATTGGGGGTTTTATTAAAATATCCAAACTAACCTGAGAATTAGATTCAGTTTTGTAATCAAAAATTAATGACATACACACAAAATGTCAAACGTTTAAAGATTATTAAGCTTCTCATATATGATTTTAATAAAACTGGATGGGTCTTTTCCATATAATCCACATAATTTATAACAAAATTCCAGTTTCTTCTGTTCCCAGGGACTTTTTTGGAGCTTTTGTCTCAGATTAAATAAATGTGTCATTTTCTCATAATGATATAATGAGCTGTAGTTGTTTTAATCAGTCACATTTTCCTTAAAAACACCTACAATCAGATTCTCTCTCGTGTTCACTTAAGGAACCTGCAACAGCTTGTCTAACATTTGATTTTAGGAAGGAAATACTGATGAGAAATAAAGTCAGAGTATTTTTTCCCCCATACAAGTCCCAATTTTCTGATTTTGATTAATTTTATATTCTCTCTTTTCTAAAAAAAAAAAAAAAAAAAAATTTACAAATGAACAAAAATATTTTTAATGATTTCAATAACAAAAAATGTGTTGTTATCTTACCAGAAAAAACTACTTCAAATTCTGAGAAGAGTCGTTTTAAATTTTAAAGATGTTAACTGAATCCGTTGCAACGACTTCAGTTCTTTTCCTACACAGTTCTTATGTAATCAATTCAAACTCCAGCTACTGGTAAAAATTTAGTGAGTTAAAAAATAAAGTATTTCTAATATTAAGTATAATCTGTAAAACCAATAACAAAGTATAATTTTACCAGATTCTCCACATTCCTCAATTTAATTTTTTCATATTTTTGTGTTGGAGTTCTCATAAAATTCTAAACTTTTGTAGCCTGATCCTGACTCAAAGTCCAAATAAACAGAAGCAGAAAAACTCACTTATCAAACAAGATGACGTGACTCATGTATTTAAAAATAAAAAAATTCAGATATTCCAAAAACTTCTCTATAAAATATTTCCTTCATCCCTTGGCAGACGGTTGGAGCGACGGATTGGGAGATGTTCCAGATCGACGGCAGGTTCTTCCTCGCCGTCGCCAACAGTCAGCAGTTCTCCAGGAAATCCCAGAGTTTCTACAACATCAACTCCACCGTGTACGAGCTGAACATGTTCACCCAGACCTTCCTCCGCTTCCAGGACATCCCGACTCACAGGTCAGCCCACCAAACTTACTACCTGTTGTCTTTACCTGCTCTGCTTGACATATTACAAAATAAAGCTTTGCACATCACTCTCCATTACCATTTTTTACCTGTCCTCTTTCTGATTTGTTAGTGTTCATTATTCCTTCACCATTTGTTGTTCTTTGGCTGTTTTGGCTCATTACACAAAATCTTACCAAGTATTTCTGTCTTGTTTCTAGTCCAATTGTCTTAGTACTATTTCCACTGGCAGAGTTTTTCACTTATAACATGGCTTCCCATGTTATGTTATAATAATCTGCTAATGATGAAACTAGTATTCTTCTATAAAAGTCTAAAATGAAAGATGATTAACCCTTTAAAGTGATTATGACTGTTTTTGTTGTTTTTGTGTTCAGCGCTCTTGACTGGGAGTTCTTCACCATCGGAGACGAGAAGTTCCTGGTTGTGGCGAACTCTTATGATGGCAGTTCATACTCTGTGAACAGCGTCGTCTACAGGTGAGTGAAGTTCATTCATGCCTGTGCAGGGTTGTATCTGACTTCATGTGACGAACTGTGTGTGTGTGTGTGTGTGTTTTCCAGGTGGCAGGGCTACGAAGGCTTCGTCCCGGTCCACAGTCTGCCCACCTTTGGCTGCAGAGACTGGGAACACTTCACCACTGAGCAGGGCTCCTTCCTCTTCTACTCCAGCGCCACCTCCAGGCTCAGTAAGGTTTTCAGACTCAGAACCTACTGAGAGGTTCTGATTGGATCAGACGGATGACATCACATCACTGAGGGCGGGGCTTCAGGAGGAATTTCCTCTCTTTCAGCTGCAACCTCAAACTCTGAAGAAAAATATTTATAAAAGAAGCACTTTGTTAAACAAACTAAATTATGATAAGCTCTGCAGACAGAACTGATTCAGATTGCAGATTTATTCTTAATGTTTTTCACACTGAACATTTTTTATGCTACTAATATATATCCGTCAGTTATTGGTAAGTTAACAGTTTTATTTGACAGAAAATCAAATATAAACCAATAGATCTAAAAAAAAAAATCTATTTTTAAAAAGCAGTAAATTAGGAGGCTAAAAGCTGAAAATATTTTCTTCTTTTTGTTTCTATTTTTGAGATATGAGGTTGTTTAGGCTCAAGTGAAGTTTATTTATGTTTTTGTCTTTGAATCAAACCTATTTATAAGCACTTTTGTGGAGTTTGTACAGAAACGTGGTGCATACTAAAAAGGATAAAAATTATTTTCACAAATAAATCCCAATGAATAAAATGGTAGGTACACATAATTTGAAAACATTTCCCTTATCTATCCCAATCAATGGACTCCATCCACATCGGGGAATTGATATTTAGTTTGGAACAGTGCCAGATTGTGGTCCGTTTCCAGTCATTTTTTTCATTTGAATGAATGAAACTTGAACTAGGCCAACTCTAATATTAAAATTATATTATTTATCCTGAAGGGATATTAAATAACTCACATCATCCAAGTATCTTCAAAGAGTTGCTGTGGATAGTGATGATATGGAAAAGAAGGATCTCTGGTAGCAGTCGGTCTTTCAGCGAATCTGAAGACACCTCTGAATGAAGACTGTTGCTTTCTGACATTTTCTTGACTTTCTTGATATGCTAGTAGTTACATTTCTGAGCAGCAGGGAAAATATTTAACCTCATAAGTGTCACCAATTGGTCAGTAATTTCAGAAATTGTTTCCTCATTCTTGAAGCATTTGAAGTATTTTGTAAAAATAGTACTGGAGATGTGCTACTTTTTACTAAGTGAAATTTCTTTGGGTGTGGTTGTTCATCAGCCTTAGACCTCTGCTGCCTTCTGTAAGTTTCTCTGTTCAATCATATGCAAATCTACACTGAAATGTTCTCTTAGGTATGAAATTGATGACTTAATGAAATTTGTTTATATAAATTATGTTAAATATTAGAATTAATGGTGCCTAAAAATGAATTTCTGTTCTATCATAGACTCTTTCTTTGGCCCTGTTTCAGTCTGTCCTGTTGTTGTTTTTATTGCATTTATTTATTGATTTGTGTTTTTGCTGCAGGACAGTAAACTCACTACTATTTGTTGTTATTTTGTAATAAACATAATTTTCTCCTCAGGTTGTAAAAGAGCTACTGTAAAGAAAAGAAATTCTGAATTTATTTTCAAGTAACTTTTTCTGTGATACATTTTCTGTGCTATATTTAAAGTGAGTGTAATATTTTGATAAGATGAATCAACTTTTTAATTGAACTGTTTTTATTTTATTTTGAAATTCTATAATTTATCAAATGTTTTTTTTTAAACCAATGTTAATATTTGTTATGTTCTTTTCTGTAGCTACTGTTTGGTGTCAACTGAAGATGCATTTTGGAAACATTTTTTAATTAAATAAAGGTTTTAAAGTTAATGTTTTTTGTTGGAATAATTTGTCACAAATGGAGGCAGTAAGAAGTTTATTTTTGATGGAGATTTGTGCCTCTTTAAATTGTATTTATGACTCTGTTTCTTCAATAAGTTACATTGAAACCACAGTGGGTGGTTGCTATTATTTAACCTCTAAAGTATGTCAGCCATATTTGATCTTTTTGCCCTGTAATAATCACAGTTTTGATGTTTCTAGCAGTGAACCGTTAGGTTGTTACCGTTAGCCCTCCGGTCAGGAGGCGTCGCTACGGAAACTACGGGCGGTTGTTTAGCTTCGGTGTCCGGGTAAAAAGGTGAGGCTCCCGGTTTGAAAGTGAGAATTTATTCCCGTTAAACCGAAAAAAACTTTGAATTAACCGCAAGCGACTGTCCCGGTGACGGATTGTAGCAGAACTTCACGGCGGTGGCTCGGGTAGAAACTGTGGTCAGTCAGCGGTTCCGGTGTTTGCATGCTAGGCGGCTAACAGGTCCGTTTGGTTCGGGTTCGGCTTCTACAGTGCCGCTTGTCTGTTGGGGTTTGGTTTCTGTTCGGTCGCTGACGCTTGGGTGGTTGAGCCTTTAAAACAATTCTTAATCCGGTTCTGATTCGGACATAACTGTTGGAGCGTCAGCAGTTTAACCACAGATTAAAACTCAAAACGATTAGAGCCGAACAGAGCCGAGAGTCAACACTTCCAGGACAGCAAACACACAACAAATTCGTATTCCATAGAGATTCGTGCATGCAAAGTGTTACATATCTGTGAGTTTTTATGTTTTTAGCTTACAGCTGATGAAAACCCTGAAATGCATTCATAAAATAAGGATATTGCACATCCAGTTAAAAGCGATTGTCCATGAACTTTACAACATATATACTCTACTTGGTCAGGGCTCTTTTTACATAAATTACTGTATTTATACGCCAAAAGGTTGAGGTATTAGAATCTGAAATGACTCAATGATGCTTTAAAGGAGCAGTCGGTGTAAAGACAAAATGATTTTAGAGTTTATAAGTTAAACATCCCTTTACTGTTTTAGTTCCTTGATGAGGTTGGAACTGATCATTGTTTTAGTTTTTGGTTAATGTATCATTTATTCCGATGACTAACAAAATTAGCATGTTCTGCAGCGTTGCATATAAGTATTTTTTTACAATATTAGAAATACATCAAACAATGCAAAGAAACATAATTCAATACTTTTTTTAAGTAAAAATTTCAATGCCTAAAATTCAACAACATGATCATTTGTAGCAAAGAATGCATATGCAGATAAAAACTTCTAACATCAACATGTGAAAAGTTCAGCCTGTTTGCATCAGTACAGTGTAGAGCTTATTTGAGGATTCTTTTTTTAGACTAAACAGTTAATAATTGGATAGAAAAAAGTGCTTATTAAACATTAATATGTTTTCTCTGTTAAAGTTAATACTGAAGTTATAGTGGAAATAAAGTTACAGCTGAACACAGAAGATAAACCCTATTCTCTTTCCAAGCATGGAGTCAAAGCTGCTGAATGGCTGGCAGCAGGAGAAGGCAGAGCTGGAGGTGGAGGTGTGTCGACTGCAGGATGATCTGGCGGAGAGCCGAGCCGAGAAGGAGGAGCTGGAGTCCAGGAGCAAAGTTCTGACAGACAGGGTGAGGGGGCTGATCTCCCAGTGGGGCTCAGGTAATCAGCAGGAGATGATCGTTCTCAAAATGTTTCTCTCTCCAGCTTTGCCAGACTCTGAATCCATCAATGTCCCTGTTTGATGGGGACCAGAAGAGGTGGAAAACGAAGCTGAAGGAGGGAATGGAGAGGGAGGCCAGACAGGCGCTGCTGATCCTCCGTCTGCAGAACAAGGTGAGGCCAGAGGGGGCACTGCAGAGCAGAAACAGTGGATTCTGCATCTCAAGTCAAACATTCAGTTCCTCCAGAAAGTTATGATGTTACAATCGCAACTGTGAATGCAAATTCAAAGTCATCATACGCAAATTTTGCGCTTACTTGCAATTTTTACCAATCATCACAAATTTATAGCAAATCTGACCAATCACCTAAATGTTTTCTGTATTTCATTCTTTTCTGACCAATCCCCTTAGCCTCTTTTTAATTTAACTCCCTGCTCCACAATAACTCTCGAAAGCCAAACCTGCAAGATGAAAACGTGTGACGCTAAACTCCAACATTTACCTTTTTTCTTTATTTTTATTTTTTGCAAAACCTTTTTGAGATGTTCTGTATGTCTGTGTTTATACAGTTTTCCTTAAAACAAACCAGGTAAAATGAGTAATGGTGGTTAATCCATGTTCATATATTATATTTAGCTTGTTAAGAAGAATACTAACGTTTTAATTTAGGTTACGTTGCTTGCTAGTTAGATAATGCCAACAATAAACCAAATCTAATTTTATAGAAGTTGTGCTCACTTTTACTGTACATATGTTTAAAAATAATCTTTTATTGTCTCAATAGAAAGATCAAAGAGTCAGGGAGGAGACATTAGACCAGAGGCCAGCTGTTACCTCAGGTAAAGAGGAATAATAGCTTGATTAGAAGAGAGAAGGAAAGGGAAGATTATGTGTTGCAACTACAACATGTTGAGGGAAAAATAAAGTTTAAAAAATGTGCAACTTTTTGAAAAAATGCTATGAAATCTGTCATTTTAGGCCAAAGCAATCACAAAAAAACATCACAACATTCTGGAGGGACTGAAAGTGGACATTGACTCCGCCCACATTGCATAAAGATGGAGATAGCGTTCAAGATTTGACTGTTTTTCTGTAGGTGATCGAGTACAAGGAGCGGTGTCACCGTGTGGATCAGCAGTTGCAGGAAAATTACTCCAGGGTTCTGATCTCTGAGGTCAGTCCAGAACCTCAGCGGTACCACAGAACCTCCTGGATACAGCAGGAGAACTGCAGCTGCTTAGATGTGTTTCTGTTTTACAGCAGAGAATCAAAGATGAGCACAGCCAATCTCTGGAGAGCGCCCTCATCAGTCTGGAGGAGGAACAGCAGAGGTAGGTATTTGTGTGTGTGTGTGTGTGTTCGTGTGTGCGTTTCAGGTGGTTGGAGTCGATCACAAAGCTCACGATCTCTTCCTCCTCAGGTCCACCAGCCTGGCTGACACCAACGCTCTCCTTCGCCACCAGCTCAGCCAATCAGAGCAGGCCAACCGGGAGCTGGCAGAAGACCTCAGGAAGCTGACTGCTGATTGGTCGAGAGCCGTGCAGGAGGCGCAGCAAAAAGAGGCCGATTGCCAGAGAGAAAAAGAGGTTTGAGGATCGTTGGACATAAACTCTGATCTTCAAACCAGAACAAATTGAGCTAACAGGTTGTGTTTGTGGTTGTGTATTTCTGTGTGTTTAGTGTCGGTGGGGTCACATGGGTCAGCAGCAGGCCCGGCTGCTGTCACTCTGGAAGTCAGTGCTTGATCTGAGGCGACACTGTCACACGCTGAGAACAGCTGCTGACAGGTGAATTCAATCATGTGACCTCTGACATCATGATGGTTTCACGTCCTACTGTTAAAGCAACATGGCTGCTTTACACCCTTGAAAATGCTTGAATTTCAATTAAGTGTTTTCAAGGCTTGTAAAGTTCTTGATATTCAAACTGCTTAGTTTTGTAATAAAGTCCCAATTCACCCTTTGATTAAAAGCCTAAATTTGGAAAGCATCATTTATAGTTGAACCCACATATTTTCATGCACCAAAATAACACATATATTAGCTCACTACTTGAAGTTAAATCAGACTTTCTAGTTTTAGGTCAGTTAGAACTACAATTATCAGGATGAGAAATTACAATTCTCTGTAATTTTTTTTTTCTGGACATCTACAAGTTACGTCATATAATAGTGAATTGAAACCAAAGTCTGGTCCTGGAAAAGTTTTAAAACTAACCCTGAAACTGCTTGAAAAGCGCTTGAATTTTACTGTGGGAAAAGTGTGTGAACCCTGAGGTCAGAGGTCAGTTTGGTGTCTAAGCATCTTCTTGTTGGTGTTTTTCTGCAGGGATCTGTGGCAGCTCAGGGCGGAGTTTTCCAGACTCTCCTCGTCTCTCCTCTGCAGCTGCGACTCCGTCTGCTCCTCACTGAGGCTCAGCGCCCCTCAGATCAAACCCGCCTCCTCTGACCTTCCTCCTCCATCATACTCATCACCTCCTCTGTCCTCTACTCTCCTGCACTCTCCTCCAGACGTCTCAGGCTCTCCTCTTTGTCCCCACCCCCCTTTCCCTCTGGGGATATTCGCCTTAGGAGAGGAAGAGGAGGTGCAGGAGCAGGAGGATAAGCCACTGGAGTTGAAGCTCCAGCATGAAATGGAGGTGTTCCAGCTGGAGCAAAGGTAAACAACATGTTGAGTATCGAGGTTGTGCTGGAGGCTCAGGTCTTTACCTCCCTCCGTCTGTGTGTGTGCGTGTTAGGATCGAGGAACTCAGTCGCTCCCTGCAGATGGCAGATAGAGCGAGGGAGGCGTTGGAGGCGGAGATGGAGCGGCTGAGGGAATCAGACAGGACGCTGCAGTCGGTCGGTCAGGCTGTCATCAAGATGGTGAGCCTCTCCTCCAATCAGATTCCGTTTCTTCCTGGCCCATCAGTTAATTTTGACCTTTTGTCTTCAGTTCCATTCCCTGAGCAGGGTCAGCAACCAGATGCCGAGCGTCTCCACGGACAGCGTCCTCAGTCTGGATATGTCCTCCCTGCTGTCGGTTCTGTCTTACACTGAGAGCATGCTGCAGCGGAAACACGAGGAGCTGCAGGTTGGTGACTCAAACAGGATCAAACCCGTTAGGCCCAAAACACACCATTTGCATTCCACGATTCACACTACGACCAGTAGACCAAAATAAAGAGCCAGCTAAGTGTGGACAAGGACTGTGTGTGTCTGTGTGTTAGGGGGCAGAGCTTAGTCTGCGGCGGTTCAGCGAGGAGCAAACGTCTCTGCAGCTCCGCGTGAAACAGCTGGAGGAAGAAAAAGAGCAACTGGACATGAAAACTGGGAGCATACGGCAAGAACTGAAACACACACTGGACTCTCTGAGCAGGTGATCGAGCTGCTGCCCCCTGCTGGTTGCTCCTGTTTTTGATTTAACTTTAACCAATCTCATTAGTCATCATGTATTATTTCTTTCACTTCCCTTACTGAAGGAAATTATCTTTTCTGAGATTCTGTATCAGATCATCAGTTCTCCAGGATGAACTCCGTTTAATTTATCGTTGTTTTTTGTTTAGGGAGCCATTTGATCAAATTTGTGTTTCTGTGACAGGGAGAAAGAGTCATCCACCTCCCTGCGTCTGCAGCTGGAGGAGGTGCAGATGAGAGAGGAGGAGGTGAAGAGAGAGATTGACAGACTGAGGAGAGAGAGAGACAGAATGGAGGAAAGAACCCGACAGCTGGAGGCCGAAAGATACAAACGGTACCAACAGGTTCTACTGAGACATGTATGATATTATGATATTCTGTTATTTATTCTGCTTTTAACTGGTTCTGTTGTGATGTTGAACTTTTACAAATATTTTCTTAAAAAACTAGTACATGTATAAAATAGATTCCCAATTATTATGTAAATTTTTCTGTTCTTACTGTTGGAGGAAGTAGGAGCACAATTATTGAGTTGTTTTTACTCAGAAACATAAGCAAAAAATAATAATTTTATAAAGTTGTTTTTCATATATATTTTTGTGCTTCACATGCTTTTAATTTAATAATTTTGGTCCACAGAAAACGTTTGTACACAGCAGGCTTAGTGCTTCCACTGTCAGGTTCTACTTTGGGCTGGGCAATAAGAAATAAAGACAAAGTCACCAGTTTTTCTTTTTTTATATATATAATCAAATCTGATTTTAATTTTAAAAATTTCTCCTATTGCTTTCTTTTGTAAAAATTAAATTACAAATGACGGGAAACATTTTCAAAAAGTGTCTTTTATTTAAATTATTTCTTCTGTGTGTTGTACAACAAAATCTCTTGTTTGAGTCAGAATATTAGCTAAATAATAAAGACTTTAATGCAAAAATCAGGATAATTAACTATTTTCTTCCTCATAAAATGACTGCTTCATTCTCCTAGTGTTTCAGTTGTATTTTTGTAATATTAGGACTTTATTGTCATAATTTAGAGAATCAGCCTGACCTTTATACTTCATCGTAGAGTTAATAAATGGAAACTGTAAGACATACTTGTCAAACAAAACAGTCACCCTGGGTTTGCTGACATCACTCTGAACTACAGAGCCCCAAGGAGTGCATCTATGAAAAAAGTTCCAATCTTCAAAAACCTAAATTTTGATTTAAACCCGGTTTATAGCCCAATCGTCGTTGGGCTATAAACCTTTCGGGTTTTACAGCGACTCTCTTTGCTGCAGGGTGGAGGCGGAGCTTCTGGAGAATGTCCAGCTGTCAGAGAGAGAAACTCAGCAGCGGATTGAGATCCACAGCCTGAAGGTAGAAACTCTGCTTCTAGTTTTATTACCTAGAGAAATCACATCTGCAGGATAGAAACGAATAGTTGCTGGTCTACCTGCAGGTGACGCTGGAGAGGGAGCAGCTGGACAGGCAGAGAGCAGAAGAAGAAGGTGCTGATGCTAGAGAAGCCTTGCAGAAGGTTTGAATGTTCCTGAATGTTCAGTGGAAGTTACCTGTTCATTTCAACCCTGTGTTGACTGGCGGTGCCGTTCTCTGTTGCCCCCTGCTGGCGCTCTTCGCTCAGTCCAGGGAGTCCGTGCTGCATCTCTCCTCCTCAGAGACGTTGCTGAAACGGGAGGTGCAGGAGGCGCGGGACGCTCTGGAGAAGGTGTCGGCTCTGAACTCGTCTCTGGCCACAGACAAACGAGATCTGAACATGCAGCTGCTGAAGGTAAAACTTTCTGCTGCCTGGCTCAGAGGCTCCACGGCAGCTTACCGAGGCTTCATTACATCTCTCTGGTCATGTTTGTTTCAGCTGGAGACAGAGCAGTCAGACAGCCAGTCACAGCTGCAGACTCTGAGGTCAGAGGTCAGTGTTCTGCAGAGAGACATCAAAAGTTTGACTAGTGAAGTCAGCCTCCTGAGGTGAGTCTCTAGTCCTGAAGAAGAACCTCCACCCTTAGTGTTCTGGTCCAGTCAATCAATCAAATCTCTTCAGAGTTCGGTCAGAGACAGACGCTGATGTCATCCATCAGCTGAAGGAGCGACGTTCACACCTGGAGAGAAACGTGGAGGAGAAGGAGAAAGAGCTGGCCTCCCTGGAGGAGGAGAAGAAGACCACAGATCAGGAGCTGGACGAGGTAAACAGGAAACCACGCAGACATCGGGCTGGGAGAATCATAGATAAAATCCATTTTATTCTATTCTTAGTTTGAAAGAATTAACTTTTGGAATATTGGGATTTTTTTCACAAGAGGATGTGAGAAAAATAAATATTGATTAACATTTAAAAATTGAATCAGATTTTATTTTTCAGCCAAGTCTCAAAGCCCCATGCTGATGTGACTGATGTTGACCTGCATCTTGTTTGACGGCTTCTTTCTGCTCCTCAGTTATCCTCCCAGCACACCTTGGTATGCAAGGTGCTAAAGGAGGTGCAGGAACAGCTGTGGAAGACAGAGCAGCAGCTGAATCAGACGGAAAGACAGAAGGAGGAGCTGCAGAGAGAAAGCAAGAAGCTGCAGGAGGAACAGGAAGTTCAGAGGAGATACAAGGAGCAGCTGGAAGAGGAGTTACAGGAGCTGAGGTAGTGAACACACCTAACCTCCTCGTCCTCCTAACTGGTGTCTCACCGCAGCTCCTCTGCACCTCCTGCAGGTCCGTGTCAGTGAACCTCCACCTGCAGCTCCGTCTGCAGCAGAAGCAGCGCTCCCAGTCTGAGGTGGACAGATGTCAGCAGAACACACACATCTGTACGCTGCAGCAGGCCAAAGCCATCTTGCAGGGTGAGTCAGAGACAGCACTGCTGTTACTGGTTCATCACTTGGTGGTTAGGCCTTCATGGCAGTTTGCTGACTCGGGTCACAACCCCAACATTGAAGACTTCAATTCTTTATTCCAGGTTTATGGAATAAAGAATCTGTTTTGAATCAATCTGCTGAAAATCAAATATAACAAATCTGTTCAAATGAGAGAGAAAAAAGTTCAAACTCCTGGAGATTTATTTAGAAAGTTTCAGAGAGGAACACAGAAAGGAGTCTGGTTGTGACTTAATGTTTCTGTCTGTCTGAAGGTGAGATCGAGTGTCTGAGAGGAGAACTTCAGCGAGAGACGACAAGAAGAGAAGATGAGAGAGAGAAAAGGGAAAGAATGCTGGAGGAAAAGAAGGAGTTGAAAGTAGAAATAGAGAGGCTAACGGAGGAGGTGAAGGAGCTGCAGACCAGAAGGAGGGAGGAAGACGACAAGTGGAAGGAGGAAAAGGAATCGTGGCAGAGAGAAAGAGAAGTTCTGAACCAAGAGCTCGGCATGAGAGATGGAGAGATGGAGGCTCTGAGGAGGCGCACCGAGGGATTGATGGAGGAGGTGGAGGAGAGGCAGAGAGAGGTGGAAAAACTGAGGGAGGAGGTGGCACAGGGAGAGACTGAGATCAGCTTCACAATGGAGAGACTGCAGAGAGTAGAGGTAGAGAAGGAGAACCTGAAGGAGCAAGCGAAGAGAAAAGAGGTCTGTCTGGAAGAAGAGGAGGTGAAGAGAAGAGAGGAGGAGAACCAGAGGGATTTAGAGACGGAGGCACTGTGTGAACGGATCGAGAAGTTGGAAACAGAAAAAAAAACAATGGAGGACGAGCTCTGTCAGCTGAGGAGTGAGGAGGAGGAGAGGTGGAGAGAGAGAGCTGTGGCAGATGAGGAAATCAGCAGGCTGAGAATAGAAATCTCCTTTTTACAGGGGGAGGAGAGGAGACAGAGGGAGAAACAGCAGGAGGAGCTGGAGGAGCAGCTGAAAGAGAAAGTAGGGGAGGTGGAGCTCCTGAAGGTGAGGCTGAACGTGGCTCAGGAGGAGTATGAAGAGATGAAGGAGGAGGTGGAGAGGAGGGAGCGCGGCCTGGAGCGACAGATCAGTGCTGTCAGGGAACGAGAGGAGGAGGTGGAGGAGCTGAAGGAGAGCCTGAGACTGACTGAGGAGCAGAAGGAAGAAGTTGAACGGGAACGGCAGGCGATCTGTCACAAACTGCAGCAGGAGGAGGCGCGGCAGGAGCAGCTGCAGACTCTGCTGACAGAGACTCAGATGCTCCTCGAGAAGGAGAAACAAGAAAGAGGAGAAAAAGAGAAAACAATAACCTACCTGGGCAAGGAGCTGCAAGAGGCTCGGGCTGAGAGAGACGGAGCAAATAAGAAGGTCAGAGAGAAGGAGGAGCTCTGTGAGCAGCTGCAGGAGGAGGTCAGGATGTGGGAGCAGACAGGAGAGCACAGTGATAGGGAGGTGAAAAAGCTCCACAAAGTCAATAAGGAGCTACAAGAGGCGATGCAGAAGCTGACTGCAATGTTAGAGGAGAGAGAGGAGGAGTGGAAGGAGAAGGGAAATGTGAGAGTGAAAGAGGAGAAAAAGCTCAACAAGGTCATGAAAGAGCTACAAGAGGAGGTGCAACACCTAAAGGCTGCACTGGAGGAGAAGGAAGAGGAAGTGAGGGAGTGGAAGGAGAAGGCAGACCTGAGTGGGAAGGAGGAGAAAAAACTCAACAAGATAGTTAAGGAGAGAGCAGAGGAGGTGAAGCAGCTGAGGGCCACACTGGAGGAGTTAGAGGAGCTGAAGGAGACCCTCAGGCTGACTGAGAAGCAGAAGGAGGAAGAAGAACGGGAGCGACAGGCGGTCTGTCACAAACTAAAACAGAAGGAGGTGCAGGAGGAGCAGCTAGAGGCTCTGCTGATAGAAACTCAGGCGCTCCTCGAGAAGGAAAAAGGAGAAAAAGAGAAAATGATCTCCTCCCACAGCAAGGAGCTGAAGGAAGCTCAGGCCGAGAAAGAGAACGCGAATATGAAGGTCAGAGAGAAGGAGGAGGCCTGTGGGAGGCTGCAGGAGGAACTGAGGAGATGGCTGCAGACAGCAGAGCTCAGTGATAAGGAGGTGAAAAAGCTCCAAAGGGCCATGAAGGAGCTACAAGAGGCGGTGGAGAAGCTAAAGGAGACAGAGGAGGAGTGGAAGGAGAAGGCAGAGGTGAGCGCAAAGGATGAGAGAAAGCTACATAGGGTCATCAAGGAGCAACAAGAGGAGGTGGAGCAGATGAGGGAAGCGCTGGAGGAGAAGGAGGAGGAGGTGAGGGAGTGGATGGAGAAGGCAGACATGAGTGTAAAGGAGGAGAAAAATCTCAACAAAGTTGTTAAAGATAAAGTAGAGGAGGTGAAGCAGCTGAGGGCAACCCTGGAGGAGAAGGAGGAGGAGCTGAGATCAAAAGAGGAGGAGTGGAGGTCAAGGGAGCTGATGAGAATCAAGAAGGCACAGGAGGAGGAGAGGCACATGGAGGAGGTCCAAGAGGAGCTGATGAGCAGTAAAAGGGAGGTGTCTGAACTGAGGGAAGATTTGTATAAGGAGCAAAGAGAAAAGGAGGAGAAGCAGGAGCAGCTGAGGAGCTTTGAAAAGGATATGGCCGCTCTCAGAGAGGAGATGCAGAGGGAGAAGAGACAGGAAAAGGAGGAGAGGAGACTCCTGGAGGAGATGCAAAAAGAGAAGGAGGCAGCCCATAAAGCAGTGTGGGAGGAGCTTAGAAGGAGTGAGGAGGAGTGGAGGTCAAAGGAGTTGATGATCAATCAAATAGCACAGGCAGAGAGGAGGCAGATGGAGAAGGTATTGGAGGAGCTGATAAGTAGCAAAAGAGAGGTGTCTACACTGAGAGACGAGATGAATGAGGAGCAAAGAGCAAATCAGGAGAAATTGAGGACTTTTGAGGAGGAGGTGATAGCTCTCAGACAGGAGGTTATTAAAGAACAGAAGGAGAAGGAGGAGAAGCAGGAGAAGCTCCGAAAATTTGAGAAGGAGGTGTCTGAACTCAAAGTGGAGCTTGTGGAGGAACTCCAGGAGGGGGAGAAAATCCGAGATGAATTGATGAAGAGGAAGGAGGAGGTGGAGGAAGAGGTCAGAAGGACCAAGAACGCATTAAAAGTCATCACTGAGGAGTCGAAAACAGAGAAGGAGCAGATGAAAGAGAAATTAAGAAGGACAGAATTGGAGGTGGGGACTGTAAAGGAAGCCTACAGGAGGAGTGAAAAGGAGGTGTTGCTGCTCAAAGAGGAGCTCCAGAAGGAGCAGCAGGAGAAGCTGAAGACGCAAGAGAAGCTGAAGGAAAGTAGAGAAGACGTCTTGGATCTTAAAGAGGAAGGAAAGAAGGAGCGCCAGAGGAGGGAGGAGGTGCAGGAAGAATTGAGAGCTGTTCAGCGGAATGTGGAGGTGATGGAGGAGAGCCTGAGCTCCCTGCAGAGTCAGGTACACAAACAACCCAGGGTGATGCTGAGGAGGTGAAATCCATTCAGGGTTTCTTCCAGAAAACTAGCGAAGTCTGGTGGTCAGTAGGGCGGGGCGCTGGGCTGGGGGCTGGGCACTGAGCCTGGGTTGAGCTGGGCTCTGGGCTGGGGGCGGGGCGCTGGGCGGGGCGCTGGGCTGGGCGGGGCGCCACTATTTTAAAAATGATAAACATTAAAAGGAAACTTTAAAATATGACTAGGTAACTACAGTAGAGTTACTGAAAAACCTTGTAATACTCAACATACAACTTAGTCTGAAAAAAGACAAACACAAAAAATTCAATCAAAATACATATTTTTTACCCCCTAAAGTTAAATCACAATCAAATAATCAGCAAGTGGATTTTTAACCCTTGAGGCGCCTTGAAAACGACTCCACAGTATTAGGTACCAAAACTACGACAGGTCAAAAAACTATTGAACACATCGCAATTTTTCACAATAAAGATATTCATTTTACATGCATAAATTTTTTTTTGTTTCAAAGCTATCCAAAGGTAAAAAGTTCTTATATTTTTGAAGGTAATAAACCCACATTAACATTAAAATGCTGAGCGGACTGTTTTGATGTAGGTGGTTAAGCCTTGGCCAAGTTGAAAAATGGATATTGATTTTTATGCAATATTATTTTTAGAGCAATGGGATTAAAAGTATCATCCAAAGCTGCGGCTCCTCACTCAGAGCATTCCATGTATTTACTGACAGCCTCCCCTGTAAAATTGAGAAGTGCAGGATTAGCTGCAAGATGTCTTCATGAAAATAAGGTCAAATGCAGTCAAAGGACTCCTGGTTCTGGCAATTGAGAAGTAGTTTGGATCCTGGAGTCAAGATAGGAGGAGAAAAGCATGGCAGAGCCTCTTCATGTGTGGAAAACCACAGGATTTCCTCATTTTATGATCTACATAGAGATTTCCCATCACCCATTGCCTCCTCCTTTTCCTCCTCCTCCTCTTGGCTGCAAGATTCCTCCTTTGCCAGGCAGCCATTCCTCCGCCAAGCCTTCCTGCCGCTCATATGAATTCCCACATCTACTTATTTTCTCCTCAGAAACCCCTCCTCATTGTCCCCAGACTTCAAGATTGCTGCTACAGTTTGTCCAGAGTTAGTCTTCTACTCATGGCTTTCATCTGGAGAAATTACCAGCTAGACAAGGCTGCAAACTATCCTAATAGAAGATGCACCTACATAAACATGCTAGGCTAAACATCGGTTTCTCTCTTGATAAAGAAAATATAGTCAAAGCCAAATTGGCTTTGATTCTTCAAAGTACACACATAGAAAACACTCCACACTCCTTTAGATTATTGCCAATACACCCAAAGGCTTTTGTGGTGTTCAGTATTTTTATTGCCATGCATTTTGATTAGTAATAGAACCATGTCACCATTAAAGTGAAGTATTGTAATTTTAGGAGACCCTTCACACTTATGGCCAGTTTTCCCTGTATTTTGAAGGTTAAAGCTTAGATTACTTTGGTGTTCATGGGAAAGTTATTTCAAAATGCCAGGGTTACTGTCCATTGAAAACATGTCGCTATAATGGGAGCCGATGGGACCAAAATGGGACCGAAGGTAAAGAATGGACACGGAGCGCATATCATCTCTTGTTCTTCAAGCTTAAAAAAAACAGACTTTTTAAAAATAAAACAGTCCTGGCCAAGGTTCATATATTTAATCTTTAATGTGACTGAGATATTTAGAATAAAGAATACAGGATACATACTGCTAGATGCAGTATTTTTGACTTGCTGGCTGAGATTGGTTATTTATCCAAGCCATAGCGGTATTTGCAAGAAATACTCTGAATGAGAAAAGCCTGTCTGTGATTGATAGGGGATGTGATTCATTTACATTACCTTCATGAAGTTGCAGCGCAGGCACAGACACAAGCACTAACACAAACACACGCCACACATTCAAGATATATGCGCTCATATTCTCACTGAACACTTAATACAAACATTTAAAATCACAACTACATTTGCAATTTGTGTTGCTTTTATAATTGATATCTACCCTGATTGTAGAGGTGAACCTGCTCTGCAAGATCATCTCTGAAATCACAAAGGCGTCGAACTCGCTAGGTGCCAATGGTGGGACAGGTGCACACCCCCAGTCCCTGCCATTTTCAATGCATCGACTATGAACCCATCTTTGTCACCACTGTTACTGGTGTATTAAAAAAAACCTTTAAAGTTCATAAACAAGCAACGCCAAGCCTGGTTGGGGCCAAGTAAAGCCAGGCGGCCCGCCAGGCTTATGATCCTCTGATTTCTGTTTTAGGTGTGGAATCTGAGCCTGAGCCAGGAACAAGCTAAAAGGGAGTTGAAGGAGAAGGAGGAGCAGAACCAGGAGTTGAGGGACTCCCTTAGGGTGGCCATGAAGGACCTGGCCCAGCTGGAGGTTCTCCTGAAGGTACAGTGTCTCCAGCTAGACACAGACCAGGTTACAGTCCAAGGTCATCATGTTTGACCTGTCTGTGAATCCTTAAAAAGTCTTACATTTATTTACCCAAAATGAAGGCCTTTGAATGGATTAAATTCATTTTTAAAAAGTAAGTTGGCCTTAATATTTTAATCATGTCTTAAATTATGCCTCAACACAAATATTTAATTATATATTCTATATATTTTTGTACTCAGCTAACTAGCTAGAGTTTTCCATCTATAATGGGTAAGTGGAAACTTATGGATGAAGTTTGGACATTTTTATAGGGGTGCAGGTCTTAAATTTCATTCACAATGATCTTTAAAAATCTTAAATTTGATTTTGTGAACCTGCAGAAACACTGTTTTTCTCTGACTCCTTGCTTAGGAGAGCCATGCTGAGGGGGAGTGCTTGAAGACCTCCCTGGTGGAGAAGAAGGAGGAGATGGACAGAATCAGAGAGGAGAGTCAGAAAGTGGCCAATGAAGAACTGGAGAAGCAAGGAGAGCTAGAGGAGCTGCGAGCCAGAGTTAAGAGCCTGAAGAAGAGAAACAGTGAGATGTTAGAGGATCTGGGCAATGCAGAGAAGAGGAGGAAGGAGGCTGAGAGGAAGTGGAAGAGTCAATTGGAACAGGTGGAGAAAGAGCAGGTGGTGAAGCTGAACGCTCTCAATGCAGAAATCCAGTTACTGCGGAGGAAACAGGAGGAGATGGAAACAAAGTGGAGGACCAGGGTGGAAGAGAAGGAAGTGGAGGTAGAGAAAGCGAGGATGGAGGTGCAAGAGAGCCAAACCGAGCTGAACAGGTACAAAACCTTAACAGAGGAGCAGAAGAATCAGCTCTACATACTGACTCAGAGCAACAGGCAGCTGGAGGCAGACAGGGACCGGGTCCGAATGGCTCTGGAGCGGACAGAGTCGGCCATGATTGGCTACAGGGAGAGAGCGCACCAACAGGAGCAGAACCCCGGGGCAGTTCCTCGCTCAGAAGAGGTCAGTGCAGCGTCTGATTGGTTGGGTTAAGGGCAGATGACCTCTGTGGTTACATGCTTACACCTGGCTGTCCTGATTGACCTGCAGAGAAATGTGTGTCCTCAGGGTGACCGACTGTTGATCCTGCAGCGCCAGGTGGCTGAACTGGAGCTGAACCAAAAACGGATGGACAAGAAGAATTCTCGTCTGGAAAGCCAGAAAGACAAGCTGAAGAAAGACAGAAGTGTTCTCAAAGACACGTTGAAACAGGTGTCCACTGCTGTCCACCCCTTCACCTCCATCATTAGCACATAAACTTTTTTAATGGTGCACTGGAGCTCTTGGCCTTCCATCCTAGGAATGCATACTGAACTTGAGGCACAAGGGTGCATTTATTCTGGAGTTAATTTGATACATACAGGCTTCATTTCCTATATAAACCCCCTCATGTTTAATTTTGACATCACAATATTTTCTTTTTTGTTTATTTCTTGGAGACATTAATAACTAGTGTTGAAATGGTCAGTTCCTGTAGTTCCTGACCAGTTTCCTGTCGTTTGAGGGCGGCGGTTCACGTCTGTGATGAGTGGATGGAAACTTCCAGCCACAGTTTCACAAACACAGATAGTAAAAGTCCTGCTTTAATGTGTTTTGTGTTTTTTGTAAATTTCTGGGCCTTTTGTCTGTCAGGTGGAGGAGGAACGATCGAGGCTCCAGCAGCAGCTTTCACTCAGCTCCATGTCTCAGGTGAGACATGTCTATGTGACGAGGCTTCTCAGGTAAGCAGCTGTGACTCCGCGTGATTAACAGGTGTGTGTGTGTGTGTGTGTGTGTGTGTGTGTGTGTGTGTGTGTGTGTGTGTGTGTGTGTGTGTGTGTGTGTGTGTGTTCAGTCATTTGAGAACACTGCTAACGTGGAGCGCACCGTGAAGGAGCTGGAGGACCAGGTGAGATCACCACAGAAGAAGAGTGTTAGTGTCTTGATTGGTCAGGTGGATGCTGATGATGTCATCTTGTCTGCGCAATCAAGGTGAATCGTCTCCGCATCTCGCTGGCTGTGGAGCAGGAGCAGAAGGCGGAGTTTATCGAGCAGACCTCCAGAAATAGCGAATGGCTTCTCTCGCTGAGGCAGGACCTGAACGATTCACTGGCCGCCGTCTCACGCCGTCCAATCCCAGCCGTCCTGGAGTCTGAGACGCAGCGATTGGACCGCAGCTTGAGGGAGGAGGACCTTAAGTTGTCTCTGAGCCAATCATAGCACATGACCAAAAGACTTCAGATCTCAGCATCTTAGATTTCTGATTGGACAGATTCTGCCCATAGTGAGTCTTTATTTAATGTTAACCAATCAGATGCGACCAAAACATTACAGCTAACGAACTGTCACCGTTGTTTTTTTTTTGTTTGTTTATTTTAAATGTTATTTATTTTTTGTAAGCAGCTCAATAAACCAAAGGTTTTATAACTAAGGATGTTTGTGGTTTTTATTTTTTTGGTTTAGTAAATGATGCATACAATTCAGGTTTGAACTCAAACTTTTCAGGAAGTCTGCAGACTTCACCACCAAACTGGGTCCAGCTCTCATCCAGGTCTGAAGCTCCCAGTTCTCAACTGGTTTAGTTTCAGTAGATATTGGATTCAGTAAACAATGGTTCTTCTATTTCTGGTCCATTCTTGGTGACAACTGATGGGTCGTTCAGCACCGGACCGACTCAATGTTCCAATTCAGTTAGTCATACTAAAAAAGGATCCCATCATCATGTTTGTCCAGCTTTAACTAAATATTATTCTGTTGTCCTAAAACCCAAAACCAATATTTTGCTTTTCCTAAATTATATCAACAGTCTTGTCCACATCTTTAACCTGCATGTGGTAATTTGTATTATTCTGATTTAATAGTGGGTTTCTTATTTGTGTTTTAGTTTTGTAATGCTTTAAAATCTGTTTTATCAGCTGACTGTGACCATGGAAGACTGAACGATCTCAAACTGCAGCTTCCTCTGGAACACAGACCCAAACGTTTGATACGAACCTGTTTTTTGTCTGCAGCTGGAAACATCTGTCCCCGTCCCAACAACACAGAACATTTTTGTTTTGTTTCCAGTTTCCTGCATCGTGAATCATCTGAGTGAAAAGAGAAGCACCACCTGAGAGCAGACTCTAAGCTCCTGCTTCTCTCTGCCAGCAGCAGCAGCTGGTTCATGTCTGTTGGTTTAGACAGAGTCCTATGGAAGTTCATTAGCGCCAAAAAACAAAGAATTCTGACTTTTTATCTCAGAATTCTGATTTTAAACAGGTGTATGACAATTATGTTGTTACCGCATGAAAATCATCACCTAACAGTTTATTTCTTTTTTTATATAATTTTATGCAGGTCCAATTTGTTTGGGGGGGTAGATTTACCAAATTTGGTGCATAAACATTTTAAATAAACTTGAGTTCGAGATTAAAATCAGAATGGATCAGAATTCTGCATCACTGCAGTATGCCTATTACAGATTTTTAAAAAGTATATTTCTGCCAAAAAATACAATATTTCTGAGTTTCAAAAGTCAAATGTTTTAACTTGAAACTCAGAAAATTTGACTTTTGGAAGTTTTTGTGCTAGAAAATGACAGATTAATCTCAAACTAAGTTTTACCAAGAAAATTGTTATTTCAAATTCATAAATGTCCGTGTATTCTATAGAAAATTTATTGGCTTAATGATACATTTTTTGCAAATTGTCACCACTTGTAGCTCAGAAATGTCCTGTTTTTTTGTGGAACATTTCTGAGTTCTTTAATGGAGATTCAGTCCTATTTTTTCTATCTAATGGTCCTGATATGCAGTGATAGAATTCTCATTTTTAAAAGTCAGTATTATTATTATATTTTTCTTCATGACTCTATTCCAAGTCCGTAAAGTTCGGTTCTGGTTCCTCCTGTCTTCATGGTGCGTTGATGTGTTTACAATGTGTTTTCTGTGTGTGTGTGTGTGTGTGTGTGTGTGTGTGTGTGTGTGTGTGTGTGTGTGTGTGTGTGTGTGTGTGTGTGTGTGTGTGTGTCAGACAGCGCAGTGTTTGTTTATGGAAGGCAGATGTCTCTCTGTCACTCAGCTCGCTGATAATCCTCGTCTATTTTTACCTCCGCCGCCCCTCCTCGCTGTTCCAGCCGTGCTTCCCCTCGCACCTCTCCGGTTCCACTTCCAGCCAGAGAGCGTTTGGACCGGCAGCACCGAGCCTCAGGTACCGTGTTCCATGTGTTCTGTGTAGGTTTCAGGCCTCGGACGGTTCAAAGTTTTGGGTTTGTTGCGTTCAGTCGCGGCTCCACCAGCTGTAAGCGGATCTCAGTGATAATTAACTGGAATCTCAGTTTACACGTCATAAATGACAGCAGCTGCAGGCCCGTAAAGAAGATCTGTGGGGTTACTGATGCTAAACAAATATAGTTTAAAGTGAGATTAGGATAAATGTTGCTAAATAATAATCAGGTTTTATTTTGTCGTTAATATTTTCTCAGGAAAACAGATTTTATTGCGTTATTGTTATTAGAGAGGCGACTTCAGATCCAACAGGATGCTGCTTTACTTCCTCCTGTCGCCATGGTCACTGATGCTGGACACCTGGCCAGAGCAGCTCAGTCCAGCTTGCATGTAAAGAAATAGAAAAAGCTTGTCTGGAGATGAAAGTCTGATTGTATTTAAGACTGAAACTGAAGATTTGAGAACTTTTTGAGATCCTGCAGAAATCCTGTGACTTATCTCGTTCTGTTTGATTTTACCAGATGGGAATGCTAATGGAGCCAAAACAGGTTAAATAGCTTAAAACCTGACCTGAAACTGTTTTCCTGCTCTAAATTTTCACATATTTTATTGCTTCTTTTTTGGTGAGTGTATTTTGCTATGTTTGAAAATATTGAAAATCATCATCTCTTTTTTCTGCAGCAGCTGGGTTGAATTTGGAGCTTATTCTGACATTTTGGTTGGTCAAGTTATTAAATCTGAAGATAAAACAAAAAAGGGAACTTATGTCATCACCTTTACATGTTTTTTCCCTTATTAAGATTTTGTTTGATACACTTAAATGCTCTATTTGTAATTTTGCTTGATTCCTGTAAAATGTCATCACAATTTTCCACAAAATCAGAACAACTTTTACTTAAAATTTTTTTTTTCCTTTTGTTTTCCTAGGTGTTAAAAGAAAAACAACTAGGAACTGGAGATACTGGAATACTGACTGGTTCTGGTTTAGTCTGACTTCAACTGCAAACTGTAAATATTGGAGATAAAACACAAAACACAGAATGGACGTTTGAAGCACAAAAGGAATCCAAGGAGACAAAGAAGAATATTTTTAGACTTGTCAACCAGTAACAGACTGGTTTCAGTGTTTCCTCATGACGACTGGGAAGACAGACGAAACTGAAGAGACATGTGGACGTCAGAGACACGAGGACAGCAGCAGCAAAGCTTCCTTCACGACTCTGAGCTCCATCGCCATCCAGGCCGGCCAGACCCAGATTGTTGCTTCTGTCCTCCAGGTAACAGAAATGCAGAGATTCCTGGTCCAATTAATGTCCTTTTATTTATATATGGAGACAGATGAGATCAAATACAATAAATCAGGGAGAAAAACCTTCATATAGTGTTTCCAAAATCTAAATAATTGGAGAAATTACATCTGAGGATGTTACTAATCAGTCACTTTCTTAGATTAGGTTTAATATGAGTTTAAAGTTTTAAACATATAAACAGACTTTAAAGTAACATACGTTAAATTTAAAATATTCAGCTTTTAAAAGACAAAATCCATAAACTATGACTATAAACTCCACAGTATTGAGCCATACTCAATAAATAATATTTGTCCCACTGAGGCTCGCTTGTCAGATTAAAATAACCTTCAACAGTTTCATTAAAGGTTTAACATTTCATTAAGCCCACATTTCTGTTTTAAAATGTAATTTTATTATTTTCAGTAACTTTAAGTGGAAAATAATCATAATTATTTGACAGGCTTGACAAGAATCTGTGTGTAATTGATCAATTTTACATGCTTCTCTTTGTGAATTAAGTTATAAACTTACTGACTATAACTCTAGTATTAAAATATAAAAAAGGAAGAAGAAAAACTTGAAGATTCTTGGTGTGTAATGTAAAGACCATCAAATTAAACACCGTTTTAATTTTTGATTTCTATATATTAAAATGTTGTCTGAAAAGTCACTCCAGGTTTAAAATGTAAAACTCATTAACTGAATGACCATAATCCTCTTGGTACAAACTATAAGCAGGTTTCCTGAAAGCCTGATTTAGTTTGGTTATTTTTACAAAATAAAACTATTAGCTGACAGACCAGTCCACCTTAAATCTGTCAGCTTGCAGTGTGTTTTTAGATCCGAGTTAAATAAAGATCTGAGTTAAAACTGTGTGGCTGACAGGCTGTGAATTTAGATAATTAAAGAGTGAAAGATCATTTTAGAACAGAGTTTAGAAAATTAAAGCAAAACTCTTTCAGTTTTGCTTTAAATGAAATCATATCAAACCGTTTTTGTTGGTTTCTTTAAACATAAAGACATTTTATCTGACAAAGCATTAAATAAAGTCTTTAGCAGACAGAATATATTAATTTACTGAGAACTGAAACTTCTTTTAGTGGGGAGTTTAAACTTTAAAATCTGTTAACTGATTAGATGTATTAGTTTATAATATTTTCAACTGAGTTTCTGACATTAAAGCCATGAGCTGAAAGGTTGTTTTCTCTGGGTCTGTGTGGAGGTCATGTAGACCAACACTGCCGCTCCACGTGCCACTTCCTGTTTTAGCTCCAGGTCAGCTGTGTGTGTGTGTGTGGGTGTGTGTGTGTGTGTGTGTGTGTGTCTGCGTGCGTGCTTGTGTGTGTGTGTTTTATCACCATCTCCATGTGTCTTTTTTTGGACAACATGCCAGAGATACCGTATCAAGGGAGGAATGCGCCAACACAAACACTCGTGCAGAGAATCAGAGTCAGACCGCAGCATCTCAGATATACAGCAGATAAAGCTTCAATTTCTGAAACATTCATAAAATATCTGTTACTTCGCAGGAAGAAGATCCGATTTCTTGTTTTCTGTTCGTAATGGCAGCATGTTACAGTAGCTGTTAGTTCTGATTTGTCTTATATCTAGACTTTTTTTAAATGTTTAAGGCCAACTAAAATGTTTTAATTATATAATTGTATTATTTATTTGGTTTTGCATTTATTTCTTCAGTTAATAAGAAACCTTGTACATCATTCTATGAAATGAACATGATTCTTTGGAAGAAACAAGCACTTTTCAAGAGGGGGCCATGGCTCCCTTGGCCCCCCTCTTAGGATCACCAGTGGTTAGTTGAGTGGTTGTATGTTTGGATTCCCACTGGTTTAGCAGAAAAAGAGGAAGTTCAGGCCATCTCTATCCCATCAGGCTCATGGATCATGTCCCCTACTCCAACATCTCTCTGCTTGGGTTTCTAACCAGATAGTGTGATGGAGATTTAAAGAAAAGCAGGATAGAGTTTTTCCTGATTTTCTTTTGTTTTAAATCAAAAACTGCACAATAAAACCACAGATAAACAGAATATCAATATGGAATAACTTGCTAAACCATTTCAATATAAAATAAAACTTGAACATTAATTAAATTCTTAACCTTTAATTTGACATGAAGAAAAAACATTGAAAACATTTTTTTTTTGGTTCTCATTTGGATCGAATGATATGTCTTTTGTTTGGTTCTTTATTTTGGTGGGATTTTTTCAGGCCAGCCAAGAGTCACTATTAAGCTAAAGAAGAAGTTGACACTCGTCATGAATAAAATATCTCTGGTTTGTGTTTGCAGAGCGGCTCTCTGATCCACCTCCAGCTGGTCCAGTTCCAGCCAGGACTCTGTGAGATTGGATCGGACCGGGAGGAAAACCGCATCCTGATCCAGGAGCAGCAGCAGCTTCTGGAGAAACTCCAGGTCCACCAGGATTCAAACACTCTCTGATCAAGGCGCTTTGCCTTTCTATTGGGAATAAAGTTATCAATTAATGAGCTAATCTAAAGTTGATTCATCTTATCCTTCGACTAACAATTAATTGATAAGCAGCAGTTTCTTAAAGACCTGAATTTTCTCTTGGATCAAGAGTTTTTACACAAAGGGCTACATTTTTCATAGTATGCTGAATTTTAAAAAAGCACATTGTTAATGTTAATATTTTGTATCAGTTGTATTAAATACTGACTGAATAAAGAGAAGGTCATAGCTTTATTACCTTATTAAACTTAAAAATAGTTATAAAGTATATCAAAACAGGAACCTCTTAGATCTCTGAATAGAAAAATTAAACATGAAAAGAATATAAGACTTTATTTCCCATAAACAGAGAGATATTAATACAGCTGTACCATCTGTTGCTCTTGAATGAATGTTAAAACGTCGCTCCATGAAGTGCATTAACTCCCAACATGATGCTTTAGCATGTTGTTACAATTTCTCTCTATTATTCTCTCAGCTTATTTTTCATCACACATCATCACTTTCCTGTCGCATCAGTGAGTTTTGAATCAACCGTGTTAAGTGTACTTTGAACGCACAGCTGTCACTGCTGTTCTAGTGAGGCCGCCATCTTTATTTCTTTGTAAAGATGGTTCAGGATGACCAGCGCTGCCCTCTGCTGGATGGCGGCCTCTCTACAGCATTCAAATTGAAAAAACGAACGTTATTTGTTAAATGGTTAGGACTAATTTTAATATAAAAAACCATTAATCAACAATTATTTATTAGCATCCCTACTACCTATTGATATGTCAACATGTTATTGCAGAAACATGAGCCTGAGGTGTTGGTTGTGGTGGAAAAGAAACACCAGGAGAAACTGAGGATGAGGAGGGATGGAAGGAGGAAGCAGGAGGAAGAGGAAGCGTTGGCTGAGGCGATGAAGGCGTCTCTGAGGGAGGGATGGTCGCTGCTCCTCCGACTGCTGGAGAGACGTCTGGACGTCCTGAAACAGGCTTCAGATTTCTTCTGCCGAGTGACGGAGGTGAAGAGGGATGACGAGGAGGATCTTAACGGGACAAGAAATAAAACGGGGCTCACAATGTGCTGCAAACTTTAAAATATGCTCCATTAGGCCTCGGGAATAATGTTAGAAAATAAGAACAGTGATCTTTAATGTCTTCAACTACAGTTTTTTTTTTAATTAATTTACGTATCTTTTCTATTTTTTTAATGACATAATTATATAAAAATTAAATTTTATTTTTACTCATATCTTTGAGTTTAGTGTGACAGAATTTCCCACAAACAGAAGTCGTCTTTGGGGGGGTGGAAACTTTTCCAGCTGATCAGAATACTGTGACCTTCCTCTGTGGTTAGCCAGCAGGCCTGAAGGTCATTTGGTTCAGTCACACATTCCTCCGTCCTGAACCGGTTTTGGTTCTGGACTGCTTTCTTTGGCTGGCTGCACACCTTTCCACCAGAAACACCTGCTGCTGTCTGAAACATTTTGCAGCCACAGAAAATCAGGAAAGCCTGGACAGCTGGAATAATCCTGGAGATTAGATCGTTTTACTGCACTGCTGCTCACTAAACATGTGTTGCATTTAAACTGTAAAAACATGCAGCTGAATTTTAAAAGCTAAAGCTAATGAAAGCTTATATACCATATAGTGATTTGTTCTCCATGAGTATTGTTTGAGAGGTTTGAGAGGTGAAATGTGTCTGAAACATAAAAATTAAGGCATTAAAATGAGTTTTGAAAGTAATATTTTTTAGGATATTATTATCACATCCAAACTCACTCTGACAACAAGAACCACTTCTTCCAGGACAGACATTTCTGACATGAATGAGAATAAGCATCATCGGTGTAATTATTTTTCAGATAATTATGCCAATTATAGGGGAAATGACTCCTCACTAATATCTCTCTGTTCATTAAAAGCAATCAGAAACAGAAGAAGTTAAATGTTTAATATCATTACAAAAACAAATATTTTTTTTTATTTCCATAGTTTTTTTTATGTTGTTGAATTAATTCACAGAAAGCTCATTATCTTTCTGCTGACAGATTCTTTTTTTGACTGCATTATTTTTACACCCTTTTCTTAAGTCCTTGTTTCATCTGTTGTGTCTCAAGGCTCCATTTTCAGACGCCTTTTCTCTTCATCTAATTGAAGATTGATTTGATATTCATTTAGAAAATAAACCAAACAATAAATAGTTTTTGTACCTGTCTGACTCCTGTGCTTCTCTCTGTCTGCAGTTTGCTGTTGGCATCGACAGATTAGAGGATCTCCAGATTAAAAATGAAGACAATCTGCATGATGTTCAGATCTCCTATGACTTCATGAGGAAAGGTATCGGCGCTCATGGTAGTTTTACTTCTATAAGCAGAAAAGGTGACTCAATTAGGTATTTCTGACATCTAATCTGATGTTTTTGTAGCTTCAAGTGTTGATGAATCTCTATTAAAGCAACTTTAGGTGTTTTAACAGATTAATCTGGATTATTTTTGACAGAAATGATGATGGTTTCTATGTTGACCTGCAGATATTCTGGGAAAGTCGCTGCAGGTTTTAACAAGCAGCAGCAACCTGCTGCAAAGACTCAGACAGCTCCAGAGGACTGAGGCCCTCCAGAGGAGAGGAAGGGTACTGCAGGGTGATGAAGAAGATGTTGAGGAGGTCAGAGTTCAAAAGTGCTGTTTGCAGGATGACTTTTGATCACCATGTTATTTATTATCCAACTAGAAACAGAATGAATCAGCTGTTTTCTGAGTTTTCTGTTTGAGATCACTGATGTTTATGCTTCTTCCCAGAGTTCCCAGTGTTCCCTGTACAGCAGAGGTCCGGTGCTGAGGCTGGAGCAGCTGGTGGAGGACCTGCAGGACCGAAGGCGGAAGGTTGACCAGGCTTTCAGACTGCAGCTGCAGCAGGCAGAAGTGGTTCTCAACATGAGGGAAGAGTCCAAAACAAAAGCAAGTCTTGGTGTTAGATCATCACTTTTATTTTTATTGACCATTATAAACCAGTTCACTTCCTTTCGGTGTTCTGTCAGCTTATTTCTGCAGAATTCATGTTTTAACTTGTGAAAAACTGGAAGAAAAAGAAGAAATGTTCAATAAATTCACACCAGCCCTGTTTAGTCTGTTTTAATCAAACTCTGGTCCACCTAGAAACCTCTGTCTCTGTCTGGTTGAAGTGAATTCTGGTGTGGAGTGAATGCTTATATGAACACCGCTCCAAAAGCAGGAACCAGACTATAGCACAGTCTGGTTCCAGTGCTATAGGAATCCAAAATTGAACTGAATCTACCAGACTGAGGTGTGAAAAAAAAACCTTAATCATTGATTTCACTGATGCAGATCTGCTTTCACTGATAAATGAGCCAACAATCCACTGTTTGTCTCATCTTTCCCAGTGAATCAGCAGCTCTTCCTTTTGCTTCCCACAACCTTTCTGATCAGTTTTCATTATTATTTTATTATTATTTTTCCACAGAACCAGAGTCTACTGAACCAGAACCTACAGTTCGGATCAACATCAGACCAAACCAAAGAGCTGGGGTTGAAATCAGGATCCGGGTCAGATTTCCAGATTAAATCTTCCTCAGAACAAAACCCTGTAGAGCAGATGGAAGAACCAGAAGATGTAGAGCTGGAATCCAGAGTACAAGAGTCTGAACAAGAACCAGATGTTAAACCAGATTCCAGGTTCAACCTGAACTCCAAGCCTCAATTAAATCATCTCAGAGAGCTGAAATCTGGATCCAGATTAGATGAAATCAAAGACGAGCGTGGATCCAGATCAGAGTTCAGATCAGGAGGATCCACTGAAACCAGATCAGAGACAACCAGAACACTGCAGTCTGAATCCAGTTCAACTGAGAGCTCAAAGCTAACGACAGAATCTGGGTCACAATCTGATTCCAGATCAGACCTAAACCCCAGATCAGAAGAACCAGGATCTGGATCAAAACAGGACAATGAAATAATGCTTCAATCTGGATCAGAAAAGACCAACAAACAGCAGCTGGAGTCCAAAACAAAAGAGACCAGAAACCCACTGTTCAGTTTTACAACCGTTCTCAAAACCAAGTTTAGATTAGATGAACTCTACATATCTGAACCTGATGTGAAGCCCAGGTCCAGATCAGGAGAAATCACTGAAAATAGATCAGAAAAGACCAGAAATCTGCTGTTTGAATCCGATTTGGATGAGAGTTCAGACCAACAACCTGACCTGAAAACCGAACCAGAGTCACAAAACTCCAGAGACACTCAAACTGGGTTCCTGTCAGAACCAAATAACCAACTTATATCTGGTCCCAGACCAGTTCTCAAAACCAGGTCTAGATCAGAAGAACAGCAGCACACATCTGGGTGTGATGGAAAACCCAGATCCACTGGATCCAGTCCACAGGGGATCAGAATCTTTGGGCTCAAATGTAATTCAGAAAACATCCCTGAAACCGGATCAGATTCTGCGCCTCTGAAGTTTCCATCAATACAGCAACGTGGATCTGGGTCAGAGAAACCTGAATCCAGTTCAGCTGAGATCACCGACCTCCAAACTGGATCCAAGTTGGACCTGAAGAATCAGACCAGATCACAGCAGGAGGAGGATCTAAATCATCTATCTGGATCTGAGAAGTCCGGGAAACAGAGCCAGCAATCCAAAATGGTGGAAACTAAATCCAAATCCAGGTCAGACAAGTCGCTGAGACACGGATCAGATGCTAAACCCGGATCAGAATCAGAAGTTACCAAAACACTAGAGGTGAGTCCCTGGTTCAGATAGATCCATCAGAAACAGATTCGGTTCAGTTATTCCAGCCCTGAAGCTGGAAATACATTGAAAAATAAATTTCTGCACCTTCCAGATCTCTGGATCTGGGTCGGACCCGTCCTCAGTGAAGAACCGACTCGGTGAGGAACAACAGTTTGAGGCACAGCAGCAACAGGAGTTCAGGAGTTGGTACCAGGAGAGACTGGTGAAGGTATGGAGTTCTGTCTGTTAGAGGGTGGATCAGAGAACGTTCTCTCTGATTCTGACATCAGAACCTCCCGTTTCAGACCCGGCAGGACCTGAACTGTGTCTCAGAGCTGCTGGACTCCTGCACCAGCATGGATCTGGGTTCAGAGCTGCAAACCAACAGGCTGCTGGAGCAGTTCAGACAGGCAGAACCACATTTCAGGGTGAGAACTGCTTCATGAATGGGTCTTATTATTAACATATTTTTGTAAAATAAAAAAAAATAAAAATTTTAATTCAAAAAAAAAATTAATTAAGAGATTTTTTTTTTAAATGTAACAAAATAAAATAGTAAGCAGCAGTAAGAGATGTTGCTTGTTTCTTTTTACAATAAATTTTTTTAATAATTTTTTTTTTAGAAAATAAAAATTTGATTAAAAATGTTTAATATTTTATATTTGTTTCGCAAGATGCAGAACGTCAGCTGTAGGTAGGCACCAGCACCCCTCCTAAACCCACTGGGGAGAAGAGTGTAAGAAAATGGATGCATGGATTAAATCTACTTTTTTATAAAATGAAGAATAAAAAAGACAGAAGGAGACAGGAGTAGAGAGAACACAAGACATCAGCATCCAAACCTGCGGAAAGAGAAAAAAACAAAACCAAGAAACTAAAACAACCAGCAACATGCATATATAATAACAATTATAACATTGGAAAATATGCAGTACAAGTATTTAATAGTAACTGCAGGCCAGATGAGAGTTTATCTGACACCAGAATCTAAACATCTGTGAGTTGCTTCTTCAAACTGGAACCAGATGAACCTAGAGATCTTTGGGACATTTAGAAGAAAAAAGACGTTTGGTCTCTTTTCTCCACAGCAACTGGATGTTCAGGTGGAAAATACGGTGAGGAGCTGGGAGAACCTGAGAGGAGTCCAGGCTCGTCAGGGAGGAGCAGTGATGGAGGAGGATCTGTCTGAGCTGCTGAAGCTACAGCAAGCAGTGAAGGACAAAATACAGCAAGGCGAGTCGATCCTGAACCAGAGCAGCAGCTTCCATCTCACAGCCAAACAGGTGAGAAGAGAAGTGGTGTCGGCATCCTGCGGGATCTTAAAAAGTCCTTTTTAACAAAGATTGAATGAAAAAATAATAACGTGGAGTCAGAAATGTTTATGTAAAAGGGCAGTATTATATAAAATTGATTTTTCCATCTTTACAGCATGTTATTTCTTCATTAAAAACATACCAAAGTGTTGCCTTAATTCTTTCATGCGTGTTTCAAAAATCCTGTGATTACCATGTCAACCATCCAGCTGTGAAAAACACTTGCATGGACCAGGTATGTGCTAATTTTTGTTGGCTAGTCTGAAGGAGCTGAGGTGCTGGTCCTCCTCTGCACTGCAGTTTCCAAGCTCCCGGCTTCAGATTAGCCAACAAGAATTAGCCAAAACCTGGTGGAACTGCACATCTCCTGTGCTCATTGTAGGAGCTGCTCATCAGTGAAACGTTGATAAAAACATTAGGTTAATAGAGGAGCCATGTTGCAATGACTTCCTGAAGGTGGAGTGAAGGAAATTTTAAAGAAACAAGCCCCAACTTAAAGGTGTCAATTTACAAATCAAAATTTATTTTTCTATATAAAACAATTGTACTTTTTATAACAACTGAAGGTAAGATAATGCTTTGAAATGGGACTATTTGCCTGAAAAATACATAATACTAAAGGTCGTTTTCAGTTGTAGCAACAATAGAAGCTGTAATTATAATTTGTTCATTTCCCTGATGGACACAAAACCACAATGAAAGCTGTTCGAGCTTACAGCCTTGATGAACTCCAAAACTAAAAACTCAGCTCTGTTTAACAAACTCCAGAGAGCTGTGCCTAATTTTAATGTTAATTTTTCTGTGTCCAGCTGGAGCTGCTGCTTCAGTCAGAACCTCCCTCTCCTTTAACTGGTTGGAAAGAAGAAGAACTGAGTCAACTACAGGAGACCCAGCAGCAGATCCAGAACCTCCTCAGAACCACCTTGACTATGAAGACAGACATCTGCACTGCAGTTTCACAAAGCGTATGAATGAATAGTTTGAAGTTTCCATCGTGTGATTCAGTAAAAACAGCAACCAGTGATGCTCTCTTGGTGTTTCAGAACTGGGCTGGTTTCCAGGTGGACCAGCTGGAGATCCGTTTGGGGTCTCTGGCCTCTCTCTGTGAGTCCTGGCTGAACAAAGCAGCTCAATGTGAGGAGGAGCTCCGAAGGGAGCAGCTGACTCACCTCCTGCATGAAGACATCACCCAGGTGAGGTTTCAACTCAGAGCAACAGTACATCCAAACAAAATCTTAACACAGAAATCAAACATTTTAATCTGAAATCGGTCAGAATGTTTCTAACCATCCATCTATTTTCAAAATCTACTAAGAAGAAATTTATTATTTGGTCATTTTTGGAGCTTCAACTCTTGAGATTCAAATTGTGAATTTATGAGAGCTGTTAACAAGTTGTCAATCTGCAAAGAGACCAGCAGAGGGCGCTGCTGTCAGCATTCATGCTCCTTTATCAAAATCTGACTTCTGCTGATTCCCTACATAAACTTTGCTGTGTTAATATTTATTATCAAATTATAATTACTCAAAACCACATTTGAGTTCAGGAATTTATTACTTCCTGAAGAACTGTTCTCACTGTACCATCATTTATTTTCTCAATGGGTTTTTTCTGGTCAGTTTTCAACAGTTGTTTCTATAAAGTGGTGAAAATTTAAACTATCATTAATATTAATTCAGCTGCTTTAGGTTCACTTGAAATTAAGGTGACAGACTTTAGGGGTTTTTTTTTAGATTTAAAACATCTCTGTCAAACTGTGTAATTTTTGGGTTTTCTTGTGAATTTATCAGTCTTTCAACAAAACATTACATTTTGCATCAAGGTGAATATTCTTTGCTAAGTTTCCTGATATGTGTTGATTTAACGCCATGCTTAGTTGCGTTTGGGAGCCTTGTTCTGTCTCAATCATAAATCAGAGTTTAGTACATTTCTGTGAAGCAAATCTGGTACATAAAACTGTTGAAAGATTATAGGAAATATCTGTGTGATATGAAGGAAAATTTACAGTGTTGGGTGCACATTGAAAACCCTTAAAATAAATGAAGATTTAATTGATCATATTCTGTTTTTTTGTATTATAACTGTCCTTATATTTTAGAGACCTCATGCTTTTGCAAGACAAGCAAGCCCACAGCATCACAGATACTCCACCAAATTTAAACCCACCTGAAATATTATTACCTTAAATCTCAGTCTTACTCTCATCTATCTAAACAAGTTACAATTAAAAACCCATGTTTTCCCAATATCGATCAGTGTTTGTTATGGTGACCCAGTGCCAGTCTTCTGAACAGTCCTCCTCACTGAACAAAGTGAAACAATAAACTTGAGTCACCATCCAGTTTAGTGGCTCAGTGAACTGGTGCCTCAGTGTCGCATCCTATTTATACCCCATGGAAACCGTTAGGTGGCAAACCAGTTAACGGTTCCTAGACATAGAAATTAAGCTGCAAAAATTAGAATTGTAAACCAAGTTGTTTTTTAGTTTTATTATTCAACTGCAAATAAAATCTGTGTTGAGGTTTTTACACATGTTTACCAGCAGATGGATCCCACTCAGTTTGATGGTCTACTGGTGATACTGGGTCAGTGCAGTAACAGGAGAGACTCCTTAAATACAGTCAGCCAGATGACAGGCATTTCCCATCATACACTTGGTGCAACATGTTGGCCATCACAAACACACATATTAAATCTGTTTGGAAATTAAATTGGTCGCTAATCCTGACCAGTATGAACATGTTGGGATGACTACCTATCAGTTTTCAAATAATTGCATACATAAAATCTAAAAAGTGTGCCATGAAATAAACTTATACTGTGTATTATCCCAGTTTTAATTTGACCTCACAGTGAACCATGTAAACCCAAAATCAAATCTTCAGAAATTTGATAATCGCCTAGCTACATTCTGTAGAAACAGGAAAATGTTTCTTTCCTGAGTCTCACGCTGGGTTTCCCCAGACTCCCTTCTGTTGCTGCGACCCATCCAGTCGCTGGTTTTAATCGGTTCCGCTGACGGTCGGCTCCGTCTCTCTCAGCTGTTGTCAGCTGACAGATCAGACACTGGACACCTCTGCTCCTCCCAGCCGAGACAGAAATTTTCCTCTGCTCCAAAAATAATCCCATCAAAGACCAAAGTGGCTGGAGCTGCAGAAACAAAACCACAGAACCCCCTGATTCTACTGAATGAAGAGGAGAACTCAGTATAACCTGCAATCACCAACAGTTTCTCCAATAGGTATATTGCTCATTTCTGAGTTGTCAAGCGGAGCAACCAAAACAAGATGATTGACAACTGTTTATTTTGAGATAAACTTGGTCTACAACACAAAAACTTAACAGGTAGCAGAATTTTTTTTTCACTTAGTATCAAAGTCTTAAAAAAACATTAAAAGGTTTCCGAACAGTTCACACAAATCATGTTCATTACATTTTTTTGCACAAAATCATTCTTTTGTGCAAAAAGGCCAAAAAACAGATGAAATATCATCTGTCACTTTAAATCCAAATAAGTTGCTGCTGGACACGCTCCCCAACTCAGCATTCACACTCATATAAAAATGGTTGCAAACACATGCGCAATTATACAACCGTACATTTTGAAAAGTAAAACACTTGTCTTTTCCAGCAGCCATTATACATCAAACTGACCAAACTTGCTGGATCTCAGCTTTGGTTACTAGGTAGGTAACAGATGGGAAGTTTTGAAAAAAAGACTTTAAAGAAGTATTAAATGTATTTTATTGTCAATTTGCATTATTTCAATAAATACCTTAAAATACTGTGATAAAGTATCACCCATCCCTAAAGGATGCAGTGGGTTTCCCAACTGAACAATGAACTTCTAAACTGGCATTCATCAACCCTGTTTGACATTTACTTTCTAAGTGAAACCGACTGCACTTCTTTGAGCTTCAGCACTAACAACAGTGTTTATCATCTATTTATAGAGCAGATAGTGCCTTAGAGGAACTGTTGTTTGGTGTAACTTTACTCCTGTGAGCTCAAAGCAGCTGTCGCCTTTATGGATAAATCACCTCCTGTAACTGAAACTTTGACCTAAGTAACACAGAAGATGACCTTCATCTTTTATAAAACAAATACAACACATCATTATGAATCTGAATATTAAAGGTGACCTATTATACTTCCTTGAACAGGTTAGTTCCAGTAATGGAACTAACTTGTTAAATTTTAGTCTGTTCAGTTTGAACACCTTTGAATAGTAGAAGTGGAGCCTCCTGCACAACCAACAAAACTGCATTAAGTAGTTTCTGAATGGTAAGTCGACAGCAAAGCACATGTCTTTTCCAGCAGTCATTGTGCAGCGCATGCAGCAGTAAAACCGGATGACCAAATGTGCAGGAGTTCAGCTGCGGTTTCTAGGTGAGGGGCAGAGCTTGCTGATTTGTGATGTCACATTCCTGACGTTTTTGAAATGACTCAATTTCCAGATACTAAAAAACTAACTGGGTGTTAGTTAGTTGGTTGTTTTTAGAAGCAGTTGAGCTTCAAATGGAAGTACAAAAATGTGCTAAATTAAAGACTTTAGTTGTAATATCTTAATCCAAGTTGTTAAGTTACTGTTGAGAATCGTCACATCTTTTACAGTAGGATTTAAGCATAACCTTCTATTCTGACATCCTGTTGTTTTAACTTTTAGCTTCGTGTGTCCTTCAAGGAGCTGAAAAAACGTTTCAGCAACACTAAGTTCAACTACTTGAAGAGAAACGACCGAACTAGGAACTTGAAGGCAGTCTGGAACCAACTGCAGCAGATGGAGGTTTACCTGGAGAAGCTGCAGGTACATCAGTTTTACCTAATGATTAACCCTGATATGACCTGCCTGGTCTAATCATTGCTTCAAAACAAAACTCAATCAATTACTGATTTTCAAGATTTATTACCAGAAAAGCCAAACAACTGAAACAGAGGAACTGTAGACCTGTGACCCCTCCACCAATTAGAACCTTATTTCTGTAAAATTCAACTTATTGAACAATACTTGACAGTTGATAACCATAACAGCACAGATATCGAATTTTGTTCAACTAAAAGCTCACAAAACAGCCATTTTAATGCTTTAAAATGCCTAAAATCATTAGGAAAATGTATTTAGTGGAAGCTAAGTATGCTAAATGTTTCCAAAGCCAGCAAAAACACCAAAACACTACAGTATACAAAAATGAGCTTAGCTACTAAAATTAGCCGCACTTGTGTAAAATGAAATTAGGAAGTTTTCTTATTCTTAGTAAACAAGTATCAAAGAGTATATCTATAGTCTGCTTTAAAATCAAGCATTTCTGGGGTCCTCTCTGATGGTTTGGCCTGGAAATTTGAGCCTGAATTTAAAGTGAAACTTTCAGAAACTGTCTGTACTGGTTTTCATTCCTTCAGTGTTTCGTCTTTGTGGTCGATGTATATGGTCATCTGGTCCTGCAGGGGCTCAGGAAGCGCGTTCATGGTGTGACAGCCCAGCTGGGATCAGAGGTCAAAAACACGGGCATACCCCGGCACTTGGAGGATGCTGTCAACGAGCTGCAGAGGCAGATGGGACAGTTGGAGAGAAACATCTGTGAGCACCAGAAAACTCTGGACATGACATGCAAGCTGCAGCAGGCCATGGAGGAGGTATCACTGCTGGCGATCAATCAGGATCATTGATGAGCTGATCAATCAGTGGGTGTACAGCTGCATGTCGCTCTGCATCCACAGTACCATTTCTGGTGCGAGGAGGCGAGCGCCACCATCTCTCGCGTTGGGAAGTTTTCCTTGGAGTGCCGCAGCACCGAAGCCGTCTCCGTTCTGTACCGGCAGTTTGAGAAGTTTGTTTGGCCGACGGTTCCTCAGCAGGAGGAGAGGATCAGTCAAATCACGGAGCTGGCTGTCAGGCTGCATGGTGGGTGGAAAACACTACTTAGGCAGAGGCTTTTACTCTGAAAATCTATTTGGACTTTTTACTCAGAAATGATAACTATTTTGCAATAATTTTTATTTAGAAAGTAGAGTGGTATAATTCTTCTTTTATTCTGAAAGGACATCTGTGTTTACCTGAACTTTGTCGCATTATCTTACAGGCACTTTTATTCTGGCAGCTATGTAATTGGGGCTGCCAGAATAAAAGTGCCTCACTGCTCTCCCTACACATTGTCCATAGCAATGCATAGGGAGAGTGAGTGACTTGCAAACCATAATAATAATAATATTAGCCTGCATTATCTTTTTGCCTAAGGTTAGGGCGCCATTAGCCTTTTACCTTAAATAAGGTATTAGCTATTTCTCTTATTTATTAGCCATGTCTCTTACTTATTGAAGGAGTAAATGAAATACAAATGCCCCACATGCTGTTTTTGAAATCCTAGTGAAATTGATTTCAGACTCCCTGTTCAAAATAGTTGTGTTAAAAAATGTCTAATTTAAAAAAATACAAGGACTTAAAATAAGTATTTTTGGTGTTTCAGGGGTGGAGGAAGGACAGCGTTACATAGAGAAGATGGTCAGTAAACACTCAGAGATGGTGGAGTCCATCAGAGAGCTGAGTGAGGGTCTGATGGAGCTGGAGGCCAAACTGAAGGTGAACAAACTCCATTCAAAGATCCCACTTAGATCTAATGGTCAATAATGTTTCTTCTTCTTCTGTTCTTTATGATGGACATTGAATTCAGTTCGAGAATCTGAAACAGCAACAGCAGAAGGCTGAAGAGAAGATAGAGGAGGCAGAAGAGAGGGAACAAGGGAGACAGACAGAAGAGCAGGAGAAGATAAAAGAAAAGAACAGGATTAAGCAGAAGGATAATCGCCACACACAGGAGGCTGCTGATATGGTGAAGATAAATAACTCAAATATAAGGCAATTAATGTGTGATTTATGATGTTATTGATGAAAAAGATTTAATTTCCAGCATGAACTTAAAGAGACAGGCCACACCCCCGAACTGATCACAGAGAACGATAGAAATGAGGCTGCTGCAGCCAATAGGAAGCCTCCGTCAGAGAAGAGTCAGGGTGTAAATGGACCGACAGCAAACAGGTTAGTAGGAACACATAATGCTGTAGATCATATCATTTTCTGTTTTTCTTCTTTTTGGCTTGAATCCAAATTATTATGAAACATTTTATCATTTTGGGAATGTTCTCAAACTCAAGTGTATCAGTTTCCTCTGATTTAACTGATCATTATAATATAATTTCTATTAGCTTTATTGCTTCGGTGTTGGTAGGCTGGTTGAAAAAAAAGACATTTTGGAATAAAAACTAAAAATGTTTCAAATTACTAATGTTCAGCTTATCAATAAAAATTGGAAATTTAAAGAAATCATTCACATATCAGTTTGAAACTGTTAAAACCAGTATTATTAAACTGTTGTATAACATTATTGTCTTTAACCTCAGAGAGTTACACAGTGAGAAGTTCACCTCCTCCTTCGCTTCTACCCTCACCATCTGTTCACCTGTGGATGCCAAGCAGCAGGTTCAAGCCAACCAATCACAGACTGCTACTTCTGAGTCTCAAGCCCCACCCTCTGAGGCTGTCATTGGTCCATCATTTCCTCATAACTGGGAAATGGAAGGAGAGGAACAACATATTGGTTCCAGCTTCTGTGGCTCAAATTCACTACAGGTCAGAATCAGCAGTAATATTCACCTCTATGCTGATGATATTCTGCTATATATCACCAAAAATCCCTGGTCACTCAGGTAATCTTGAAATATTTAATATAAAGCATCACATAATGGAGTTTTGTTCCGACAGAAAGGGAATTGTGGCTTGAAGGTAGACTTTAACAGTATTTGTAGTCATGTTACGTTACAGTGGTTCTACTGCGTTATCTCTGTATTACTTATCCAGAGCATTTAACCAATTTTTAAAACAGTCTAGACAAATATATTATAAAACATAAAACTGTTTTCTTCTCACTCAGGAAATTCCTCCACATGTTGAGCTCCATCAACCTGAGGTGACGACCGAGGATTATTTTTCCAACGATGAGTACGATTGTGCATCCCCTGATGACATTTCCCTGCCGCCGCTTGCTGAGACTCCAGAGTCCAACATGTTCCATTCAGATGTTGAGGAGGGTTTCTGCTTTAGTTCTCATAGCGTTCACATCAGCCAGGTCAGCCACCAATGCTATGCCCAGTCAGAACCAACTAGAACTGATTCTGTCCCACAACAAAAAGTGTCAAGTCAGATGGAAAACTGCCCAGCTCCTACAGTCAGACTACACAGCAGGTTTGTTTGATCCACATTCATTCTGGTCTTTGATCAAAGGTCTACTTCATTAATGCTTCCAGATGAAAGGTAATGTTTCTGTTGTACCACAGGTTCAGGTCAGAGTCCAGATCCTTTAACCCAAGTCCATCCTCAGTTTCTGCTACAACACTTTTTACCAGTACTCTATGCACCATCCTGAAAACCAAAGAGTCTACCTCTGACGTCTCTCTGGACAACCCAGTCCATGGATACAACAAAGACTGTTCTAAAATAAAAAACTCTCCAAAGCAGAGTTGTCCATCCACAACCCTTACACAGGATTTGAGTCAGAGTATTCATCCGCAGTCCTTCATTGGTTCAAACAAAAGTCTCAAAAATCACATTCCTAAAGGAGAGACAGAGGTTCTAAACATCCATCCTAGTTACACTAAAACAAACTGTATACTTCCTGAGAAGAGGGAATTATTTGAATCCCATCATTGTACAGGTCATACCCAACAGGACATGAAGTCTACTGAAAATTCAAGAACTATGCCTCAACAAGACAGCTTCGCTAAAATCAGCACTAGTTTACTTTCCCAGCAAAACATTGACATCAAGTCATCTTTTTCAGACAATCATTGTACCAACCCCATGGTCTGTAGTAACTCTGCACAGGAAAGCTCATTCAATCCCTCCTATGATTCAGTCCCCATGTTTGAAGAGTCTTACATGTCCAGTGTTACAGACACTATCCTCCACAAAGACATAACCCAACCACAAGACAATAACCTTCTAGAACCTTCTACAACAAACCTCCAAAGTTCAACATCTCAAGATCCAACCTTTTTACAGACCAGAAGTGAACCAAATCAGGATGTATCTTTAACACTTAAAGATAGCAGTGTTAGTACAGCCACCTCAGTCACCCAGAGCATCTTCAACCAGTCGTTGCCTTCTGGCAGGTCACAGACCAACAAAACTTCAAACCAAGGTCCAAGAGATCTACCTGAAGACCTCATCCAAAACCCTCCACAGCCTAAAACCATCAGCAACACCAGTATCTACTGCAGCAAGCAGGGTCTTCAGACAGTTTTCCCTCTCCAGGACACCCAGCAGTGTCTGCATGGTTCCAGCATGAGACCCAGTTCAGCCCAGCCAGCTCCTCCCCACCCAGAACCTCAAACCCACCCTTCACCTGATCAAGCTAACCTGCATGGCACATCTCCATATTCTACACCTCATGTACTAACACCATCCCAGGATCCTGATATTTGTCAACCCATGGCTATCCGGGAAGAGATTAGACTTACTCCCCAGATACAGGGGCCTCCTCTTCCTTCTGCTCGTCTTCCTCATCCCTCATCAGAGTCTATTCCTTTGGGAAAAGTCTCTGAACCTGGCCTCACCTTGTTCACCAGGCCCTGGTCTGAACCCATCGTCATGGAGGGCTGTCCAGTGATGTTAGAGGTGGAGGTGATGGGAAACCCAGAGCCCAGGCTCACTCGGTGGGTAGCTTACAACCAGCTCCATGGTAACACTTGAGCTTCATCAGATTATTAATAACACCACTCAAAAAACAAGTAGCAATTTCATCTGGGTAACAAATGACATCATTATCACCATTTTTATTACGTCCAGTGGTAGGCACCACTAACTAAAATATGGTACCAACCATAAAGCAGTAATCATAAACATTAGTACTGCTAATGTACTAATGAACATACTAATACTAAAGTGTTAAATATTGAACGAAAACTAATGCTAAAGTGCTAAATTCCATCATGTTGTTACAAAGTCAAACATAGTAAATTGCCCTTAGCATGATAAACTTTAACATTGTACACCTACCAGTAGCTTCAGGAAGTAATTATGTGGTTTCAGTTTTATAGTTGTTATTGCTAACTCTGTTACTGATTTTGCCTATTTGACCAGAGTAGGATTTCGGTTACAAAGCACACAGAACATCAGAGAATAACAATTGACAACCAAAACTAAATTATTTAAGGTTTGAAAAACAGCCAAGCAATTTAGCACTTTATTCAGAAATGCATTTAATTTATTCAGAAAAAATAGTTAAAGGCAAGTCAAGTGCACCAAACATTTTCAAAGTTAGCTAGACTGCTAGGCAAAAAATTAACTCCCCAATTAGCGTATTAGCAAAAATATGCCCACCATCGATTACAACCATGTCTGATTTATTGGCCAGCTCAATGGGATGTTCATTACTCATGTTATTGAGTAAAATCAAAATACCCTAACCCTACTTTTCTATTCACACCGGCCCTAATACACCATATATAAAATTTAGTGAGACTGCTGCAGCCATTGTTTGATTTTGCATCTTTTTAATGTTTATGATTTTATCTTTCACAGACTTAATATAAACACCAGTTTGCTTTTTCACAGAGTGAGCTTGTTTTGCACACAGTAACAAACCCTTCGCTCTCTCACATGTGATCGGGGCAGCAGCTGCTTGTTGTGCTGTCTGACCTCTTGTCATGGTCACTGCAGGTTTAAACTAGAAGAGGACCAGAACCAGAACCAGGATCAGGACTTACAGCTGTTGACTGGAAGCAGCAGTGGTGCTGATAATAAATGGCTGATGTTGGAGGCGTTGGACATCATCATGGAGAACTGGAACACCTGGTTTGGGACTCTCTGTGTCCTGCTGTGGCTGCTCTACCTGGTTTTACTCTGACTCAAGGGGTTTTACTCTGACCTTTTCATTTCTGCTGGATAGATCAGATATTTGAATCAGTTCAATCAAATTTTAGCTTAATTGACCTCTATAAACATGTCATTTTCATAATTTTAAACCGACTGTAAACCCAAGCTTTCATGTGTTGTAATTTGGTTTGAAATGTTTGTAGTACTTTAAAATATTAAACCGAGAATGACGACAAACTTTGGAGAAAAGAGACCAGCCTCTTGATTTTATAGACATTACATATGCTTGGAGTGGAATTAAAAAACTCAATTTCTTGTCACAGGAACTTTAGAGAGCAGCAGCTGCAGTTGAACTTCTGATTGCCAACATCTTTGGTGATTCTTTACCGTTTAAATTACCGTTTAAATGGGATGTAAATTTAAAGAAAAAAGCTTTAAAAAAATTCACTCTGCTCATGAAATTAATAAAATGTGAAGTTTTTGGCTCAAACAAGGCTTTTTATTGGTTTAAATTGAACAAACAAAATCATTGAAATGCACCATTTCCATGAATACAGCAGTGAGGAAGCCGACAACGGTTAAGTGTTCCTTTACAAAATAATAATAAAAAAAGCCTCTCAATTTTAAATCGTTTTACATATGAAAAACAGTCAACTTCCTGACTTTTTAAATTTAATCTCCAATGCTTACAATTATCCTTTAACATTAAAGCTAATGTTTATTGTATCTGTGAGGTTTATCATCCCCAATGTCAAATCTTCAGAAAAGTTTTCTGTTAAGTTAAACATTGCAGATAAAGTCAAACATCCCTAATCCAACAAAAAAAAAAACTGTAAATATCAAGGACATCATTAAGCATTGAAGATAAAATTAAAAATGGGGGACAATGTTAAAGATACCAGACAACATTAAACATTGGAGAAATTCTCCCACTAACAGAGCAAAGTAAAAAGAAACAGAAACGCGTCAATTTTCAGACATTTTGTTGATGAAAAGAAAAACCCAACTGGGCGTGAAGAAAGAAGCTGCTTAAACAGCAAAATACCTGCAGGATTTTTTTGAGGAAGACTGCCGAGCCTGAAGGTAGGCTTAATCAGCAAGGGAGTGATGAAGTGAGAAATCAGAAGAAAAAAAAAAAAAAAGATGATCCAGGAGAATTCCAGAAGAACAAGACAGGAAGACTATAGAACAGACAAAAATTTCAGGTCAATTCCTTCCAACCACTGAGAATAAAGTCACCACATTTCATAAACTCACTTGCAAATGTCACCCACCAGTAAATTACCTGTACCGTTCCTTAAGAAAAACTGTTAAGGAAGTTCAAGTCAAAATGGATGCTGGAGTTTGGGTTAAAAATTATGTTCCAGAAAGTCAGAGATGCACAAGCAGCTATCAAATTCAGAAATTACAGCGTGTGAAACTCTCGGGCATTTAAAGGACAGCATAATTGGTTCATAACCCTCACAGCCTGTTCAACGCCTCAAATATAAACCTTTAGCTAAACCTGTCTTTACTGTCACCTGTGTGGAAGAATATCCTTTTAAAATAATTAGCAACCCATAGCCCACTGGAGGTTAGAGTTGATAAAACACTGGGGGAAATCCTGACTTCCATCTATAGTTCTAAGCTTTCTTTGGGATGCTCTTGGTCTGATCCCTCACCTAGGAGCCATTTGCCCCAGCAGACCCGACTCAATAAAAGCCATGAAGTTTGACAACTCCTAGGATCTCGGACACACAAACCCCTCCACCACGATAAGGTGACAGCCCACGGAGGGGAAAAATAAAACCAGAAAGATTTATTTAGTCGATCTGGAGAGAGGCCTGAATGTGGCGCTTTAGTGATCATTCATCACTGTTCTGATGAGTATTAAAATGGATACCTTCAATAAGCTTGGTTCGGTTTCTTTACAGGTTTTTTTTTTCTAATTTATTTTAAACAAACATCACATAAAGGATCTTTAACAAGGACAAATATCAATGCTACAATGGAAAGAAAAACAAAATTAGAGCTTGACCATATTGGCATTGAGGTCTTTATAGCTACAACAAGTAATCTAAAAAACAAAAGTTAAATGCATATATAGATAAAACAGTAAATCTTTCAGTTTACACAAATCCTCTTGGCTGTGGTTCCTGCCCTTGCATTGGCTGACATGATGCTGCCATCACAAAACCGTTCCCCATCTCCTGCTGTTAACTTTTCACTTCCATCAACAGAAAGTTCTGTTGATGGAAGTTCAGCTGTCCTGTTGCTGTGTTTCTGCTCCATTTTCTCAGAGCTCCAGTCAGTGGTGGCAGACGACTGCTTGTACTGAGCCCGGCTTTGGTTCTGCTGGAGGTTTCTTCCTGTAAGAGGGGAATTCTTACTCTCCACTGTCGCTACATGCATGCGTGGAATGAATGATTGCTATTGAGTCAACAACTCAACTCAAGGGATCTGCTGTCGCCTCCTACAGGTCCAAGAGGAATGAAGCTGTGAGCAATGACTCCATGCAATCTGCTGAGTTTCCTTGTGGTACAAACTTTTAAACTACTTTAATGATTATCTGAAACTAATACATTAATAAGTAGGCTCAACTAATCTATGACTGAATTGAAATGGCTTTGTAAAATGCCTCGACAACACTGTTGTGAATTAACATTTTACTGTTTAATTTGAGGTTTAGTTGTTGATTTGGGGTTTTGAACTGTTTTTATTTGGGGATTTTGTATTGGTTTTGAGGTTTTGAGCAGTTTTTGAATAGTTATTTGGGTTTTTGTATTGGTGGCTGGGTGTTTGGTAGTTGGTGTTTGAACAGTTTTTATATTGGTTTTTGTGGGGGATTTTTATATTGGTTGTTGGAGGGGAACATTTGTTGGTTTAAGTGTTCAATTTTATATAGGGTCAATTCACAACAGATGTCATCTCAATGCATTTCAGAATAATTTTAGTCCAATCACATATATTTCAATTGGGTTTAGTTAACAGTACAATAAGCTCAACTAATTATTAAAGTAGTTTAAGAGGTATGTACCACAAGGAAACTCAGCAGATTCCATGGAATCATTACTCACAGCATTCACTCCCCCAGGAGCAGTAGGAGGCAACAGCAAATCACTTGAGTTGAGTCGTTGACTACAGCAAATACTCATACCAAGAATGCATGTAGCAACAGTGGCAAGGAAGAACTCCCCTCCATCAGGAAGAATCCTCCAGCAGAACTAGAACCGGGCTCAGTATTAGCAGCCGTCTGCCACAACCGACTGGAGCCGAGAAAAGACAGAGCAGAGACACAGCAACAGGTCAACTGATCGGGAGAACTTTCGTTGTTCATGGAAGTGAAAAGTACCACCAGGAGATGGAGAACAGTTAGGTGATGGCAGCATCATGTCAGCCAATACCCTCCTCCAGGAAGGAACCAAAGCCAATCAGAACCAAGTGAAGCATCTATACAGAGAACATCTAAGACAAAAAGTTAGCAGCTGACAAAGAATTAATCAAGTCTCTAAACAAAATTGTCCCAAAAAAAAAAAGATGCGATGAGATGAAGGCCTGTTCCATCAGTGGCTGCGGTGGCGATGAAGGGTGAAATCAGAAGATACGAGATGATCCAGGAGAATTCCTGAAGGACAACAGGACAGGTGTAGGTTTAAGGTTAAACCCTTTTAACAACTGAATACACATTTCAAAAACTCACATGTAAATATTTAAATGGCAGCAAAATACCTGCAGCATTTCTTGAGGAAAACTGCTGGCAAAGTTTCAAGATCAGGAGGAGTCTGCCTTACCTGCTCACCTGGAAGATAATCTGCTAAGCCTGGTGGTAGGGTCACCAAGGTCGTCCATCAGTAGGCTGGGCCGATGAAGGGCTTTTCCGTCCGTTGGTGGTGGGGGGGGGAATGACTGGCAATATCAGGGATGAAGACAAGATGATCCAAGAGGATTATTGAACACCACCAGGACAGGTACAGGTTTTAGGTCAAAACCATTAATAATTCAATGAATTGACACTTTTCAAAAACCCATTTGTAAATATTTAAACAGCAAAATACCTACAGCATTTCTTGAGGGAGACTGCTGATTTCGATGGTAGGGTCATCCATCAGCAGGGGTGGGCGATGAAGGTCTTTTTCCATTGGTCACTGGGGGGCTGGCAATGAAGGCCGAAATCAGGATTCCTGAAGAACAAAAGGCAGAAGACAACAGAACGAGTGCAGATTTTAGGTCCAACCAATGGACAACGAAGAATGAATTAACGCTTTCCATAAACACATATGTATATATCAGTTAAACAGCAAAATACCTGCAGAATTTCTTGAGGAAGACTGCTGATTCCGTTGAGCCAGGCAGGACAATGAAGAGTGGAATCGGAGACGAAAACCAGATTATCTTGGAGGATTCCTGAAGGACAACATGACAAGTGTAGGTACCAGGTCTAACCCTTTTCTGTCTCTGGTTGGGTACAGTCAGGGGGAGTTTGGTCAGAGTGTCTGAATGACTTTTTTCCTGTGGATCATTAGTCTTGTTTTGTGTCATCGATACCTTCTTAGTGACCTTTTTAATGGATCCCGTAAACACTTTTGCCCGCCGCTCGGGCCCATTTCCCACAAACACCTTTGCCCGCAGCTCAGGCCCATTTCCCACAAACACCTTTGCCTGCCGTTCGGGATACAAGAGCTATTCTGATTGCTGTACCCAAGAGCAAAACGCCTACCTTTCACATAGCCTAGCTTGTTTTTCCCAAAACAAGCATTGTACCTGGAATGGATCCACCGATTCGTTGTGTTCCGTTGATACCAATTTCCTTTAACTCATCCGATGACTTCTGAGCCTTGAGCAGTGACTACAGGAAGTAGAAAACTACATTTCCTGCTGGTGAGTTTGGAGTCCTGTGCCAAAGGGACCATCTTGATATCCATACCACCTACCTGTCTGAAGCCATCTGCTGTCTTCAGTCTTCATAACAAAAACTGTTGACAGTCTTCTACATCTTCTTCTTCATCCGTACACCATGAGGTGTTGACAAGGCCTGAAATTCTCAACTGTGAGCTCAAGACTATTCTCCATCACCATACTAAGGATGAATGTGCTGATGGTGGAGATGGAAAAGCTTCCCTTTAACAGGAAGACTTTCCAAAATAAAATAACCCTGCAGTTATCAAATATCAGCTATGAGTTAGATAAAAACTAAAGCAATGGCTCATATAGAAGATGTATGTGGTGACGGAGAGGAAAAACTTCCCTTTAACAGGAAGA